CCTTCTCAGCAGAACGAATGATGCGCTGCAGTCTTCCCTTGTCCTTGGCAGTGGCAGTAGCGTACCTGATGGTGATGGATGAGGTGAGGATGGACTCAGTGATGGCGGTGTAGAAGTGCACCATCATCGTCTTTGGCAGGTTGAACTTCCCCAGCTGACGCAGGAAGTACATCCTCTGCTGGGCTTTTGTGGCGAGGGAGCTGATGTTCAGCTCCGACTTGAGGTCCTGGGTGATGATGGTACCCAGGAAGCGAAAGGATGATGGGGGCGGGTGGGGCTGGGTTCTTTCTAAAGTCCACAACCATCTCCACTGTTTTTAGAGTGTTTAGCTCCAGGTTGTTCTGGCTGCACCAGGTCACCAGATGGTCAATCTCCCATCTCAAGTTTCAAACTACATACACAGGCGATCTGAGTGATGGGCTAAAATACAAACATTTCCAGGACAACTTAGATTATTTCCAGGATATTTGTAATCTAAATCATTATTCATTATTTTATTTTTTTATTATTTTTTTCTCATGTGACTGTAGGTCAGTGTTTCATATTTGAAACCCATGTGATATTACAATCTTAGTTGTTTCCACAGTGTGCAATACAGAATCTAACAATTCACGTGTCAACAAAATGTGAATCTATGTGTGAAATGTTGTTTCACACAATACAACCAAATGTATATATAAATGTATTATTATGTATACTATATTATATATTATTATCACGCAAAAAATATTTGATTTCACTTGTGAGGTCCTGCATTTCTTATGTGATACATGCAGTATGTCTAATCACATGTCTATATGTGAATCATCAAGTGTGACATTTTTTTCCATGTGAACATTACTTTTTGTGTGCATGGTTTTGAATTTCACCTGTGTAATAAATCATCCATGTCTGTGTGGCCTTTTACATGTGAAATGGTGTTCTGCATTTAATAAACATGACAAATGTGTTTTCCGTGTGCTTTTTATGTAAGGGAGTGTCATACATCATGCAGTTCAAGACTTGCAATTTGCATTAACTCGTTTATTCCCACTGGTCACAGCACAGCAACATGTAAACCTCAGCCTGGTGTAAATACTGTCACTCCTGGGGATTAGTGTATGTAAGCAGTGAGCTGTGGGAGCTGTCTGTGTGTATATATGGGCGGCTGTGCTTCAGAGGAAGAGTGGGTCGTCCACTAATAGGAAGGTTGTTGGTTTGATCCCCAGCTCCTCCCGCCACATATCGAAGTATCCTTGAGCAAGATACTGAATGTTGTGCATCTGAGTGTGAATGTGTATAAATGAGTTAGTTTCTGTTCGATGGGCATCGCTGAATGTGTGTGAAAGGGTGAATGTGGCTGTATTGTAAAAGCGCTTTGAGTGGTCAGAAGACTAGAAAGGCGCTATACAAGTACAGGTCCATTTACCATTAGGCTGACAGGGGTCAGCTTTTAGTTCACTACATAGTTCCACATTTGCAGGGTCTTAATGGGTGGAATGATTAACCCGCTTAATAGCACCAGCAAATGCTGGCTGCTAATCTATCACAGAAGAGGAAAGAGTGCCATAAAGAAACGCAGCAACAGCTGTACATTCCAGCTAAATTTAATCCCACCCTCTCCAAGGGATAAAGTCCATATTAAATATTCAAGTGTCAGGAAAGAATTCTGGAGCAAAGTATCAAAACGTCTGTGCAGCAAACACTGTAACTGTGAACACAGCAAACTATGTTTTTGTTTGTTCGAAGTTTTAATAATTTCATCATGGTACTTACCACATATTAATGATAACAGTGAATTACTATCCAACATTATTTGATGGTCAGCCTACAATTTCCAGTTTTTCCTTTTTGTTTTCTCTTTTGCTTTATGGTTATCAAAGTACTTTCCTGTCTGACAGAATCATGTTTATTCTGTATCCTCTCTCTGCAGCTCCTTCTTGAAGCTATATGATGTTTAAATCAAATTAAATATTAAAACTCAAGACTCCAAGGTTAAAGTTTGGTTGTTTTTTTCAGATATTTTGATATTGCACTGCTACACTTCAGTGTTGATGGCAAGAACAGGTATTTTTAAAATAAATTACATCACCCTCATGCATGAATCTTACTTCAATATTAGTCAGTTCAATATTCTTAATGACACTTATAATACACAAAGAAATACATGGCAAAAATAGCATATTGTCAGTATTTTAGAGACCCCCCAAAATTTCACATATCATGTTCCATCACCATCACAAAAACTATGGCATATAAATGGAAACCCTCCAGTATCAGGGGGTGGACACAATAACATGAACACATCTTCACATTCAAAAACAGTCCTAATTACTTAAATGTGTCATTGTTTAATTAAAATTTGAATTAATTACATAAATGTGTTATTAAATGTGTCATTAATAAATTATAATACCGATTCATGTTATGTAAAAAACACTTATAATTATTACACAATTTAATTTATTATTTCATGGTCCTGCGTTGCAGTGCTTCGTGATTTTATTTTATCTGTCAAACTCGCCCACCAAAGTTGGTAGGCGGATCTTAACGCCTGATTGGTTACCCTGCGTATCAAGTCAAGGCAAATCAATTCCAGATAATAGATTGATGCAGAGCTAGTGAACACATTCCGATACACTGGTTGGCGCTACTGAACTACTTCTTCTAAATCTGCAGTCACTCTATAATCAATATCTTGGTCGGAAAGTGCAGAAATAACTCCAAGAACTTCAATTAGTTCCTCTACTTTACTCGCTACATTCTCTGGGTCAGCAGGTCCTGCTTCCACATCCTCTACTAAGTCTAAAATGTCTCTCTCCAACTCCCTAGAACAGGGGTATTCAACTAAATTTCAAAGAGGTCCAGTTAGAGAAAATTTCCTCAAGTGAAGGTCCGGAACATATTGAAGTAGCTTCGTAGTTGTATCAACGTCTGCAACTGACTGTTAAATGAAATAAAGCACAATTTAAGATATATATTTATTGTCACTTACCATTGAACTATACATATAATGTTCTTCTCTCATTAGATAAGGAAGAATTAAACACTTTATTTTATTTTTCCAAAATTAAAGAGTAGCAGCAGCTTGAGTTTCCCTTTTTCTTTGTTAACTGTTTCATATCTTTACTTGACTCAACAAAATTTATAATAAATGAATGTCAACACATCTTTACAATTGAACAGTTCTGCAGTTTCTCTTTCTTTCCCTCTTATATCTTATGCCCCCACTTTCAGTTGTTCAGTGAGAGAATTGAGCTCTAACCTCTCTCGCTTGTTGGCAGTGAATGAATGGGTCAGGATACTGGTTGATTGATCATATTGGGATCTGAGACTGCTTATTTTCTGTGACCTTAGTTCAGACTTGAGTGGGTATGTTTGATGAAAACTTTGTTTTGTCTCATAGTGGCGTTTCACATTGGCACTTTTAATCAGCGCCACGGTCTCTGAACATATGGTTTTGGGCTACCGGGGGGAAGAATGAATATGAATGAATCTGTCCATTCCGGGTTAAAAGCTCTATTTTCGCTATCCACTTTTCTTAGAGAGCGCCATTATTTTTCTGTTGTCTCGTGCTCACTCATCTCTCCGTTTCCTCTCCATGTCTGCCACTCGCCTCTCATCGCTCTCGTCTCTGTATTCAGAGTCGCGCTGTTGTTTACACAGATTTGATTGGCTGAGCAGCATCACGTGGGATGGCTTAACTCGCATGCAGTTGGTCTGTAAGCTTCCTGATCCGCTAAACAAATACTGTAAAGACTAGAAAAGCTGTGCTGGTTAAAATAGAAGCGCCCTGTCAAAATTTAGAATCCCTCAATAATTAATTGATTATAGGTATGGGTCCGCATAGGACGGCGTCTGGGTCCGGACTCGACCACCGTCCGCCTGTTAGTGACCTCTGCCCTTGAAAGTTCATGAAGATCCTCCATCATCTCTATCCAGGCACTATACTTCAGACCAAAGCAATGGATCAGACTAGATTAGCGTTAGCCCCACCCACTGACTTTGATGGGCGAGTTTAACAGATAAAATAAATTCATGAAGAACTGCAACACAGGACCATGAAATAATTAAATAGTGAAATAATTATATATGTTTTTTACATAAAATGAATCAGTATTTTAATGAATTAATGACACATTTAATAACACATTTATGTATTTAATTCCAATTTTAATTAATTAATGACACATTTAAGTAATTATTTAATGGTGTATTTATTTATTTAATTTTGGCACTTTTATTCCTCCATAATAGCAAGCCAGCTAATGTTAATATTACTTATTACTATAATCCGACAGCAAGAAGGCCAGCTCAGAGTCTGTCTTGAAGACTTAGATTGAGCACTAAATGGATGGTAAATGGACTGTACTTATATAGCGCCTTTCTAGTCTTCTGAGCATACACTACTCATCAGAAACTAATTAACTCATTCACATACATTGATGCACAACATTGGGAGCCATTTGTGGTTCAGTATCTTGCTTAAGGACACTTCGACATGCAGGAGGAGAAGGGGACCAGCAACCTTCTAATGAGGGAACGACCTGCTCCTCCTGAGCTACAGCTGCTCTGCTCTTGCTGTGTTTGTTGTAGATCTTGTGACATCACATCTTTATTATCACCTATTGAACAGAGCCCAGTTTATTAGATTAGACTAGACTCTATGTTTCTGCAATGTTGTTTTTTTATGAGGGTATAGTTTGTTGTAGCTTACATATTATAAAGTGTTCATGTTCTGTTAACCTCCCTCAAAAGATACCAATGCTGCAAGAGCTGTATGTTCAGCTTTGATCTGTGTGCAGCAGAACAGGAATCAAGCCGAATGGTCACAAAAGCTACAAGCTCCAGGGTTATTAACAGTAAAGCTGCTGAGTACATCAAGTCCAGTAATGCTTTGATAGTGGATTGCTTTATACATGCATAAGAACATTATCTAACATCACAGTTCACTACAGGAGCCATACAGAGAAATGTATAATGTAATCCCCAAATGTCTAATATTCTTCTCTCTTTGGCAGGTTATTTAACTGTTTCCATTGAGCCTCTTCCACCTGTTGTCATTGGAGACACAGTCACACTCAAGTGCAACTTCCAAACAGATGGTAACCTCAGAGAGATTGTGTGGTTTCGGGTGAGCACACAGGTGAACATAATACAATAAGAGCTTTATCAACCATATTCTCTCTGTATATGGTTGATAAAGCTCCCTCATTCTGCCCTCAGTGTCTCTGTGTGAAAATATTCATGTTTAGTGTAAAGGTCAGTAGGCTTTGCCTTATCTCTGTTTTATGGTGGTCTGATATCTTAGACCTGACAAAAAAAAACTAAAACAATTTTCAAGTACTGCACTGTAGAATTTTGAGGTGCTTTTATGATAATAAATCTTCTTCATCTTCTTTACCTAAATAGGACTTTACTCTTAATACTTTTATGTACAGTGGAATATTTTTATTTCATTAAAGTATCTGAATACTTGTTCCGCCACTTCTTATTCTTAACTTCCCAAGATCCTAAAAATTCTGTATTTATGTGCATGACATACTCCCAGTGTAAAGTCTAAAAGGTAGGGCCACAGTGCAGAATAAAATCAGAAACTGAAAAAAAGAGTAAAAACTTGTGTAATGGTAGATTCAGTTTCTTTGTTTCAGCCACTGCAGATGCCCAACCTCCCCCTTCCTAACACAAGATGCCAGGTCCTTTTATGTTTTGTAGATTGTGATGTCTGGACTTGGCCTTACACCTGAATGCAAGATCCTGCAGAACACCTCATATGTAAAACACACCAGTAGGGGGTCGGCCCCGATGTCTGCAGTGGGCAGAGGGGTGTGGAAGCACTTCCTGGAGGGCCAGACCCCTACAGCAGACAAAGGGGTGTGAAAGAGGTGGTCCTCAGGTATAAATGTTTAGATCTCCCCATGTTCGGGGTCTTTCTTCATCTTTGACCGCTCGTGTGTTGATTGACCTTTTCTTTGCAAAGAAAATAAACGTGCCGGCCGGCAGAAGTTCTCTATTTCATTCTTCACCAGCAGCAGAGAAATTTCCACAACAATTGCATACTGTATGTGCTTATAAGGAGTACGGTCTAGACCTGCTCTATTTTGAAAAGTGTCCTGACATAACTTCTATTATGAATTGGCACTATACAAATACAATTTAATTGTATTGAATTGTGCTTGGTAAGCAAATATATTCATAATCAAAGCTGCTAAAGGGACTACTGCTTGTCAGTGTTGAAGATTCATAAATAAATAAACCCTGAATCTTGTGCTTTCCCCTCTCAGGTGTTTGAAGGAGGCAGTGCCAAGCAGAAGATTTTCACCTATGATGCCATGTACAACACCAGCTACTCCCACATGGAGGACCACCGCAAACGAGAGGATCTGGTCTACCAGTCAACTGTCCGGTAAGACAGGCTACATCTATTGTACAAGTTGTGTTAGGTCCTACTCACCCTTATCCTTTGAATTGCAAAAATGTTTGAGAGAACGTTTACACCTGTAGCATGCTTTCTTTTGACAGACAAGTATTGGCAGGGGGAGGTAAATTTAGAGCAATACCATTTTCACTATGTCTAATCTTATGAACCTGACATGTTAAAAATGAAAGCTATAATAAAAAAAAACCCTCTATGATCTGTATAACTGTTTATATGAGCAGGCTTCCTGAAGTCCAGATGGAGGATGACGGCCTGTACGAGTGCCATGTGGGGATCTATGACAGGAGCTCCAGAGACAAAGTGATCCTTGCTTCTGGCAGCATCATCCTCACTATAATAGGTATGTATTGAACTCTGGACACACAGGCATAAGATCGATCCATCAGCTATACTAACTATTCTACTATTTAACTATTTCCCAAAATGTATTCCTTTGATTAAAATATAATTGTATTGATTTGAAGATGCTCCTGCAGCAGTCTCACCAGCATACTAACTTATCATTAACCTTGATTTTTTTCATTTCGAAATAAATACCTCATACCTCATAACTTATATTGTATATTTATGTTCCTTTAACAAATCAAAGGCACTACCATGTTTGACTGCCTTGTATATTTTCTCTGCAGTACCTCCCAAGTCTATCTCTGTGGTGGCAGCCAACAGCCCGGCTCCTTTCAGCCGCTACGAGGCCCAGAACTTCACTCTGGTTTGCATTGTTACAGGAGCAAAGCCAGCTCCCATGGTGAGATGGAGCCTTTTTACTCTTTATCTCTCTTGAAGGACACAGTCTCCATAATGGAATTTGCGTCACTGCATTGAGTTTTAGGACAAAGACCTTCATGATGCATCCATCTATCCATTTAAAATAATGGAAAACAAATATTTTGCAAATCCTGATAGAGTTAAAGAGGATGTTACTTTTACTGTAGAATAAAATTGGGAGAATTGCTGGATTTTACATTTTTAGTGCTCACAGACAACAAAAAACAAAACAAAATTAAAGCTGCAAGCAGCGTTGGGCGGGACCTCGCACTCCACGCAACTCGGGGTGCGCTGCGGACCGTCGTAACACGTGCGGACCACAACACGAAAATGTCACGTAAATCAGCTCAAAATCGCCACGCAGCGCTTACCACCTGTTGCCGGAAGGTGGCGCTATCACTATGTCTTAATATTGTCATGTAGACAGGGGGGACTGTTGTAACACACGTGAAGTTTCATTGAGATTGGACCACGTATGCTGAAGTTAAGAGGACGTGTTCAGGGCGAGACTGTTACAGAATATATGAAGTTCACTGGAGATTGGACATTGCACACTGAAGTTATGAGTGGCATTTCATGGCGAATCCGCTGAATTCGACAAGTCGTCACTGGCACGGTCATTTCACTTAACGCAGCTCAAAATTGCCACGCAGCGCTTACTTCCTGTTGCCAGTAGGTGGCGCTATCACTATGTCTGAATATTGTCATGTAGACGTGTTCAGGGTGGGACTTATCAAACACGTGAAGTTTCATTGAGATTGGATCATGTACGCTGAAGTTATGAGGACGTGTTCAGGGTGGGACTGTACACTGAAGTTGAGTACTATCTGTTTATGGTGACTGGTCGAAATTCAACGCAACGCCACAGGCACGCCGTTTGACGGAATGTCGTAAATAGCACAACTTGTAATCATGAATATCTTTAGACTGCGCTGAATAAATTTGAAGTTGATCCGATAAATTCCCTAGGAGGAGTTCGTTCAAATACAAGGAGAAAAATCACAGAAAATGAGCACGGAATTCAAAATGGCTGACTTTGATGCCAAGCCACAGACACGCTGTTTGACAAAATGTCGTAAATAGCACAACTTTTAATCATGAATGTCTTTAGATTGCGCTGATTAAATTTGAAGTAGATCCAATAAATTCCCTAGGAGGAGTTCGTTCAAATACAATGCGAAAAATCACAGAAAATGACCAAAAAAATCTAAATGGCCAACTTTGAGGGCACGCCACGGACACGCCCTTCAACGTACATGCACAAATAGCAACAACTTTTAATCGGAACCATTTTTTGACGGTACTCACAAGGAAGGCATGTGGAACCACATACGCTGAAGTTATGAGGACGTGTTCAGGGCGAGACTGTTACAGAATATATGAAGTTTACTGGAGATTGGACATTGCACACTGAAGTTATGAGTGCTGTTTTATGGCGAATCCACTGAATTCGACAAATCGTCACTGGCACGGTCATTTCACGTAACTCAGCTCAAAATCGCCACGCAGCGCTTACTTCCTATTGCCAGTAGCTGGCGCTATCACTATGTCTGAATATTGTCATGTACACGTGTTCGGGGGGGACTGTTATCAAGCATTTGAAGTGAGGAGCCGATTGGACAATGTACACTCAAGTTATAGCGAATTCGTGTTTTGTGGCGGTCCATCAAAATTTCCCACCACCCCACAGACACGCCCCCTCACCACAATCAACACATATCATCAACAATGTGTTTTGCATTTTATAAGTAAATTTCAGCTGGATCTGATCATCCTGCAAGGAGTAGAACATGAAAGTATAAAACGAGATACTTCCTGTTACCAGTATGTGGCGCTATCACTATGTCTGAATATTGTCATGTAGACGTGTTCAGGGTGGGACTGTTATCAAACACGTGAAGTTTCATTGAGATTGGATCATTCAATTCAATTCAATTCAATTCAATTTTATTTGTATAGCGCCAATTCATAACAGAAGTTATCTCAGGACACTTTTCAAATAGAGCAGGTCTAGACCGAATTCTTTAAAACATTAATTACGGAGACCCAACAGTACCACCATGAGCAAGCACTTGGCGACAAGGGCAAGGAAAAACTGCCTGTTAAAAGGCAGAAACCTAGGACAGATCCTCCGGCTCTAGGTGGGTGGTCGTCTGTCTCGACCAGTTGGGGTGAGAGAGAGAGAGCGAGAGAGCGAGAGACAGACAGACAGACAGACAGACAGGTGCACAGCAACAACAGTATTAGCAATGCCAATCTAGCAGGACCATGGCAGGAGGCTCCACCAGGATCGACAAGAACCTGTGAGACGAGAAAGCACAAGAACTCCGGGGAAGAAGTGAAGTTAGTAACATGCATTAATGGGACATGAATGAGTGCAGAAAGAGAGAGGAAGGGAGGAGCTCAGTGCACCATGGGAAATCCCCCGATAGTCTAGGCCTATAGCAGCATAACTAAGGGATGGTTCAGGACTCACCTGATCCAGCCCTAACTATAAGCTTTATCAAAGAGGAATGTCTTAAGCCTACTCTTGAATGTGGTGAGGGTGTCTGCCTCCCGAACCACAAATGGAAGCTGGTTCCACAGGAGAGGAGCTTGGTAACTGAAGGCTCTGGCTCCTGTTCTACTTTTAGAGACTATAGGAACCACAAGTAGCCCAGCATTCAGAGAACGTAGTGTTCTAGAGGGGTAATAGGGTACTCTGAGCTCTTTAAGATATGAAGGAGCCTGACCATGAAGAGCTTTATAGGTGAGGAGGAGGATTTTAAATTCTATTCAACATTTTACAGGGAGCCAATGCAGAGAAGCTAGTACAGGAGAGATGTGATCTCTTTTTCTAGTTCCTGTCAGTACTCGTGCTGCAGCGTTCTGAATTGAGCGTTTTAATGGACTTATTGGGGCAACCTGATAATAAAGAGTTGCAGTAATCCAGCCTTGAAGTAACAAATGCATGGATTAGTTTTTCTGCATCTGTCTGTGATAGGATGTGTCTAATTTTTCTAATATTACGTAAATGAAAGAAGGCAGTCCTAGAGGTCTGCTTTATGTGGTACAGAACCCTGTGGAACTCCATGACTAACTGTAGTATTTATTGAAGATTCATCGTTAACATGTACAAACTGCGAGCGATCTGATAAATATGACTTAAACCAGCTTAGTGCGATTCCTTTAATGCCAATTTGATGCTCAAGTCTCTCCAAAAGAATATTATGGTCAATGGTGTCAAATGCACGCTGAAGTTATGAGGACGTGTTCAGGTTGGGACTGTACACTGAAGATATGAGTACTATCTGTTTGATGGCCAATCGGTGGAATTCGACATGTCGTCACAGGCACACAGTTAAACATACAGTCAGAAATAGCACAACTTTTGATAACCAATGTGTGTAGATTGAAGAGATCGAATTTGAAGTCTGATAAAATCTGTAGGAGGAGTTAATTAAAACAGAAGCCCTTAAATGCCAGAAATAGCATCACAGTTTGACATTCGATTCAACCTGGCCAACTTTGAGGGAAAGCCACGGACACGCCCTTTAACGTACAGTCACAAATAGCACAACTTTTAATCAACACAATTTTTTGACTGTACTGACTAATTTTGAAGCAGATCTGATGAATTCTCTAGGAGGAGTTTGTTCAAATACAACGCAAAAAAATCCTGAAAATCATTGCAAAATGCCGGAAATGGCATCACAGTTTGACATTTGATTCAACCTGACCAACTTTGAGGGCACGCCACGGACACGCCCTTTAATGTACATGCACAAATAGCACAACTTTTAATCAGCACCATTTTTTGACTGTACTCACAAATTTTGAAGCATATCCGATAAATTCCCCAGGAGGAGTTCGTTCAAATACAATGCGAAAAATTCACAGAAAATGCACATGGAATTCACTATGGCCAACTTTGAGGGCACGCCACGGACACGCCCTTCAACGTACATGCACAAATAGCACAACTTTTAATCAGCACCATGTTTTGACTGTACTCACAAATTTTGAAGCAGGTCCGATAAATTGCCTAGGAGGAGTTCGTTCAAATACAATGCGAAAAGTTTGCCAAAAGTGAAACTTTAAATCAAAATGGCTGACTTCCTGTGGGGTTTCGGGTATGGGTCCAAGAGGCTTCTTTGTACGTCCCGGCATGTTACACGTGCCTACCGAGTTTCATACATATCGGTGAAACGTGGCGCCGAGGCTGCCTTTTTTTTTATCCTGTAGGGGGCGCTACACACACGACAAACATGATTTTTGGTATGTGAGCTTCAGGCACTACTCTACACGTGCCCTGTGAATTTCATATTCATAACTATTATGCTCTCCGCACAGTGATTTATCATGCCAAAAGAGCGCTACCTATTGGTGTATTTTTTTTGTCCTTTTTAAGGGAGCCTCAGACAGCCATGGGGAAGCATCGTACCAAGTTTCATTTCAATCACATGTGCTGTTATGGAGATATAAACTTCTTAATTTTAAAGAGCGCCACCTAGAGGCAATGGCCTGAAATTGTGCACGATGCCTAAGGAAGACATGGGGAACTAAGGACCCAAGTTTGATGTCAATCAGACATAGCAATGTGGAGAAATGATCCACTTCCTTTTTTGATGAAAAATCTACAGGAAGTTAGAATTTTATAGCGTTCTTATTTTTTGAAATTTCAAAAATGTTCAAATTACTCTTTTTGCCAGAGCGGTCCCCAGGTGCTAGGTGAAAGTTTTTGTGCGAATCGGACAAAGCGTGTAGGAGGAACACGAAAAAGTAGTTCAAGGACATTTTGCGCTCTAACGGAAAAACATTATAGGCGGAAGTGGGCGGGGCCTACATAGGAAGATTCAGCTCCATTCATTGAACGTGTGGATACAAGGTTTATGAATGTGCGACAAACTATGCAGAAGTTATTAGCCTAAACGCACGTTTTATGATAATAGCGCCACCTAGCGGCTGACCTGAAAGTGACACATAGAATATAACATTTTTCACGAGGCCTGACCATTTTGCCAAATAAAATTGACTTTTCGAGAGAGACAGAGAGAAAGAGACAGAGAGAGAGAGAGAGAGAGAGAGAGAGAGACAGACAGGTGCACAGCAACAACAGTATTGGCAATGGCAATCTAGCAGGCCCATGGCAGGAGGCTCCACCAGGATCGATAAGAACCGACGAGAAAGCACAAGAACTCCGGGGAAGAACAACATGCAAGTAATATGCATTAATGGAACATGAATGAGTGCAGAAAGAGAGAGGAAGAGAGGAGCTCAGTGCACCATGGGAAATCCCCCGATAGTCTAGGCCTATAGTAGCATAACTAAGGGATGGTTCAGGACTCGCCTGATCCAGCCCTAACTATAAGCTTTATCAAAGAGGAATGTCTTAAGCCTACTCTTGAATGTGGAGAGGGTGTCTGCCTCCTGAACCACAACTGGAAGCTGGTTCTACAGGAGAGGAGCTTGGTAACTGAAGGCTCTGGCTCCTGTTCTACTTTTAGAGACTATAGGAACCACAAGTAGCCCAGCATTCAGAGAACGTAGTGTTCTAGAGGGGTAATAGGGTACTCTGAGCTCTTTAAGATATGAAGGGGCCTGACCATGAAGCGCTTTATAGGTGAGGAGGAGGATTTTAAATTCTATTCTACATTTTACAGGGAGCCAGTGCAGAGAAGCTAGTAGGGTGTGTCCGTGGTGTGCTGTCAAAGTTGGCCATTTTGAATTCCGTGGTCTTGTATTTGAACGAACGAACTCCTAGGGAATATATCGGATCTGCTTCAAAATTGGTCTGTACAGTCAAAAAATGTTGCTGATTAAAATTTGTGCTATTTGTTGCTGTATGTCCAAGGGCGAGACCGTGGTGTCCCGTCAAGGTTGGCTATTTTGAATTCCGTGGTCATTTTCAGTGAACTTTTTGCCTTACCTGACTTATCGAATCTACTTCAAAATTGGGTACACTTAAAAAATGTTGCTGATTCAATATTGTATTATTTGTGCATGTACATTAAAGAAATTTTGTCAGAAGTCACTCAGACTGTTGAAAATGACCTCTTATGAATCTTATACATTTTTATTGAACCGTGTTGCCGTAGCGAGCCTCACCTTTTTGTTTTTACATTTGATCGCATTTTGTGGGGGCTATACAGGCTCAACACCTCATGAAACTTGGCACACACGTCCCACATGGCAGCATTTTACATTTCATTTGGGTGTTGCCCCATGGTATGTCAAAAAGTGCCCCCTACAAATTTTCAAAAAACCAGCCCCAGTGTCCTGTTTCGTGGACATGAAAATTGGCAGGTATATGTATCATGTGAGGACGTACAAAAAAGCCTGTTGGAGCCATATCCTAAACCCAACAGGAAGTCGGCAATTTTGAATTTAATGTCAAATTCTGCTGCCATTTCCAAGCCTTGTATTTTAACAAACTCCTCCATGGAATTAATCAGAAAGAGTTCAAATTTGGTGGGCACATTCTAAAGACCTCCAGGATTTAAAGTCGTGCTTCTCCTGAATATTCTTTGAACTGCGTGACCGTGGTATGCTGTCAAAGTCGGCCGTTTTAAATTTCGCAGGGATTTTCTAGCAGTTTTTTTTTTCGCATTGCATTTGAACAAACTCCTCCAAGGGAATTGATCAGATCTACTTAAAATTGGTAAGTACAGTCAAAAAACATTGCTGAATCAAAGTTGTGCTTTTTGTATACATTGATGGGTGTGTTTGTGGTGTGCCGTTAAAGTTGGCCATTTTGAACAAAGTCCTCCTAGTGAATTCTTTAGAATGACTTCAAAAGTGGTGAGTACAATCCAGAGAAGTTCAGGATGTTACATTATTAAAATCTTTACATTCAATCAAACGGTGTGCCTTCAAAAATCAGCCTTGACATTACAATGTAAACCCTAACCCTACCCCGACCGCTAAACCTAACTGCAGTACAGATTCTCCATTTGGACCCAAACTTCCCAAGTTTCTTAAGAGCCCTAGCCTAAACACGTCTGAGTGCCAATATACAGTCGCTGTCCTAGCGTCAACTACTGGCACCAGGAAGTAAGCCTTGTGTGGCAATTGTGATGTGATTTCTGTGAAATGTTCATAGCTTGGTGTTGCCATGATGTACTGGTGCGTGACCCGATGGCGACACACCCCAATGTGCACCGCACCGAGCCTGAAGCTCACATACCAAAAATCGTGTTTGTCTTGCTTGTAGCGCCCCCTACAGGATAAAAAAACAGCAGCCCCAGTGCCACGTTTCACCGATATGTACGAAACTCGGTAGGCACGTGTAACATGCCAGGACGTACAAAAAAGCGTGCATGTACGTTGAAAGGCATGTCCATGGCGTGCCCTCAAAGTTGGCCACAGTGAATTCCGTGCGCATTTTTGGTGATTTTTTCGCATTGTATTTGAATGAATTGGTCCTAGGGAATTTATCGGATCTGCTTCAAAATTGGTCAGTACAGTCATAAAATGGTGCTGATTAAAAGTTGTGCTATTTGTGCATGTACATTAAAGGGCGTGTCCGTGGCGTGCCCTCAAAGTTGGTCACTTTGTAACTTTCAGAAAACCATTGTTAATAGTGACACCGACAGTCAAGCATCCTGTTGATCACACTCACACTCAGCAAGGGAGTTGAACTTGTTCTTATTGAACATTTCTGACTTCTTAACATCTCCTTCAACCAAATTAAGCATAGCGTTCAGGCAGGCCAAGAGGTCAGGCTCAGCTCTCAATTCCAGCTATATCAGCTGATCACAACTAATCATAAACACACATCAGCTGATGGCTCAGCTGATTTCTCCTAAGCTTTCTATTGGAAACTATACACAGTCAGCTGACAACTCAGCTGATTCCCTCAAGCATCCAATTGGCAAATATCATTCATGGCGCTCTATTTAAGCTGCTTTAGCTTGCCTATCTTTGCTGCTTCCTCTACAAGCCTTTTTGCAACCCACCTCCACCCCAGCTCCTCCTTTTTATGTTGTATCTAATCAGTCATTTCTGATTGCCATTGATTGCTCTGTTGTGTACCCTGGGGGGTCTCTGCTGTCGCTCTCCTTGTCTTAAATTTTTCCATGTATCCACATGGAAGCTCAGGGAGGTGTGCACTCCCTGCCTTAAGGTTTTCCACGTAGGCATGTGGAAGGACAAGGAGGTCCCAGAACAGAGCAATACCACAAAATGTAATATTCTGCTTTGGAATTAAAGTTATTTTGATAAAAGTGGTCCTGACTGAACTATAATTGTGACAATGCATTTGACTCAGTAAATGCTTGTTCTGACCTTTAAGCCATTGAGAGCATACAGTAAGCTGTTATATAACAGAGGTTCTGTGCAAAGGGAAAAAAATCTGGTTTATGATTTGAAATGCTTTTCACTATTCCTGTTGCACTCCCTTGCCTTTACCCCTGCCTTTCAGGTGTACTTCAAGCGAGATGGTGAGCTTATTGATGTGGTCCCAACTGCCCAGTCTTCCTCCTCAGTTGGAGACCAAAGCAAGAGCACAAGTCAAGAAAAGAGCCGAGTTAGCCAGGCAGGGCTCTGGAGCTCCCAGGTTCTCACCAGTCGAGACCTTGATGACACCAAACTCCAGAAGTCCCTGTCCCTGCTGGAACAAGAAGGGAAGCTGGCGCGGTTGGGCCAAGATGGCCCCAAACAGGGCTGGGACCAAAGGACTGAGTTGGACCCTGAGCCAACCACCGAGCTGATCCCAGAGACGGTGGTGAGCCGCGAGTTTCCCCGCTGGGTGCAGAGCAGTGATCCGCTCTACTACTTCAAGCAACAGCAGCAGGCATCAGGTGACGGTACCATGGAAGTGAGAGCCATGCTGACCTGGAGCCTCAACCCCCAACTTGACAATGAGGCTCTGTTTAGCTGTGAGGTTAACCACCCAGCTCTGTCCATGCCCATGCAGGCCGAAGTCACGCTGGGTGAGTCATGCACTAACACACTTGGGCTGAGCTAACATACTGGTCAAGTGTCATTCAATTTCAAGAGAGAGACAGAGGTAAATACAGAAGGACGGGACCTAACTATAAGCTTTATCAAAAAGGGACGTCTTAAGCCTACTCTTGAATGTGGAGAGGGTGTCTGCCTCCCGAACCAAAACTGGAAGCTGGTTCCACAAGAGAGGAGCTTAGTAGCCGAAGGCTCTGGCTCTTGTTGTACTTTTAGAGACTATAGGAACCACAAGTAGCCGTGCATTCAGAGAGTGCAGTGTTCTAGTGGGGTAATATATAAAATATGAGCCCTTTAAGATATGAAGGGGCCTGACCATGAAGAGCTTTGTAGGTAGGGAGGAGGATTTTAAATTCTCCTCTGAATTTTACAGGGAGTCAGTGCAGAGAAGCTCATACAGGAGAAATATGATCTGTTTTCAGGGCACGACTCTTATCAAACAAGTTTTGTTGAGATTGGACCATGTACACTGAAGTTGTGACAACTTCCTGTTTCATGGAAAAACATTAAAATTTTGGCCCCACACTACAGGCATGCCGTTTGATGCAGACTCACAAACAGCACAACTTTTAATCATGAATGTCTTTAGATTGCAGTTGATCTGATCAATTCCCTAGAATGAGTCCGTTAAAATACAACACCAAAAATGGCAGCTAAATCCAAAATGGCCAACTTCCTGTTGGGTTTGGGACCTGTACTTGTATAGCGCCTTTCTAGTCTTCGGACCAGTAAAAGAGCTTTTACACTACATGCCACATTCACCCTTTCACATACTTTCACTCACTTCACTGTGTACTGTGGTTTATGTGAATGGTTTTCAACAGGGGTCCTTGAGTGGGTTATAGGGGGTCCACATCAAAAGGAGGAAATTTGAACGTGTATCACATTTTTTGAAAACAAGGGAAGAAAGAGGGTTGGCTGTTTTATAGTTATCCCAGTTTGTTCAATGAATGAGTACTATTATCTTAAACAAACACAAGTCTGGGAACCAGTGGTTTATACTTGACTCATTGTTAAATGAAAAAGAGGTGGACATCCTCTGAGAATCCTGGAAATGTGGGGAGCATGTTAGGCATGCACTATTATGACTATTAAGTTGAATGTTGTTGTACTGTACTACAGAAGTCCAGTGTGGTATATCACTTTTCTATTAGCTGCTCCCAGAGGACCTAAGCTGTCAATGAACCCCAGTAAGGCCAAGGTGGGAGACACAGTGCGGATCACTGTCCAGGGCTTCCAGCTGGGACCTTCTGCAGTAAGTTTCAAACACAGTGGCTCCTTGAACAGGGGAAGCTCTGTAAAGCACAAACAATATGACCAATAGGGGACATTCTAGTATCAAAGATATGGACAGAATAATAAATGTGCTCAGTGCTTGGTTTCAGTTCTTTTAGATTCACTATACAAATCAACTTGCAGAGACTTGAGTTGATTTTTTTCATGTGGTACAGTGAGGTTGTAAAACTCTCCATACTGTTTCAATGAGATGCTGGGTTTTTGACGTGCTATTTGGCATTATAATAGCATGAAACATTCAGTTACTGGCATTCATCTTTCTGTGACTGGCACTAAACGTATCAAGGTTAGGGCTCACACTTAAGTTCTGGTATTTCATTCAAAGTTGAGTAGATGTGTTATACACAGAATGTAAACAGACGTCAAATGTAATTTTTGTCTTCTAAAGAGAACAGTGTTGCAGCTTGCAGCAGAGCTCCTGAATGAGGAGAAGGGAGTTTGTTGCACATTTAGATGCAAATTATTTCCCACTGTAAGAGATATTTACAAAGATGTTTACAAAAACCAAAATCAGTCCACAGTCAGGGAAGGTCTAATTTTTTAGGTAATGTTACTACTTAATGTTCACTCATTGGCAATAAAAAGTGATTAATACATAAAATAATATGTATGCTTCAGAATCTTACATATGTAAACTATGGATGAAAGAAAGATTAACAAAAGCATCAATATTACACTATTACAATACACTACACTTAACATTAATGCTGCACTAGGTCATTTTTATAAAAATACCTTTTTGTCATATTTGCTGAAACTTTCACTGTATCCTAAAAGCAGTACATGAGACAGATAAACTGTGAAAAAATAAGGTCCCTTTTGCTCCATGGATGTAATGAAAGTTCCAGCAAATATGACAAAAAGCAGCAGTATCTTTTCATATTATTATGATGCCAGGAAATGATCAAAATAATCATAATAAGTAGATATTTGAATAAAGAAAATGCAATGTTAATATAGAATATCAAACAGCAAAGAGGAAAAAGGGGAAACTTCTAAAGTTCTTTTTTTGGCCTTTTATTGCCTTTATTGGATAGTGACAGCCAAAGACAGACAGGAAAGGGGGGCAGAGAGAGGGGAATGACATGCAGCAAAGGGCTGCAGAACGGATTCAAAACCTGGGTCGCTGCAGCAACTCCGTACATGGGTCGCCTGCTCTACCGACTGAGCTAACAGAGGGCCCAAGTTCTCCTTTTCTAAAGGAGAGTGAAACTTACTGCATCCAGTCAACACTCTTCCTACTTCCCCTACCACAAGCTTAATGACAATTAAATGTACCCATCAGTCAGGTCTTCAAATTAAGAAGAGCTGGCCACAATACTGAATATTTCATGACATCAAAATGTTTCTCAACAGATGTAATTGTTGTTCCAGTGCCGCTCACTGAGCTGTGCAGGGTTAAGAACATGGTTCAGAGCCACCACAGCAGCAGTTTAGGGAGAGATTAGTGTCCTTTCATTTTGTCCTCTCAGCTCACATTGTGACCACGCAGCTCCCTCCTCACACACATTCATGTGTGTCCACAGAGCGAGGTCTTCCCGGAGCCCATGTTTACCTGGACCAAGGTCGGTGGGCATCTGCTGGATGGCAGCGAGCAGCATGATGGGAGAGAACTCGTCCTGGAGAGAGTTCCCGCTGAACTCAATGGCTCTATGTTCCGCTGCACGGCCCAGAATCCTTTGGGCTCAACAGACACCCACACCCGACTCATTGTGTTTGGTGAGTCTGTTTGTGGAAGAATTTGTTTGTTTATCATCTGTTCACTGTGCTCACAACAAATGTTTTTATTTTACAGACAACCCAAGACTAAAGAAAGGAAAAGAACATTTTATTGGTAGGTCATTCTATTTCATAGTCAGTTCAGGCACTTTTACAACTGTCACTGTTGCAACTTCCCATTAATGTAATAAACCAGTATTTTAAACATAGGAATCTGAGCTCCTATGACAACACAAATATAGAAACCATGTTTAATATAAGCAGCCCTAATTTGTTCAATATTGAATAAATAAGCAATCATGAAGTAAATAATCACAAGAATAATTTGTGTAAAATATATTCATGATAATGAATAATTCATTTGTAAAAGAAAATTATCTTTGAAATGTCGTTTATTTATGGTATTTTCATAATTTTATACACCAATCACCCACATCATTATGACCACCTGGGCACCCACAAAAAGTGTGCATCAGATACAATTCATTCCTATCATCTTTGCTAAACAATCATCAATCATCGTTGATAAAAATGTAATTATTTCTAAATAATTACAAGAAATTATTATTTTGATTTGATTTTGAATTATTTATGACCAATAATTCACCTTGGTAGTTGCTTCATATGTAGCTTTAATGTATCAGATGTTGGCAATGCATAAAGATGCGTATTGCATCAGCCTCAGTGATGGAGATGCACACCCCTACACTTTAGTGAAAGTCTACTGGGCCGTCGTATTGGTTACTAGATTAAAACTTTCATTGGCTTGCATTTGAACTATGGCCCTGTCCAAGCTATACAAACCCTTTGCAGATTGGGCGACCATATGTATCATATGTATGGTATAAGTAACTACTAATAATAATATTACAGTAATAATATTACTTTCTCCAGTAACTAGTAGTGTGACTAATTACTAATAAATGTCAGTAAAAATATCACAGTTACAACCAAAAAATAATTTGTTACAACATTGCTTTTCAACTACGGTTTTCAATCCAACAATCCAGTCACATCCTTGGACTCATTTTTGTAATCACGGAGGAAACCAATTTGGAAGATGGAAACGCAGGAAATATTCCATTACTTTGATTTTAATAAACAAAACTGGATTTTAATCATCGTCAGTCAAGAGTAGCAGGAAAGTAATCTAACTAGTAGTGTAACGAATTACTGTTGGTAGGGAGTAATAAGTAAAGCAATAATATTAGTTTTGAAAATAGTAAAGAGTAATTACATTTTTTGAGTAACTAGCCCAACACTGGTTATAATTAGACTGTGTTTGAACTTACCCACTGCTAGTGCAACATGCTGCTGTAATTATGCTGTCTTGTTTGTGTGAAGCCATCGATGCAGCAGTCATTCAGGGCTCCCTCACATTGACCTCAATGTTGCTGCTGCTAAGCTTCACCTGCGAGATGACGTGACGTGATTCCACACACCACCACCTACAGGCACCTAATCTCCAACGATCCCCCAGCAATAACTAAACCTCCACTCAGCTGTTAGCAGCAATACTCGGTGTTGCTGGAAGGTACAGCAGGACTTCAACCATGGGAGAAAGGACAGATACTGATACAGCACCAGATGCTGTACAGCATGCTATCACACCACAAGCAACTTTGCTGATTGGATACCCTACTCTGACTGATGAGTATGTAAGAGGCTCTAACTACATCATACCGAGAGGAATCTTGGATGTAAAATGTGTGATCTCACGTATAAATGTGTGCAGGGTCCACACTAGATCCCAGGGAATAATAGAGAATTGCAGTCCTAATAGGCTATAGGCTGGCCAATCAGCATAGCCAACTCTCTGCTTACACCAGACCAGATAAGACAGACAGATTTTTAATCACCAGTGTGCCCTTTATTGGACATTGTTACATAAAAAAGACATTCTCAACTTCACTCCAATTGCACAAAATGTATATTATTATGAATCTCTGGAGGGTAGACAGAGCTGTGTAAAAGTGCCCGAAGGGCCAATGACCCCCCTTAATGGCTGCTCAGACCAGAAATTGCAGACCCATCAGGAATTGATTGGCTAGGGCAGTAATTCTGTGGGATCTGGTGAAGGAGTTTTAAGGTTGTTAAAGCTCTCAAATTTAGACAAACTTTTTTATTATAAGATTTTATTTCACCTGTAGCTCCAGAGTGCCTGAGTTTGTTTGTTTGGGTCTCGTCTTCACTTCCGTCTTTGCTAGAGTCTCAGAAGACACCATCAAAAACTATTATAATTTATTTTTAACTATTATATTTTTTATATATATCTATATATATCTTTTTTTTTTCAGAATAACATCTACAGATACTGGTCTCTCTCTCTCTCTCTGGATCTTTGGAGTGCTGATTACAAATTGGCCCTATTTACACCTTGTCATTTTGTGACACGTCTTACTGAAAATGTCACTATATCCTGACAGTAGCAAATATACAGATAATCTGTGAAAGTCCAGTTCCACTAGCTCATCCTAGTGCGTACAAGTGCAAAAATGAGTCTCATTCCTAGCATCTGTGTTTGATGCCCTAGGAATGAGACTCAACAATCTACTATCTTTCTCGCCTCTGATTGGTTGTTTTCATTCCGTTCCGGTGGATTCTTGCAAATGCCACTGGCATTTTTCACAGATTATCTGTCTCATGTACTGCTGTCAATATATAATGAAAGGTTCAGCAAATATCTCAAAAAACAATTTTCATAAGTTACCTAATGCCGCATCTTGGGTGATCCGATCAAAAGTGGACTGCTGTACCAAAGACACATTGAGATCTGATTCCACATTCAGAGGTGGTCTGGGCTGCAAATGGCTGCATTCTTTTAGCAGTGCGTGTGACTTGGGGCACATTGAAGGACCACCTACTCAACTGACATCCTCTGCATAAGCAGAAGAACGTACAAATTTGTGCACCAACGGTGTTATATTAAAGCACAGAAATACAAGTAGGCTGCAAGTAATTTCGATTGAGGCTTTATTTAGCTTTCGCTGGTTTAACAAATCTCCGTCAGGCAGCACATCTACATCCATATACACCCATGAAAACTCCAGAGACCACGTAACCTCCTACATTTCACTGTATATCATGTGCAGGGAAACTGGATTCTAATTTATGGAAATCTACCATTTTGAAGCCTTCACACAATACTGCTAGTTGAGCTGCGTTTAGTTTCAGGAAACAATGGTGGCTCACCTGGTCATGCATGTTCTCTTATTACATATAAACAGTATGCTAAAAATTTATTTTTAAAGTTTCTTAAAAGATTTTAAGCAAGAAATGGACAATGCACTTACTGAATCTTGATTTATATTTGATCAACACTGCCTACTTTGACAGTCTGATGCTAGACAAACTCACTGAGAATGACTTACCCTGCTTTTTTCCATTTTAATCTAAATGGGACCATAATTTACTAAATGAACAACATGCTGTGAAAGAATACTTGAAACTAGACATTGAGACCATAAACTATTAGGAAACTGTTTTTAGCTAATAAATCAATTGAGAAGTAGGCTCATTTCTCAGAGTCAATACTTATTTTTTGCATTAGAAAGAATGCAAGTTTCCATTTGGGCCTATGGTAAAAAACAACAATGCAAGGTATTTGAAAATGGATGTTTGCTAAGGGAGCAGAGAAGTGCGATGTAATCACAAGTGGTCACTTAATGCATACTAATGCATAGTGTGAGCTGACATAGTTAGAGCTGTCCACTTGTGATTGAATCAGCTAAGATGCATGTTAATGCCAGTTGTTAACAGGGTCAGTGCTTTCTTTCTTAAATAATGTAGCTCTCCTTTGGGAATCTTAGAATGTGTTACTGGAAATTAGTAAAAGATCCAAATTATCTTCTGCACTCAGTGTCTAATAATGTAAATATCCAGACTACTGTTTACAGTGAAACAGACTGTAGTATAATATCTCCTCTGGAATAAAAGTCAAAAGAGAAACATCACTTGTGTTGTTAGTATCAGTGATTTTTGTTATGTTTTTTATATGATTTTCTGTCTGAATTCTCAGAGTTTTTATCAAGTTTAGTCCTTAAGACAGGTAAGTAATTATGGTAGGCGATTTTAATATTCATGTGGATGTTGACAATGATAGCCTTAGTAACGCATTTATTAGACTCAATTGGCTTCTGTCAGAGTGTAAATAAACCAACTCATTGTTTTAATCACACTCTTGACCTCGTTCTATCATATGGCATTGACATTTTTATTTTTATTTTATACATTTAATAGTCTTCCCACAAAATCCTTTCCTATCTGACCATTATTATATAACTTCTGAATTCATATTATTAGATTATAAGCCATTAGGCAAAACTTCCTACAGCAGCTGCCTATCTGACAGTGCTGTAGCTAAATTTAAGGAGGAGATTCTATCAGTGTTTAATTCAATGCCATGTCTGAATATAACAGAGTCCTATAATAACTTTAGTCCCTCCCAAATTGATCATCTTGTATAGTGCTGCAGGCTCACTACGAACATTAGACTCTATCGCTCCTATAAAGGTGAACTATTAAAACATAGGAGGCTAGCACCGTGGTACAACCACCAAACCTGCCAATTAAAGCAAAGAGCGCGGAAATCTGAAAGGAAATGGCGCTCCTCGAAATCATTAGAATACCGCTCAAATTGGGAAGATAATCTTAAAACATATAGAAAGGCCCTCCGTAATGCCAGAGGAGCCTATCATTCAGCACTAATAGAAGAAAATAAGATAATAACAACCAAAATAACAACCCAAGGTTCCTCTTCAGCACTGTAGCCAGGCTGACAGAGTCACAGCTCTATTGAGCCACATATACCTTAAGTAGCAACGACTTTATGAGCTTCTTTTACGATAAAATTATTACTATTAGAGACAAAATTAATAACCAAATGCCCTCAACAGGTATCACTGTCACTCCAAGTTCAGGAACTTTAACTAATGTAAAATCAGATATATATTTAGACTGTTTTTCTGCCATCAATCTTCATCAGTTAACCTCAACAATTCCTACATCTAAGCCATCAACCTGTCTGTTAGACCCCATCCCAACTAGGCTGCTTAAAGAAGTCGTACCCTTAATTGGCACTTCTTTACTGGATATGATCAATTTTTCTTTGTTGTCAGGATATGTACCACAGTCCTTTAAAGTAGCTGTAATTAAACCCCTTTCTTAAAAAGCCCACTCTTGAACCAGGGGTTTTAGCCAACTATAGACCCATTTCTAACCTCCCCTTCCTCGCTAAGATTCTGGAGAAAGTAATCGCCAAGCAGTTCCGTGACTTTCTACATAACAACAGCTTATTTGAGGATTTAGAGTTCATCACAGCACAAAAACAGCTCTACTACTAAAGTTAGTAATGAACTTTTGATTGCTTCGGACAATGGTCTCTCTTTTAGATCTTAGTGCTGCATTTGACAACATTGACCATAATATTCTTTTACAGAGACTTGAGCATCAAATTAGCATTAAAGGAACTGCACTAAGCTGGTTTAGGTCATACTTATCAGATTGTTCTCAGTTTGTACACGTTAGCGATGAATCTTCCATAAATACAACAGTTAGTCATAGAGTTCCACAAGGTTCTGTACTTGGACCAATTCTATTCACTTTATATATGCTTCCCTTAGGCAACATTATTAGGAATCACTCCATTAACTTTCATTGTTATGCAGATGATACACAGTTATATCTGTCGATCAAGCCTGATGAAATTAACCAATTATCTAAATTACAAACATGTCTTAAGGACATAAAATCCCGGATGAGCTGCAATTTTCTGATGCTAAACTCAGAAAAAAAATTTAATTCATGTACTTGGCCCCAAAAACCTTTGAGACTCACTGAATGGTAAATGGACCTGTACTTGTATAGCGCCTTTCTAGTCTTCCGACCACTCAAAGCGCTTTTACACTACGTGCCACATTCACCCTTTCACACACATTCACACAGTGATGGCAAAGCCCATCGAACAGAAACTAATGCATTCATACACATTCATACACCGATGCATGGCATCGGGAGCAATTCGGGGTTCAGTGTCTTGCTCAAGGATACTCGACATGTGGCCAACAACCTTCTGATTGGGGGACGACCCACTCTGCCTCTGCGCCACAGCCGCCACTGACTAAAGATATAGTTACTCTAGATGGTATTACCTTGGCCTCTAGCACCACTGTCAGGAATCTTGACACGTTATTTTTGATCAGTACATGTCATTTAATTCCCACATAAAGCAACCCTCTAGGACTGCCTTTTTTCATTTACATAATATTACAAAAATTAGACAGATCTTGTCATAGACGGATAGTAATCCAGCCTAGAAGTAACAAATGCATGGATTAGTTTTTGTGAATCGGTCTGTGATAGGATGTGTCTAATTTTTGTAATATTACGTAAATGAAAGAAGGCAGTCAAGTAAATCAATATTATAATCTGATATTAATTCATTCACTAAAACAGCTTTAGAGGACAGAGACCTGATATTTAACAGTCCACATTTCATTCTTTTATTTTGTGCTACTGAGGAGTTGGTTTTCTCTCTGTCTAACCCCAACTGGTCGAGGCAGACGGCCTCCCTTGGGACGTCTGTCCAAGGTTTCTGCCTCTTTAAAGGACATTTTTCCTTGCCGCCATCGCTTGCTCATGGTGGGATCTCTTGTAAATACACTGAACAAAATTATAAACGCAACACTTTTGTTTTTGCCCCCATTCATCATGAGCTGAACTCAAAGATCTAAGACTTTCTTTATGTACACAAAAGGCCTTTCTCTCAAATATTGTTCACAAATCTCATAAAATCTGTGTTAGTGAGCACTTCTCCTTTGCCGAGATAATCCATCCTCCTCACAGGTGTTGCATATCAAGATGCTGATCAGACAGCATGGGTATTGCACAGGTGTGCCTTAGGCTGGCCACAATAAAAGGCCACTCGAAAATGTGCAGTTCCATCACACAACACGCCACAGATGTCACAAGTTTTGAGGGAGCGTGCAATTGGCATGCTGACTGCAGGAATGTCCACCAGAGCTGTTGCCCGTGAATTGAATGTTCATTTCTCTACCATAAGCCGTCACCAAAGGCGTTTCAGAGAATTTGGCAGTACATCCAACCGGCCTCACAACCGCAGACCACGTCTAACCACACCAGCCCAGGACCTCCACATTCAGTATTTTCACCTCCAAAATCGTCTGAGACCAGCCACTCGGACAACTGCTGTGCATCGGTTTGCATAACCAAAGAATTTCTGCACAAACTGTCAGGAACCGTCTCAGGGAAGCTCATCTGCATGCTCGCCGTCCTCATTGGGGTCTTGAGTACGGTCTAGATCTGTCTATTTGAAAAGTGTCCTGAAATGTCATTTGTTATTGAATCATCATCAGTCACTACTATTAGTGTAGTTGTTGCTACTGTTGTTGCTGTGCACCTTTGTCTCTGTCTCTGTCCTTCTGCTGTTACCTCTGTTCTCTCTCTCGTTCTCTCTCTCTTTCGGTCTCTCTCTCTCTCTCACCCCAACTGGTCGAGTCAGACGACCACCCACCTAGAGCCACTCTGTCCGAGGCTTCTGCCTCTTAAAAGGAAGTTTTTCCTTGCTGCCGTTGCCAAGTGATTGCTCATGGTGGGAACTGTTGGGTCTCTGTAACTAATGTTATAGGATACTTATATCCTTATAACTTCACATAGCTCGCTTTCATTGACCCTAACCCTAACCTGTCATTATAATCAATTTCTGAAAAACTGAAAAAATTGTCTCTAAATTTCAAGGTTTTTCAGGTTTTCCTGGATGCGTGGGAACCCTGAATAATGGAATACAACAAATACTGTACATGTTTTGGTTAAATTTTTAAATAACAGGTCCAACACAGTGAGTGCCGCAGTTGTGGAGCTTTATTTGAAGCAGTGTTTATGTGTAACGGTAATTTACAGGATCACAGATCAAGTACACAACCTCTCCCTGACAGGCCTGTCCTGAACTCCACTCCTCCTCAAAAACGGCTCAAGAAAATGTCATCTAACACCAAACCAAAACCCAAAGCTCATGCTACAAAAAGCTGTATACACTTAGTTAGAAGGAAGTCCGTACCGTCCTTTAGACGAGAACACTGATTAGAAAGAAGACCCGGTTCATTAAAAAAAGCATTGTTAAAGAGGCGCTGGAGGTCTGTGATTGTGAAAGGCAGAGACAGTGACAGGCAGCTCCAGTGTGCGTGAGGCTGGGGGGCTGCAGCCCCCCCCAGTGCAATTCATCCCCCCAACCACTCTAATAGTCTCTTATACACAAAATAGAGTTGTAAAGGCAGTTTGTTACATTTCACATTATATCAGCTTCTGTTATTACTCTCCGTACTTCATATTGAATACAGTATGTACACTGCTTTATAGTATTGGTATGTTAGCTCTATTTACATCTCTGTCTACTCACAAACATAAAGAACACCTGCTGCCATCAGCAGACATATAAACACAGAGAGCCAGTGTATTAGAAGTCTTTTCTACATATACAGTCAAATTAACACTGCCTTGCATATGTTTTCCATGTCATGTACATGAATGTGCTTTGTCAAACATTAGGTCATGTTACTAAACCAAGTGCACTATTACTGCAGTCTGTCAAAGACAAACAATCAATAACCTTATTAGAAAAGGCCTGTGATCAGGACTCGAGCAGTAAGCAGTCCTCGTTCTCACTGGCTGGGAGCATGAGCTGCTGCTCGTAGTACAGACTCTTGGCATAGTTGATTTCTTGAGAGATTTTGATGGCAAGACTCTCACTCTTCACGTGGACCTGTGGAGAGGATAGTTACATGAGTAACCAGAGTGGAAACAGTAATGCTGGGATTACACAGATAGACAGATGAATGAAAATATGCATCATTAAAATTAACTATATAGGTTGTGAGCTGCCAACAGAAGCTTCTAGGACATCGTAATGGGAGAAGTTCTGTACATTAATGTAAAATAAAAAAGTATGCTTACTTCTTTAACATGCAGGTATGTTACCAGAACGCTTCTGGCAAAAGGGCCTTAGAAGTGTTTAAGTATATAGTATAGACATATAGTAAAAGTCAGTAACAGGAAATTGAGGCTGAGCGGGAGAAGCATAGGACTTATCCCTGTGACAAGTTTTTATCTTTACACTGGCTTTCAACTAAGAAATTCAGATGCGGTTTCAGGCTCCTCTAAAGTGACAAGGGGAAAATATCGTACATTGCAGAGGATAAAAAATGTTACTATTTATGGTCTAAATGTGAACGTTCAATCAATGTCTTCAAATAGTCGGTTAAATTTTGAACCAAGTTGGTACGACTTTTTTCCAGTGAACAAAGTCATCTTTTTAATGTCTTTATAACGGAAAATTGTTCATTGGTAAATTCTATTCAGCTCCATTGTATTGGGGTGGAGGTAGAAATCTTGGACAGGTATCCTAAAACCTGGACAAATAACACCAGAACCCTCTGCAAGCAGAGATACCAGTAGAGGGAATATTGAATATTTTGGTGTAATTTTGGTGATCCTCACCATGGGTTTCTGGTGGGAGGGGCCAGGAATGGCCACACCACTGCTGGTGCTCTCAGCCTTCTTGGTAAGCTGCACGTATACCTTCCCATGATCCTTAGAGACCAGGCAGTGGTAGAGGTCATCATACTTGACCTCCAGGAAGATGGCCTCGCGGCCCACGTAGTCCCCCGGCTTGAGGAAGTAGACCACTTTGGAAGAAATGAGGACACAGTAGCTGTCGATGGGCTCCACGGCGATGAAGCTGGTGTTGGAAACACACAGTTAACTCTCAGTGTGATGGAACAGTGGGTAATCAGGGTATTAAACACACACGCAAACACATTGTGGATAACTTACTACTCAGAGTGGATGTTGTCAGTGAGGCGGAAGAGCTGCTCCTGACCGTCAGCCTGTGTGGCTGAGTGTCGAGGCAGCAAACCCTGAGGTCCCTTACAGCAGCGAGGCTTCCTGACCCGCTGCACACTGAGCCTGAGAAACACATCATATCCATATTTTCTCTTTGTTTGCTGGCCTGTGGTGCTTTATCTTAAAATAATATAATTACAATTATATTTTTTGTGATGATAGGAAAATACCTTAACAAACATACACCGATCAGCCATAACATTATGACCAATGACAAAGGAAGTAAAAAACACTAATTATCTTGTTATCATTGTTTCATCATCAAAAGTGGTCCAAGGAAGGAAAAGCGGAGAACCGCAGACAGGGTCATAGGTGGCCAATTGATGCCCGTGGGGAGGGAAGGCTGGCCTGTGTGGTCCGATCTAACAGACGAGCTACTGTAGCTCAAACTGCTTAAAAAGTTAATGCTGGTTCTGATAGAAAGGTGTCACAACAGTGCATCACAGTTTGTTGGTATTGGGCTACATAACATCATGACCACCAGGGTGCTCAGGTGATCAAAATGTTACGGCTGATTTGTATATACAGTCACAAAATGTGCACACTGAATGTTAGGGCTGTGTATTGGAAAGAGTCTGGTGATAATACAATTCAATTCAATTAAATTTTATTTGTATAGTGCCAATTCATAACAGAAGTTATCTCAGGACACTTTTCAAATAGAGCAGGTCTAGACCGAACTCCTTATAACATTATTTACAGAGACCCAACAGTTCCCATGATAACAATACGTATACAGGGGTTATAATTCAATATACTACAACATTGTAAGGAAGGCAACATATTGGGATTTATTTTAATCTCATTTTAGGAAAACTGTACACAATATGCATAAAATCTGAGCAAAATGTCCCTGTAACATCCAACATCAGAGCTCTAAGCTCTAAGCTCCAAGCGGGGTCTGTGAGCATTACTGGGCAGCTGGCCAACTAGCTATCCAACTCTACAGGTGCTAGCTTGCTGTTACTTCTCAGTTTACAGTTGTGACTGTATATGTATATATGTATATGACTGTATATTTTCTTGCACCCCTACTGAACGTATTTGCAAAATGTTCATTGTCAGTGTTTATAGCTTCATGGAACCATGTAAAGAGACATGGTTCCATGTAAAGAGACATGGTTCCATGAAGCTATAAACAGCACAGGCTGCCATAAGTGTATGTATATAAGTGTAAGTATGAATGTGACATGTCGTGTTAAGCACTTTGTGGCATCAAAAGACTAGAAAGGTGCTATATAAGTGCAGTCCATTTACTAAGGTGGAGTTATTTTTTCAAAATACAAGTAATAGACTCAACCCACCTGTGGTTACTGAGACTAGCCATGTCTCGGACTGTCTGTGCTGTCTCTGAGGCAAAGTCCAGAGCTCCAGCCACCGGCTTGGTCACAGTGCCGACCAGACCTTTACCCAGGCCTGAGAAGAAGCCGCTGACTCCACCCTCCGTCTTTACCCCCTCCACTGTGGAAGTGATGATGCTTGTCATGCCTCCAATGATACCTAGGGGAGGGGGGAGTTTATTTAAAAGAAAACTTGCAGAGATAATAACAAGGAAAACAGATAGGTATAGGGCAGTTTCTCATACACAGCGTATTTACAGTGGTGCTTCTGAGATTATACAGCGCCAGGCTGGAGTTATATAAACCCTGTGGCAGCTTTGGCGAATGTGATTCATCCCTGAGCATTGCCACTGCCACCAGGAAGGTAGAAAGGAAACTCTCTAGGCTCCAAAAAACCCCCCAAAACAAGCTAATAAGCCTGACGACATCAACCCCAGGATACTAAAGTGTGTGCTGGGCAGCTTGCAGCAGCATTCAAGCACCTTTTCAAACCTTCCTTGAAGTTGAAGTTCTATGGAAGACCAACAGCATTGTTCTAGTGTATTTTCATGACCCACAAGGCCTTCTCACAGCGGGACAACACTGTGAGAGTCATGTACTTTCATTTATTGTGCTTTCAATACCGTGAAGGCCTGCCTTCTAAAGGAAAAACTTCTGGTGATGCAACTGGACCAGACACCGCATCCTGCGATACATGTACATTTACTGTGTGCTGCTCCTCAACTTTTCATCAATAAATAAATACATTTACAGTATCTGTGTTTAACAAATAATTTGCCTGATTTTTCAAACTTCTCCATAAAAGTGGGGTTTTGGGTGTTTCTTTAGACACCCACGAAATGATTTCCTTGCTCTGTAAATTTAACCATACACAGAAAGTTTTCCAGGTCGTACCATGAGCCAGTCCATGGATCCCTGCTACCAGGTGCTCACCACTGGTGGCTCCGTGGTATCTGATGTACTCTCGCTCACTCTGGTGCCGGTTGTCCATGGTCTTCCCCAGCCCGTCTGATAAAGTCCCTGCAAACTGACCAACAGAGAACAGGAGGATGGTCATACTACATTGCCTCTACTTTGACAATTTTAATAGTTTTTAGGCACCTGTACAAACCTGGTCAAGTATGCAACAGCCAAGCATTTATTTGTGAACTACCAATGTGAACAAAAAAGAATGTTGTAAAAATTATAAAACATACAGGATAAAAAGCAACACATGTAATAAAAGCGTCGCTTTACAGCTCAGCAGGGGTGTACCTTGGCAGCAGAGTTGGACACACCATGGGTCACATTGCGTATGAGGCCGCCCACATTGCCGTACTTGATAAGCTCAGACACGCCCTCACTGACGTCGTTGAGGAGGCCCATGGGGTTTCCAAGAAAGTCCACAGAGCCCAGAATCTGGGCTGCCTGGCTGATCAGCTCCTACAGACAAGAAACACTGCAAAGTACTGATCTGACGCAAACTGGACAGTCTACCACATCACATGACACACCTGTATGTGATATCTGTCAATCTAACAACTAATAGGTGATGTGAATGCAAATATTAAGTTAAAACTATGCAGAATTTACAGTTGAGGATTTGGGGCAGAGCTTAACATTAATGCTTGGGGCAAGTAAACTCTGAGTTTGGGCACATGGAATGCCTCATGCAGCTTTCCAATCAGGCAAATGAGCAATAAAAACTCAACTGAAACTCCAAAACTATCAGCAACTGCTTTGATGCGCTTGTAGCATATTATGCACGGCACTCAAGTGTGGACACAACAGTGGAAATACACATTCACACAGTTTCTGCAAGATCATCTCTGTGTTCTACAGATAAGGCAATTCTAGTGTCGTAACACAAGAGATTAGTCTACAGTCACTCTTGAGAGAGCACAAGTACATGCAGCCAACTCTGTGGATCTGTGAGCATTACTGGGCAGCTGGCTAGCTAGCTATCCAACCCTGCAGGTGCTAGCTTGCTGTTGCTTCAGTTGGCAGCGTTTGTCTCTGCTACTTTGGTGCGAAGGAAACCAAAACATGAGCTGCCATGGCTGAGTCACTCTCTTCCCCAGCCGCATCTAGAGTTTATCAGAAATATTAAACCCGCCAAGCATTTTAAGGATTTATCAATTAAAATGTTTTAAATTCTGCTTTGGATGATTTCTTTATGATTTGAGTGATACATAAAATCAGCAAAGAGCACAACCCCTTTATAATTTTAGCTGTTTTTAAAGCTGTCTGACTAATGCATATATAATCCTCACCCATGAAGATATTTAAGGTGAGTTGCAATCATGGGAAAGACAAGGAGCTTCCACAAAAGCTGAGAGAGGAGATTTATTAATCACACCTGAAGGGCCTTGGGTATAAGAAGATTTCCAAAAAGAATATTCCAGGAGACACCATTGGGAGCATTATAAGGAAGTTTAAAACTTATGGAACATCTGCAAACCTGCCTAGCCATAGAGGAAAGCCCAACATTTCATCAAGGGCTTAGTCAGAACGTAGTCAGAACAAGTAAGAGAAACTGTAAGACACCTACAGGATGACCTGATAAGTGCTTAAGTGGCAACTATAAGACGTGCACTGAATAAACAAGGACTTCATGGCTGGACTCCAAGATCTTGACCACAAGGAACATAAATAAGGTGACTAGAATACGCCAGGAGGAATTTGGATAAGACTACAGGGTTTTGGGAGACAATTCTATGGACTGATGAAACCAAACTGAAACTGTTTGGACATATGGACCAGCGGTATGTCTGGAGTGCGAAAGGCCAGGCTTATGACCAGAAGAATACCATCCCCACGGTCAAGCATGGAAGTGGGTCATTGATGATGTGGGGCTGGCAATATTGATTGTGTACCCAGCATCATGCATTCCCAGAAATACCAGGCCATTTTAAAGAGGAACGTGATGCCTTCTTTTGACAAATTAAACCTTGGTGATCATTTGACTTTCCAGCAAGACAATGATCCCAAGCACACCTCCAAGTCAACCAAAGCCTGGTTGAGAAAAAGATCCTGGAACATCCTGGCTAGCCTTCTCAGTCACCAGATTTAAATCCGATTGGACATTTTTGGTGGGATTTAAAGAAGGCAGTTGCAGCAAAGAAGCCATCAAACATCACTGAGCTAGAGGCTTTTGCATGTAAAGAATGGACAAAGATTCTGATTGAGAGGCGTAAGAAAGTACTGAAGCTGGGGGCTGAATAATACTATACAGGCACATGTGTTAAAGAGTTAAATTTTTCATTTAAACTTCAAAGTTAAGTCAACTTCTGTTGTCAAAATAACTCAAATATGTGTCAATTTATATTTTTTGTTGTTTAATTAAGTTTTTTGGTATTTGTTGTCATTATCTTCCATCCACATCACTATAATGTCTTTTGATGTGAAGGGGTTGAATATTTCTCATTGCAACTGTAGTTCGTAGTGCCATTGGGATTATAGCGAGGCTAATGTTATTGTTTAGCAGAAGCCTGGAACCGACTACCTCTCTGAAGTGTTTGAGGATGTCGTTGATGATGATCTCCTGGGTCTCATAGGGGTGCACTCTGGTGAATGGGTACATATTGATGACAGCGTCTTCAAACCGAACCAGAGGAATGCCCAGGGTGCCTTTCAGAGCCTTCAGTGCGCCCCCAAAGAAAACAAAAAACATACATATGAACAACATGTAATAAAACATCAGTTGGTAGAACAAGAAAACACACTGTGACGTCATGTGGTACATGAAGCAGTAACATGAGATTTATTTGATCCATTCATCTAATCAGTGATGTTGCTGGGTACACATCCTGTGCCTCTGACACATTAGTCATAAGTCCAAAAGAATGCAGTAAACTTACTAGTGACGCATCCACAGATGTATCAAATTTTTCAGTGATAACACTACATTGTGAACAACAAATTAATGTTGAAACAAAAGATTTTATTTATTATATACCTGATTTATGCGTTTAATTTCAGCTCAGTCTTTACTGCGTTTTGCCACCATGTAAGTTTCTCTTTTCTAGACTCCTAGTCTGTTTGACCAAGGGTGGAGACACACAGAGTGGATCAAGCAAGACAGATGAGGTGTCTCTGTACCTTTACAAACAGACCAGGGTTCCCACGCTTTTTAAAAATGTATTTCATTGCACAGAAAAGGTGGTCAATTATGGGACGCTTTGTGAGTACCACAAAGTTCTTGAGCGCTTGATTAGCCAATTTTTAGTTGTTTCGTACTAACACAACTTTTAATTAGCAACATTTTTTAACTATACTGACCAATTTTGAAGTTGATCCAATAAACTCCCTCCGAAGAGTTTGTTCAAATACAGTGCGAAAAAAATCACCACAATTTAATTACTACGAAATTCAAAATGGCCGACTTCCTGTTGGGTATGGGTTATGGGACCAAGAGGCTTTTTTGCTTGTCCAATCATGATACACATGTGTGCCAATTTTCGTACATGTCGGTCTTACGTGTTTTGGGGGCTGATTCTAGGGGGCATGGCAAAGCCATTTTGCAATGCCGAGCTACGGGACCAAGCGTGTTAGCGTTTGCCGCGTTGCCATGGCAACATGGTTCTACGCAAATTCTTAACATTCATAAGACGTCATCGTCATCATCCTAAGGGACTGCTGACAGAATTTCAGCTGGATCTGGTCAATCTGCTGGGAAATATACATAAAAGTATAAAAATGACATTTCCTTTTACCACTAGGTGGCACTCTCATTATTAGTGAATATTTTCATATAGATGTGTTGTGTGTAGATGTGGCGGGACTCTTATCAGACACTTGAAGTTTGGTGCCAATTGGACGACGTACACTCAAGTTACAGCAAATTCTTGTGCGTCCACATTTGATGCCATGCTGCGGACACGCCCTTCAACGACAACTCACCATATTCATCACATATCAACAATAGGTTTTGCATTGTCTGACCAAATTTCAGCTGGATCTGATCAACCTGTTAGGAGTAGAACATGAAAGTATAAAACATTTAATTCCTGTTGCCACTAGGGGGCGCTATGAATATGAATGAATATTGTCGTGTAGACGTGTTCAGGGCGGGACGACTGACAGTTGTGCAAAGTTTCAGGACTTTTCGAACATGATAAGGCCTCCAAAAAGGCATTTGAAATGTCTGAATAATAATAATTCCTACAATTACGGTAGGGCCTTCGCACGGTCAGCGCTCGGGCCCTAATAATAATGGAGAATTCCTACAAATACAATATATTAACACAATAGGAAATAGCACGATTTGTGCTCAGGCGCTTATTATATATAATAATAGCACTTACAGATACAATAGGGCCTTCACACAGTCAGTGCTTGGGCCCTAAAAATATATATATATATTTTTTACATGACTGGAAATCTAGTGACTTCTCTCTAAATGTTTTACCGGTCTTAAGCTACGCCAACAATGGCCTGACTCCAGCTCGGTATTTCCCAAAATGTTGAACTTTTGCTTTGAGATTGAAGAAATCCCAGCATACTTCTACAGCTTTTTCACAGCATGCTGTTACAGATGCATTCTGTTGTAAGGCTTTGGTGTTTGGAGTTAGGTGATGTTACCACCTCATGAGGCTAACAGAAGATGACACGTTGCTCACTATCAAAGGTTATTTGGGGGCAGATTTATAAAGCTAGGCAGAAAAAAATTAAAAGAAGAAGGAACAAATTTTTACCTTGAGATCAGGAGGCAGCTTGTGAGAGGTGAAGACACTCAGTTTGACCTGAGGCAGGCTGATTTTCAGGTTCTCAAAGTAGTAACGTTTGGGAGGTCCTGCGTCCTCGTTAGGTTTCTCGTGGAGGTTTTCATCCAACTTCTCAAGCTCTGTGTTCATTATAATTATTATAATTTTTTAATTTTTTTTAGCAAAATTACCTGCCTATTTACAGCATTACAGAAACATTAAACATTCAACTGATGACCCACCAGCTTCTGTTTGTCCATATCCAAAGAAGCTGAGCAGTTTGAGCAACAGTTTCTCTTCAATGATGACTGTGAAGCGTCGGGCCGTCACCATGAGGTGCTGTGGACAGATCGGCGATATCATTAGACACGTGATCTAGTATCATTCTGGAGCACCAGAAACGTTTGGTTTCTGATGTGCACAAGAAACCAGGAATTATTCTGGTGCTCCTAAAAATACCTGGAAAAGTAAGACTGACTGAATGCAGCATAGCAGTGATTCGGTGTCTGACACTCACTTTGAAGAGATCAGTGAGCATGAGGCTGCTAGGAACCTTGACTGAGTTGAGTTGCAGGGCCGGGCCGCTGTCGTTGACACTGCTGACGCTGGAGCTGGGAGTCACACACAGCATGACAGGCTGGGTGGTACCCAGCAGCTGGTTGTCCACCTGATTACCACACAGGACAGAAAACAGGAATCACATCAGCACAGTCTAGAATGGATGTGATAGTTACTGTTTGTGTATTACTGCATTAAAAAACTGATCATACTGTATATTCACAGGAACCCTTGCAACAATCTAATAACAGTGTCAATAACACTGGCACGACTCTATCACTTTGTGTTAAACTGTTTCATTTTGAAAGCAAGTTTCACTAATTTGCAACAAATTGTGTTATTAAAAAGACATGAAGCGTGTTTTCACAAGTGATCTACGCTCTGTGCTCCAATAATAGTTGAGCAAGCCTCGGTCAACTTCCTCCTTTCCTGTACTTAGATATGCTATATGCTAGGCTCGTCTATGTTGAAAAGACAACCACATTTTGAAGATATAGTTAGCTAATGTTAGCAAAACGTTAGCTTATTTACATCAATTATTAGTTAGCTAGTTGGCTAATATTTTGCTACCATTAGCTAACTAAAGATGTCACTATACACATATATCACTATTGTCATTTTAATCTTTTAACCATCTTAAAAATCAGCAAAAGAGGGGCGGGACTTTAGGAGGGTCAATATTTAATGTTTTCATAGCTGTCGTGAATTCACCTGAATGTTCTGAATGCTGAGCTCCAACACCTCGTTGGCAGCAGTACGGATGAAGTGGACATCTATACCAGACAGTGTAGTGAACACAAGCTCCTCTGGAACTTTGTTGACCAAAGACACACCTAGACCTTCCTCCAAGTTCACCAACAACTGTAAATAAATACAAAGGAAACTTTAGGAGAGAGGCACATTAAAACATTTTGTAACTGCACACAATGAATGTAAAACCCTGTGACCTTCAGTGCCTGGTACCAAATGTTTTTACATAACAAATAAACAAGAAACACCTATGATTAAAAATAGTAGAAGGTCCTTCAGCAAGAGGTTTTGTTTCACAGTAATGTTTAGTCACGGCACACCATTCACTTTAAACACGATGGGTTGGTGCATGTGCAAAAAATTCTGTTAATTTCACCATACACACCAATGTTAAAATGGACCTATCTTGCAATGTTAACAAAAGCGAAAAACTAGAACATTTCTCAAGAATTGCCTGAAAACACAAGAATTGGTGCATCTCCCAAGAGAGAGAAAAGAGAGAGAAAAACAGCCTCATCCTCAGATACATTTACTCTCTGGGGATTTTATTTTGAAATTAAAGCTGCAAGCAGCATTGGGCGGGACCTCGCCATTGACCCACGCAACATATGTTGACTGTAATGACCAATTTTGAAGCAGATCCGATAATTTCTCTAGGAGTTTGTTCAAATACAACGCAAAAAAACGCTAAAATCTGAGAAATGCCATCAAATGACAATGGCATCACAGTTTGACATTTGATTCAACCTGGTCAACTTTGACGGCACACCACAGACACGCCCTTCAACGTACACTCACAAATAGCACAACTTTTAATCAGCAATGTTTTATGACTGTACTGACCAATTTTATAAAATACATAAATGTGAGAGACAAACCAGGATGCTTCCATTAAATTATTTCAGTTACTCATACCTCCAGCTCCTGCTCAGGCTCCTTCTTCTTTACTTCCTCTTTGCTCTTGTCCTGTTCTGTGCTAGGCAAGCTCTGGATCATTCTCCTTTGGTTAAAGTCACTGATCTACAAACAAACATACGAAGGTCTGTGAGCAGAAATAATGAGGCTCACCATCAGTGTAATCCGTCTGCTATTATCAGATGTTATCAGAGCACCAGAGATTGTTCTTAGCTGATTTACAGTGTGAAAACACAAGAAAATTTTGTGGCTGAGAAAAACCACAGAGAATTAAAGTTGCAAGCAGCGATGAACGGGCCCTCGCACTCCACGCAACTCGGGGTGTTCTGCGGCCGCGCCATGTGCCAGCGTAACACGTGTGGACCACAACATGAAAGTTTCACGTAAATCAGCTCCAAAATCGCCACGCAGCGCTTACTTCCTGTTGCCAGTAGGTGGCGCTATCACTATGTCTGAATATTGTCATGTAGACATGTTCAGGGTGGGACTGTTATCAAACACGTAAAGTTTCATTGAGATTGGATCATGTACGCTGAAGTTATGAGGACGTGTTCATGGTGGGACTGTACACTGAAGATATGAGTACTATCTGTTTGATGGCCAATCGGTGGAATTCGACACGTCGTCACAGGCACACAGTTAAACATACAGTCACAAAAAGCGCAACTTTTGATAACCAATGTGTGTAGATTGAAGTGATCGAATTTGAAGTCAATCTGATAAAATCTGTAGGAGGAGTTAGTTAAAACATAAGCCCTTAAATGCCGGAAATAGCATCACAGTTTGACATTTGATTCAACCTGGCCAACTTTGAGGGAACGCCATGGACACGCCCTTTAACGTACAGTCACAAATGGCACAACTTTTAATCAGCAACATTTTTTGACTGTACTGACTAATTTTGAAGCAGATCTGATAAATTCCCTAGGGGGAGTTCGTTCAAATACAACGCGAAAAATCACAGAAAATGACCAAAAAAATCAAAATGGCTGACTTTGATGCCACGCCACGGACACACCCTTTAATGTACATTCACAAATAGCACAACTTTTTATCAGCACCATTTTTTGACTGTACTGACCAATTTTGAAGTAGATCCGATAAATTCCCTAGGAGGAGTTCATTCAAATACAACGCGAAAAATTCACCGAAAATGCGCACGGAATTCACTATGGCCAACTTTGAGGGCACGCCACGGACACGCCCTTCAACGTACATGTACAAATAGCACAACTTTTAATCAGAACCATTTTTTGACTGTACTCACAAATTTTGAAGCAGATCCGATAAATTCCCTAGGAGGAGTTCGTTCAAATACAACGCGAAAAGTTCGCCGAAAGTGAAAATCTAAATCAAAATGGCTGACTTCCAGTGGGATTTCGGGTATGGGTCCGAGAGGCTTTTTTGTACGTCCCGGCATGTTACACGTGCCTACCAAGTTTCGTAAAAATCGGTGAAACGTGGCGCCGGGGCTGCTGTTTTTTTTATCCTGTAGGGGACGCTACAAACACGACAAACACGATTTTTGGTATGTGAGTTTCAGACACCAGTCTACACGTGCCCTGTGAATTTCATATTCATAACTATTACGGTCTCCGCACAGTGATTTACCATGCCACCACAGCCCCACCTGGTGGCGGATTGTTGACACATTTTTTAGTGAGCCTCAGGGAGCCATGGGGAAGCATCGTACCAAGTTTCATCTTAATCACACATACCGCTGTAGAGATATAAACTTCTTCATTTTAAAGAGCGCCACCTTGTGGCGTTGGCCTGAAATTGAGCACGATGCTTAAGGAAGACATGTGGAACTATGGACCCAAGTTTGGTGTCAAGCGGAGAAAAATTATCGGCGCAAGTGGGCGTGGCCTATATGGGGAGATTCAGCTCCATTCACCGAACACGTGGATATGAGTTTTTTGAATGTGCGACAAACTATGCAGAAGTTATTAGCCTAAACGCATTTTTTATGATAGTAGTGCCACCTAGTGGCCAACCCGAAAGCGACGCATAGAATATCCCCATTTTCAACAGGCCTGACAACTTTGCCAAATAAAATTGAGTTTTCGTATATGTTCAGGGGGGCAAAAATGCAGTCAAAGGGGGCTAAAAATTATAATAGGCAAGAAGAAGAAGAAATCGAGCAAAAACAATAGGGACCTCCAGCGGTCGCTGGCTCAGTCCCTAAATAAAAACGGCCAACTTCTACGCCACGCGACAAATGTGGCTTTCAACGTACATGCACAAATAGCAGAACTTTTAATCAGGTCACAACATGCTCGAAAACTCATGAAACTCAGTGCAGTCGTGGCGAAAAATTTCGTATTTCCTAGGGGTCCCCTATGAGCATGGCAAAACGGCCCCTCAGGGGCCCATAAACTGTACCACCCGGGGCCCCTTTCATCAATATGCATAAAAATCAGCACACGCATAGATCTCATTCAGACGAACAAAAAATTCAGTGGGCGCCACATCCCAAACCCAACAGGAAGTCTGCCATTTTGGATTTTGTGGTCATTTCTGGCAATTGCACACGTTGTATTTGAACAAACTCCTCCTAGGGAACTGATCGGATTCACTTCAGATTTGGACAGAGCCATCTAAAGACATGCATGATTAAAAGTTGTGTTATTTACGACATTCTGCGAACAGGGTCACCGTGGCGTGGCGTGCAATTTCAGCGACTCGCCATGAAAGAGGAAGTTGTCATAACTTCTGCGTACATGATCCGATCTCAATGAAACTTCATGTTTAATAAGAGTCCCGCCCTGAGCACATCTATGTGATAATATTGAGTAGTAGAGAGAGCGCCACCTAGTGGTTAAAGGAAATGTAATTTTTTATACTTCAATGTTATACTCCTAGCAGGATGATCAGATCCAGCTGAAATTTAGTCAGGAAATGCAAAACATGTTGTTGATGATATTTCATGATTGTGATGATGGTTTATTAAAGGGTGTGTCCGTGAAGTGTCATCAAATTTTGATGTGCCGCCAGAACACACAAATTTGCTATAACTTTAGTGTACATGGTCCATTCGGCTCCAAACTTCACTTGTCCTATAAGAGTCCCGCTCTGAATACATCTACGTATGTGATAATATTCAATAACAGTGATAGTGCCACCTAGTGGTGAAAGGAAATGTCATTTTTATACTATTATGTATATCTTCCAGCAGTTTTACCAGATCCAGCTGAAATTCTGTCTGAACTCCCTTAGGATGATGGCCATGACAGCTTGTGAATCTTAAGAATTTTTAGAAGGACCACGTTGACATGGCGACGCGGTGAAAATCAGCCTTTGTGTTAACATTGACCACTGAGGGGCTAAACATGCCTGAAACCTCATGAAACTTTGCACAAAATTCAGTCGTGGCGAATGCTAACGTATTGTCTTGGTCCCGCAGATGGGCGTCGCAAAATGGCTTAGCCATGCTGCCCCAGAATCAGCCCCCAAGACACGTATGACCGACATGTACGAAAAGTGGTACGCATGTGTATCATGATCGGACAAGCAGGAAAGCCTCTTGGACCCATAATTCAAACACAACATAAAGTCAGCCATTTTGAATTTCGTGGTCATTTTCGGCGATTTGCACACGTTGTATTTGAACGAATTCTTCCTAGGCAATTTATTGGATCAACTTCAAATTTAATCAGTGCAGTCTAAAGACATTCATGATTAAAAGTTGTGAAACCTATGACATTCTGTCAAATGGCGTGCCTGTGGCATGGCATCCAATTTTGACGAATCACCATGAAAATGGAAGTTGTCATAACTTCAGTGTACATGATCCGATCTCAATGAGACTTCATATGGTTGATAAGAGTCCCGCCGTGAACATGTCTACATGTCAATATTCAGATATAGTGAGCCACTTACTGGCAACAGGAAGTAAGCGCTGCGTGACGATTTTGATCTGATTTACATGAGATTTTCATGTTGTGGTCTGCATGTGTTACGCTGGCACGTGACGCAGCTTCAACACACTCCGAGTTGCGTGCAGTGCGAGGGCCCGTTTATCGCTGCTTGCAGCTTTAATTTATTATGTATTATTTAATGACAGCAAACAAGTGAGGAGGGGATCTTAAGGAATAGTCCAGTGCTTAATGTGTGTCTGTAGGTAGTTTTGTTCTCACCTGCAGGACGCGTGTGGGTCCATCTGGAAGCACCTGAACTGACAGCACCCCAGAACCGGGCCTCATCTTCTGGTTGATGAACTGCTGCTCAGGACCAGGCTCCAGTAGCCCTGAATCTGGTCCCAGCACCACCTCTGCTCCATCATACAGGCCTGTCACCCCGCCTTTTACCTGAGACATACAAGGCATACATTAAAAATACCACTGAAAACATTCACAGTGGAAGAAACAATAACAGAACTTACACTATCGCTCAAAAGCTTGGAGTAACCTGCCTCTGAAACATGACTGGGATGGGGAAGTGAGAGGAATACTAAGATCATTTTAGGGTGAAGAAAGTTTTCTTTACAAATAGATGTTATTTTGTGTGAAAGGTTTCTAATGGAGAACAAAGCTCTGTACAAAAGTTAAACCAGACTAACAACTGAAAGGGCAGAAAGAGACACACATCCCTCTGAGCAAAAATAAGAATAATTAAAGCTGCAAGCAGCGTTGAGCGGGACCTCGCACTCCGAGCAACTCGGGGCGTGCTGTGGCCACGTCGCGTGCCGTCGTAACACGTGCGGACCACGACATGAAAATCACTCGTAAATCAGCTCAAAATCGCCACGCAGCGCTTACTTCCTGTTGCCAGTAGGTGGCGCTATCACTATGTCTTAATTTTGTCATGTAGATATGTTCAAGGCGAGACTGTTATCAAACACGTGAAGTTTCATTGAGATTGGATCATGTACGCTGAAGTTATGAGGACGTGTTCACAGAAAAACTGTTTCAGAATATATAAAGTTTATTGGAGATTGTACATTGCACACTGAAGTTATGAGCTCTATTTTATGGGGAATCTGCTGAAATCGACAAGTTGTCACTGGCACGCGGTTTGATGTACAGTCACAAATAGCTCAACTTTTAAATCAGTTTGTATGACCACAGAATTCAAAGTGGCCAACTTTGACGGCACGCCACTGACACGCCCTTCAACGTACAAGCACAAATAGCACAACTTTTAATCAGGACCATTTTTTGACTGGACTGACCAATTTTGAAGTAGATCCGATAAATTCCCTAGGAGGAGTTCGTTCAAATACAACGCGGAAAATTCACCAAAAATGTGCACGGAATTCACTATGACCAACTTTGAGGGCACGCCACGGACACGCCCTTCAACGTACATGCACAAATACCACAACTTTTAATCAGAACCATTTTTTGACTGTACTCACAAATTTTGAAGCAGATCTGATAAATTCCCTAGGAGGAGTTCGTTCAAATACAACGCGAAAAGTTCGCCGAAAGTGAAAATGAAAATCAAAATGGTCGACTTCCTGTGGGGTTTCGGGTATGGGTTCAAGAGGCTTTTTTGTACATCCCGGCATGTTACACGTGCCGACGGAGTTTCGTACATATCGGTGAAACGTGCCGCCAGGGCTGCTGTTTTTTTATCCTGTAGGGGGTGTTACAAACACGATTTTTGGTATGTGAGCTTCAGGCACCACTCTACATGTGCCCTGTGAATTTCATATTCATAACTATTACGGTCTCTGCACAGTGATTTACCATGACAATTTTTTTAGCGAGCCTCAGGGAGCCATGGGGAAGCATCGTACCAAGTTTCATCTTAATCACACATACCGTTGTAGAGATATAAACTTCTTCATTTTAAAGAGCGCCACCAAGTGGCGATGGCCTGAAATTGTGGACAATGCTTAAGGAAGACATGTGGAACTATGGACCCAAGTTTGGTGTCAATCAGACATACCAATGTGGAGAAATGGTCCACTTCCTTTTTTGACAAAAAATCCACAGGAAGTGCTAATTTTATAACGTGCTGGTTTTTTGAAATATCAAAATTCTGTTAATCACTTTTTTATTATGAGGGTCCTCAGATGCTACGTGAAACATTTTGTGCGAATTGGACAAAGCGCATGGGGGGAACACGGAAAAGTAGTTTATGGACATTTTGCGCTCTAGCGGAGAAAGATTATAGGCGCAAGTGGGCGTGGCCTATATGGGAGATTCAGCTCTATTCACCGAACGCGTGGATACAAGGTTTTTGAATGTGCGACAAACTATGCAGAAGTTATTAACCTAAACGCATTTTTTATGATACTAGCGCCACCTAGTGGCCAACCCGAAAGCGACCCATAGAATATCCCCATTTTTACCAGGCCTGACAACTTTGCCAAAGAAAATTGACTTTTCATGTGTCATAGCTTTGACTGAGACTTGGTTAAACAACATGACCTCGGCCAAGATCTTGAAATCGATGGAGAGACGCACAGCTGGCTGGCAAAACACAAGGAGGGGGCGTGTGTCTATACGTCAACTCACGCTGGTGCAAAACTATGATAATAAGGGAATCGCATTTTATACTTAGTTATTTTAATACGTGTAGTTTCAAGAAACACCTTAGGCACTTTCATCAATATGTAAGCTGTCCTACCAGACATGGCAAAATCCTAGATCTGTGCTATGGTACAGTTAAAGATGCCTACAAATCTTACGCAATGTCACCTTTGGGGTCTTCTGACCATAGCTGCGTCTTTTTGGCCCCGATCTATCAATCAGCCCTTAAGAGAGGCAAAGTTGAGCACAGAGAGGTCTCTGTATTGACAGATGGCGCTATTAAAGAATTGAATGGCTGCTTTCATAGTACCAATTGGGATGTTTTTAAGGACTCATGCACAGATCTAGACAAACTAACTTTCACTGTGTCAAGCTACATCAGATTTTGTGAGCCAATGATTATTCCCACGAAGACGATCACATTATACCCCAATAATAAACCCTGGGTGGGTAGATCACTTAAGCACGTTCTTAATAAGAAAAAAGGTAGCTTTCCAACAGAATGACATACACCAAAAAAAGATACTCAAAGGATGGTGAAGAAGGAAATAAAATTGGCTAAAATCCAGTTTAAGGACAAGGTGGAAGATCAGCTGAAGAATGGCAATGCTTACTGTGCTTGGAGAGGGATTAAGGCTATGGTGGGAATGAGTGATAATAAATCTGACATCTGACAAACCTGACTCTGTCTTGGTGGAGGACTTGAATCAGTTTTATTAAAGATTTGATTCCCATGATTTTAATGATGATCTGGCTGAATTTAGAATTGAGTCTGAGGAAAGTCAGACTCTGATTGATGAGACTGATGTCTGGAAGACTCTTGAGCAGACGAGCATAAGGAAGAGCCAGGGGCCTGACCGCATCAGTGGCCAATTGCTTAAAAACTGTGCTCTTTTCTTGAGCAGTACTTTCACATTTATTTTCCAACTCTTGCTATCACAAAGGCAAGTCCCAGGGTTATGGAAAGAATCAGTAGTGGTTCCAGTGGCAAAAGTTCCATCTCCAAAGGTGCTAAATGACTATCGCCCCGCGGCTCTGACCTCTCTGGTGATGAAAGGTTTTGAGCGTATTGTAAAGAGGAGTTTACTTTTCATGACTCAGGGCATGATTGATCCACTCCAATTTGCATATCTACCAAGTAAGGGAGTCGAGGATGCCACAGCAACACTGCTGGACTTTAGAGGGCAAGAAGACACATGCACGCCTGTGTTTTGTTGATTTCTCATCAGCATTCAACTGTATGCAGCCCCATATCCTTGCTCACAGACTATCGCAATTTCCTGATATTGACTTTGGTACCATATGCTGGCTGGTTGATTTCCTAACTATGAGGTCACAGAGAACCTGGGTAAATAACACTTTATCTAAGGCCCTAATGTGCTCCACACGGTCACCTCAGGGGTGTGTTCTGTCACCACTTTTATTTGTAATCTATTCAGTTCAATTAAATTTTATTTGTATAGCGCCAATTCATAACAGAAGTTATCTCAGGACACTTTTCAAATAGAGCAGGTCTAGACCGAACTTTTTATAACATTCTCTACACCAATGACTGTCAGAGTATGTTTGAATCAAGGCATAATATCAAGTATGCTGATGATTCTGTGATAATTAGTCTTCTGCAGGATTACAAGGTGGGACAAGATGTGTATTGACCTTCGTCGCAATCCTCCCAACACTGCTTCAACTTTGATTAATGGCACCGCGGTGGATGTGGTAAGCCAATACAAGTACCTGGGCACCATTTTAGATGATAAATTGAACTTTGACATCAATACAGACTATATATGTAAAAAAGCCAAACAGACTGTTTTTTTTTTTTTCCAGAATCACTTCTGAAAACTTTTTATTCATCTTTTGTTGAGTCAAATTTAACCTTTGCTATGATGTGCTGGTTTGGCAATTTGAGTGTAATCAAAAAAAAACAGACTGGGTAAAATTGTAAACATATGTCAGAAAATAATTGGCACTGACCTCAACAGCATTGGGTATGTGTATGAGGCCAGAGCCACACAGAGGGCAATGGCCATTTTGGCTAACATCACTCACCCACTACACTCTGAGTTTTGCCTCCTACCATCAGGAAGGAGGTATACCTCCCGAAAACGTGGTCTAACAGATACCTGAGATCATTTGTACCATCAGCTGTTGGGTTTCTCAACAAACTATAGGTCATCTTCCATCCCTGCCCATGTCACAGCAAATTTTTTCACTATTTTTATTTTTATACATGTGTATTTATGTTTTTATTTATTTATCATCTCATGTTTTTATGTGTTTTTGTGCAAATGTGTATGTGTTGGCTACCTGTTGTGAACCAAATTGCCCCTTGGGGACATTAAAGACAGTTCAATTAAATTTCAAATCAACCTACGTCGGGGCCTGCACGGCGGTCGCCCGCTAAAGCCTTTCTACGCCACGTCACCCCACACCCAATTTAATTTTTTGGCGATCCTCAGGGAGCCATCGTACCAAGTTTCGTTTTAATCACACGTGCCGATGTGGAGATATAAACTTCTTCATTATAAAGAGTTATAATGAGTGCTCCACTTCCTTTTATGACCAAAATCTACAGTGCTAATTTTATAAAAAAATAAAAATTAAAAACGCTTTAAAATTCTTTATATTACTTTTTTCCCAGGACAGTCCCCAGATGCTACGTGACAAGTTTTCACGTAGCATAAAAAAGTTCCTCCCATTAAAGTGCATAGGAGGAACATGAAAAAGTGAAAAACTAAATTCTAGGCAAAAATGGGCGTTGCCTATATGGGGAGATGCAGCTACATTCACCGAACGTGTGGATATAAGGTTTTTGAATGTACAACAAACGATGCAGGAGTTATTAGCCTAAAACACTTTTCTTAATAGTAGCGCCACCTAGTGGCTCAGGGGGGGAAAAATGCAGTCAAAGTTCTGAAAAATAATAATAATCACAGGGAAAACAATAGGGACGTCCAGCGGTCGCTGGCTCAGTCCCTAATAAAGCTGCAAGCAGCAATGAATGGGCCCTCGCACTGGACGCGTGTTGGGTTGTGCTGCGGCCACATCACGCGCCAAAGAGGTGTGCTGCGGTCACGTGCCGGCGTAACGTGTGGACCCCAACATGAAAATTGCCACGCAGCGCTTACTTCCTGTTGCCAGTAGGTGGTGCTATCACTATATCTAAATATTGTCATGTAGACGTGTTCAGGGCAGGACTCTTATCCAACATGTGAAGTTTCATTGAGATCGGATCACGTACACTGAAGTTATCACAACTTCCTTTCATGGCGAATTGTCGAAATTGGACACACGCTGTTTGACAGAATGTCGTAAATAGCACAACTTTTATTCATGAATGTCTTTAGATTGCGCTGATTATAAAGTTTCACAAGTTTTCGGGCATGTTTAGCCCCCCAAAAAGTGTTCAAATGTTAATACAAAAGCTGTTTTTTGCCACGTAGCCATGGCAACATGGTTCTACGCAAATTCTTCAAGATTCATAAGATATCATCGTCATCTTCCTAAGGATCTTCTGACAGAATTTCAGCTGGATCTGGTAATCTGCTGGAAGATATACATAAAAGTATAAAAATGACATTTCCTTTCACCACTAGGTGTCGCTATCACTATTACTGAACATTATCACATAGACGTGTTCAGGGCGAGACTCTTATCAAACGTGAAGTTTCGGTGAGATTGGATCATGTACGCAGAAGATCTAAGACTTTCTCTATGTACACAAAAGGCCTATTTCTCTCAAATATTGTTCACAAATCTGTCAAAATCTGTTAGTGAGCACTTCTCCTTTGCCGAGATAATCCATCCACCTCACAGGTGTGGCATATCAAGATGCTGATCAGACAGCATGTGTATTGCACAGGTGTGCCTTAGGCTGGCCACAATAAAAGGCCACTCTAAAATGTGCAGTTTCACTGTACTGGGGGGGTCCGGAAACCAGTCAGTATCTGGTGTGACCACCATTTGCCTCAAGCAGTGCAACACATCTCCTTCGCATAGAGTTGATCAGGTTGTCGATCGTGGCCTGTGGAATGTTAGTCCACTCCTCTTTAATGGCTGTGCGAAGTTGCTGGATATTGGCAGGACCTGGAACACGCTGTCGTATACGCCGATCCAGAGCATCCCAAACATGCTCAATGGGTGACATGTCCGGTGAGTATACTGGCCATGCAAGACCATTATTTTATTTAAAAGGAAAAACATCAATATAACAGGTGACCCCAAACATTTGAGCAGCAATGTATAAACGTGAGGACTCTAAACTCCACAGCCTTACAGAGGACAGCAGTTCTAGACACAACATTTTTCAAATTCAACATCCAAGACATACTGTATGAACAAAGCTACCCACCTGTACTACCAGCCGAGGAAGGCCGCAGGTCAGCATCCCTGAGCTGAAGTACCACGTCTGGGTGGTGCTGCGGCGTGAGTCTGGCCTCCTCAGCATCAACGGTTCAAAACTGGGAGAGACGAACAGGCAGATTATTAGGGCCCAAGCACTGACCAGAGCAAGGACCTATTGTAATTGTAGGAATTCTCTATTATTATTATTAGGCTTGTATTTTAAAAAAACATCTCCTAGGGAAGTGATCGGATCTACCTCAAATTTGGTCAGTATGATGTAAATGCCATCACAATTAAAAGTAATGCTATTTGTGACTGTGCGTCAAACTGCGTGCCCATGGCATCTCAATGAAAAAGGAACTTCAGCGGACAAGATCCGATCGCAACGAAACTTCACGCGTATGATAAGAATCCCACCGTCAACGCTTCTACATGGCAATATTCAGATATAGTGATAGCGCCACCTACTAGTAACAGGAAATATCATGTTTTATACTTAAACGCCGGCCGCTGGAGGTCCCTATTGTATTTGCTAGAATTCTTCTTACCTATTATTATTAGGGCCCGAGCACAAATCGTGCGAAGGCCCAATTGTATCTGTAAAGCCTATTATTATTATTTTAGTAACTTTGGAATCGCATAATTGGAGGCTTTTCCGTGCTTGAAAACTCATGAAAAGTGGCACATATGTCAGTCGTGACGAAAAATTTAATATTCTATGCGTTGCTTTCGGTTTGGCCACTAGGTGGCGCTACTATCATGAACAGTGTGTTTAGGCTAATAACTCCCACATCGTTTGTTGCACATTCAAAAATCTTATATGCATGCGTTCGGTGTATAGAGCTGTATATCCCATATAGGGCGCAAAATGTCCATAAACTACTTTTTCATGTTCCTCCTATGCATTTTGTCCGATTCGTATAGAATTTTTCACGTAGCAACCGGGGACCGCCCTGGCAAAAAAAGTAATTTGAAGAATTTGAAATTTCAAAAAATAAGCACGCTATAAAATTAAGACTTCCTGTAGATTTTTCGTAGTGGACCTTTTCTCCACATTGGTATGTCCGATTGACACCAAGCTTGGGTCACTAGTTCCCCGTGTCTTCTTTAGGCATTGTGCACAATTTCAGGCCATCGCCACAAGGTGGCGCTCTTTAAAATGAAGAAGTTTATATCTCCGCATCAGCACGTATGATTAGAAGGAAACTTCGTACGATGCTTGCCCATGGCGCTCTGAGGCTTGCTTAAAAATGTGTCAACAATCCGCCACTAGGTGGCGCTCTGGTGGCAGGGTAAATCACTGTGTGGAGACTAATAGTTATGAATATGAAATTCACAGGGCACGTGTAGACTGGTGCCTCTAGCTAACATACCAAAAATCGTGTTTGTCGTGTTTGTAGTGCCCCCTACGTATTTCAACAAAGCAGCCCCGGTGCCACGTTTCACTAATATGTACGAAACTCGGTAGGCATGTGTAACATGTCGAGATGTACAAAAAAGCCTCTTGGACCCATACCCCAAACCCCACAGGAAGTTGGCCATTTTGATTTAGATTTTCACTTTCGGTGAATTTTTCGCCTTGTATTTGAATGAACTCCTCCTAGGGAATTTATCGGATCTACTTCAAAATTGGTCGGTAAAGTCACAAAATGCTGCTGATTAAAAGTTGTGCTAATTGTGCAACCACATTAAAGGGCGTGTCCGTGGCATGGCATCAAAGTCAGCCATTTTTAATTGTTTTGTCATTTTTTGTGATTTTTTGTGTTGTATTTGAACAAACTCCTGCCAGGGAATTTATCGGATCTACTTCAAAAATGTATCAGTACAGTCAAAAAACATTGCTGATTAAAAGTTGTGCTATTTGTGACTGTACATCGAAGGGCGTGTCTGTGGCGTGCTGTCAAAGTTGGCCATTTTGAATTGAACCGAGTGCGAGGGCCCGATCATCACTGCTTGCAGTTTTAATTACTATTATTGCTACTATTACAGACTTCTTCCAGTTTATGTTCCAGTGTCCAAAAACTGACTGTACATGACTCCTGAGAGAAATATCTACCGTGTTGAGACACTGGTCTCACAGTACAAACCTGTTGTCACTAACAGCTGCAAGCCCGGCAATGTCCAGCACCAATGAAGAGTCCAGCGGGCGCGGCTGGGCAGGCTTGCTCTGAGGTGGGGACGAGCCTTCATGACACAACATGCCAGAGCCAGTCATCCTCCACAGCTGGGAGCGCTTCCCTGGCTCCTGCACAGGTCACATTAAATGTTACTACACATTCATTACAGCTGCAGAAAGTAACTTTTATAAAAACAACATTTTTGTCATATTTGCTGAATCTTTCACTATATCCAGTAGTAAAATGGTAATGGCTGTTAAATGGACCTGTACTTTTATAGCGCCTTTCTAGTCTTCCAACCACTTTTACACTACATTCCACATTCGCCCTTTCACACACATTCACACAGTGATGGCAAAGTCCATCGAACAGAAACTAATTCATTAATTCATTCACACACCAATGACACAGCAATGGGGGGCAATTTGGGGTTCAGTATCTTGCTCAAGGATACTTCGGCATGCATGGGAGGAGCTGGGAATCGAGCCAACAACCTTCCGATTAGTGGACGACCTGCTCTACCTCTGATCCAAAATAGTACACGAGAGTACATGAGACAGATATGGTTGAGTCTCAACAATCTACTACAATGTCGTTTTTTTTTTATATCAAATATTGACCACTTTTATTTTTTATTTTTTCGATAATCACATCATCTTTTAGTCTATAAAATGTCCTTTACTGTTTTCCAGTGGACATTTAAATGTCTTCTTTAACTCAATTATTAAAAAAATTGTTGATTCCTTTTCTTGCAATCGACTGACAATTAATCAAACTTTTCTCCCTTCTCCTCTAAACTTGTACAATAACGCTATTTAAACAGTTCCTGCTTTTTCCAACTTTTAAAAGCAGAATCCTGGGGAATGCTGTTGTTTGTTCATCTGGCTTGTTTTAAACTAAATACAGTACCTTCTTTTTCAGGATAACCCTTTGAGTCTTGGTGTCCACATCGAGAACCAGTTCAGCACAGCTCACCGGACGCTTCTTCCCAACAGGTCTCCTCTCAACATCCCTGCATCAATAAAATGTCACTGCTTACCTTTATGACTTTAACTTTTATATATGAGATGGTATTATTGGCTAGTTGTGTCACTGGTCCGTACTGTGAGAAAGTGTGTGTGGCAGCTATGTAGATGAAGTTCTCGTAGTAGAGCTTGTTGTACTCTCTGAAGAAATTCATGTCGGCTGTGACCTCGGAGGATCCAGCTCCCTTCACAGTCAGTGTGAGGTAGGGGGAAAGCGTGGGCTCATCACAGGCATAGTCCAGCACAGAGCCTGCTTTCACCTCAGTGTGCAGCCGGATGTCAGCCACACCATGCTGCCAGAACTGGATAGGCACCTGAAGGAATTCAAAGAATGGAATCTAAATTAGCACCATGCGCTGTTTATCACAACAAAAGAACTCCTAACATTTGCATAATGGTAACAGATGGAAATGTGCATTAATTTGCATTTTATGTTGCAGATTTTCTGGATATTCCGTTAGAATTTCCACTGCATTTGGATGGAAACCTAGTTAGTATGTGAGGCATCCTTTCTTTCTTGAGTAATCAGTAACAGGTCATGCTGCTAAAGCTAAAGTACAGTGCCTTACCTGAGAAATGTTGTCAATGCGGAAGGGTGGTGGCAGCTGGTCAGTGTCGGTGAAGGAGATCTGGTAGGTGGCTCCCTTCAGGCTGATCTCTGTCCGCAGGAAGAAACAGTTCCCCAGTGTGTCCCTGTTTAAACCAAAACCCACTTAAAACCTGTCAATTTCTTCACTTCATTCCCTCACTTCACCATACGACCCAAGTTGGTGGAATTTGCTTTTTGTATAGCATGGGAAAAAAACATCCAGTGCAGTGTCAACCGCATAACATACAGGGGGACACAGTTGGGCAGTTCTAAGATACAGACAGAATTTGGAAAATTAATTGAAAAATTCAAGGAGCAACTTGGATGGGAGCAATTTGGGGTTCAGTATCTTGATCAGGGATACTCTGACATGCTTGACATGGGGATTGAACTACCAAACTTTTGATTAGTGGACAACCCACTCCACCTCTGAGCTACAACAGCTGTAAGGCCTACAGATAAACTGAACTCAACTTTATAATGTAGAGTTTTAAGCTAATGAAACAATTGCTTTTTTCCTCCGCTGTCATTAAGAGATTCACTGAGTGGTCTCTGTCTGTCCCTAGCCTGTGTATGCGTGTGTACATATGAGTTTCTTTCATGTACCCCTCCCTTCTTTTTTTTTTTTTTTTTTTTTTTTTTTTTTTTTTTTTTTATTTTTTTATTTTTTTTTTTTTTCCCTTTTTTTGGTTTTTCTTAATTTTTTTGGGGGTTTTTTTTACGAAATAAACCTAAATCATATATAGCTTTTTTTTTTTTCTTTATGTTTTCTTCACTTTCTCAGCTTAACATCTGTTCATTACTGGTTTTAACAGAAGATATCATATAACCCCAATTCTGGCTTCTGTCCATTGGCTTTAGAATTGATTGTAAGATTTACTGATCACTTTAAAGGAACACCTCGGTCTGGTTAAGTAAGTTACTTTTATTCAACCAGCAAGTTTTTTCTTTGACCGGAAATGACACAGGCTTCTCCCAAAAGATAATAAGACGATGTACAAGAGATGCCTCTTATATTGTGGAAAACATTATTTCTCCGCTTTTATTTACATTTGAACAAAAAGTGGCATGTCCAAAATTATTCATACCCTTTGCAAACTGTCACAGTCTATGGGAAAATCCAAAGTTCCATCCATTCCAAATAGTCCAAGTGTTTTATTGTTTTTTTTTTTCCTTTTTTTTTAGGGGGTTTTTTTTTTATTAACTTCAAAAGGGAAAAAACGCCCCCCTCTTGTGGTTGGTTTGTGGACAGTCGTGGGTGAGACAAAGGAGCTCACTGAGGACTTGCGGCTGCACATTGTGGCTGCTCACAAGTCAGGAAAGGGCTATAAGGCCATATCTAAATGTTTTCAAGTTCCAGTGGCTACAATGCAAAGTATTATTAAAAAATACAAGACGTTCATCATTGTGGGAAATCTTAGAGGACATGGTCGGAAGCCAAAAGTGACACCTGTGCTGACCAGGAGGATAGTGAGAGAGGTGAAAAATAATCCAAGGATCACCACCAAGGCCATCCTGGTGAATCTGGGCTCTGCTGGTGGCAATGTCTCATGGCAGACAGTCTAACGGACAATGCACACTGCTGGGTTCCACGGACACAGACCAAAAAGGACGCCACTTCTTCAGATAAGGCACACAAAAGCCTGCTTGGCCTTTGCAAATGCTCATCTGACTTCATGAAGACTTCTGGTCTTCTGTTTTATGGTCAGATGAAACAAAAATTGAATTGTTTGGCCACAATGATATATCCTTCATTTGGCGTAAAAAAGGAGAAGCCTTCAACCCTAAGAACACCATCCCCACTGTCAAACATGGTGGTGGGAACCTAATGTTTTTCAGCCAATGGACCAGGGAACCTAATCACAGTAAACGGCACCCTGAAAAAAGAGCGATACATCAAGATTCTCAACAACAACATCAGGCAGTCTGCAGAGAAACTTGGCCTTGGGCACCAGTGGACATTTCAGCACGACAACGACCCAAAACACACAGCAAAAGTGGTGAAGAAATGGTTAGCGGACAAAAACATTAACGTTTTGCAGTGGCCCAGCCAGAGTCCTGACTGAATCCAATTGAAAATCTGTGGAGGGAGCTAAAGATCAGGGTGATGGCATGGAGACCCTCCAACCTGAAAGAGCTGGAGCTCATTGCTAAAGATGAATGGGCAAAAATACCAGTGGAGACATGCAAAAAGCTGGTCAGCAATTATAGGAAGCATTTGATTGCTGTAATGATTATTGAGAAGGGTATGAATAATTTTGGACATGCCACTTTTTGTTCAAATGTAAATCGAGCTGAGAAATATTTTTTTCCACAATGATGCCTCTTGTACATCTTCTTATTATCTTTTGGGAGACGCCTGTGTCATTTCCAATCAAGGGAAAACCTTGCTGGTTGAATAAAAGTAACTTTAAGTCAAAATTTGCCAGGGGTATGAATAATTTCAGAAAATTTTCAATAATTTTTTTTGGCTGTATATCCATATACAGAGAGTGAATAACTGCTGGTGCTGGAGAGTGTGTATATGTATATGTAGCTCACCTCATGTTGACGTGAAAGGACTTGGGTTTGTTGACCTCAAAGCCTCCAGACCAGGTGCAGTTGGGGGTGTCCATGAGGCGCACACACAGCAACTGATCATAGTCATTGCGGGGCCAGTGGAAGACGACACTGGAGCCCGGCAGAGTGGATATGTAACCCTCCGGGTTGGCTGTGCCCTAGGAAAAATGTGTTGATTAATGACTTCTGTCATATTGGTCTTATTGGCCCCTAGTGGGAAAATTGTGAGGACGGGCTACAAATCACACATTTTGACTTACCAATCAAAGGTAGCTATAACAATATTAATGGCTGCATTACATTTAGGTTCCTGTCCGAGGGCCCAAGGTCCCAAACTGGAACATTGTACAGTTCATTTCTTTCTTTTTTGTGGCATTTATTGCAGAAAGATATGAAACAAAGTCCTGGTCTGAACAGGGGATGTCACTGTATTAGGTGTGTGTTTCATCAGCTGGGCTACCTGAACACCTCTAGAACAGTTAGTGAATGTCTCACCTTTCCTCTTGCAAACTCTCTCTGAGCGAAGGCCAGTTTGTGTTTAGAGCGGTTGTCCAACAGGTAGCGTGGGGCAAAGGTCACTATGTGAGTGTCTCTGTAGCGTCCTTTACCTTTCCGGACACTGATGCCTGTGTGGATCAGACAAGGAACAATGAATATCTGACAATAATTTTTGTGGATAATGTGAATGTAGCACACTGCGAAAATGTAATCTCGACAAAGTAAAAAAGCTTAATTTTTTATCTTAAAAAGAGAGAATTAAAAAGCATTTGTATTAGAAAAGTAATCAGATTTTTAAGAAAATATATCCAACTTTGTCTCAATAAGGTAATACAGCTAATATTGAGCTCGATTGAACCAGTAACAAGTTACAACAATGGTTTGAATAATGCTAGTTTTAAGAATTCTAGGCAAGCAAAATTGGCTTACCCCATTGGCAGATTTATTTTGCTCAATACAAAAAAAGAGATCATATTTAGAAATATTTTTGTTGTTTCAAGAAGGACTGTTTTTGCAGTGCAAAGATACTTTGGCTGAAAATCCAACAGTGAACAACACCGAGAAGTAATGTCACCTTTGTAGCTTCATCCAGACCTACTGCCCCAGAACATCACCTTCACAAAAACTCAAAGGAGGGTGACAAACAGCAGTATAGGGACATCAAGCGGAACTACCGTGTTGCCAACTGGCATTCACATAGCTGTAGAAAGCCATACTCAGAGATGCAGGCCTAACATTATAACCAGACAATTGACATTTCAGATGATTACCGCAGCATCTCTGATCACAGTTCAGAACATTGGTCATAATGCATCAGACAGTGTCAGTGACAGCGCCTCTGAATGTCTCCCTGCCTCCGGCTACCAGAAGAAGAGCCACAAGGTAAGAAAAACTAAGCACAGTCGACACAAAGTACTTTACTCTTTAGTTACAAAGGCAAACTTGAATTTGTTAGCAACCACAGTAAAGTCAGTACAGTACCTACAAATTCAGCTGAAAAACAAACTAAATTTTGATTTGACACTACTGCTTGAAAACACACCTGGATCAGCGCCTTGGTAGAATTTTTGATAAGATCACTGATGCAAACACTAGTTTAGGACACACTCATTATGATGCACAACTAGTCATACACATGTCCTTATTCAACACACTCCAAAAATGGTTTCATTTTTAGGTGCCACTACCTCTGTATCTCACCCTAACAGGTTAACTAACTAACCACTAACCTTTCTTCTCTCAATAACCAACGAGTAACTGAGAAACACTCGTTATTTAGCCATAGTGTTTTTGTCATGTTTTGTCATGTTTTTGTTTGTAACTTGTTAACTAACTAACTAACCAACTCTGATTATTGGCAGCTCCATAGTCAGAAACGTGAAGTTAGCGAAGCCAGTGGCCATAGTTAAATGTATCCCTGGGGCCAGAGCGGGCGACATTGAATCATATTTAAAACTGCTGGCTAAAGATAAACATAAATATGGTAAGATTGTTATCCATGTCGGCGGTAATGACACCCATTTACGCCGATCGGAGGTCACCAAAATTAATGTGGAGTCGGGGTGTAACTATGCTAAAACTATGTCTGACTCTGTAGTTTTCTCTGGACCCTTGCCCAATGTGACCAGTGATGACATGTATAGCCGCATGTCGGACTTCCACGGCAGGCTGTCGAGGTGGTGTCCAGCAAACGATGTGGGCTTCACTGATAACTGGAAGCCTTTTTGGGGAAAACCTGGTCTGATTAGGAGAGACGGCATCCATCCCACTTTGGATGGAGCGGCTCTCTTATCTAGAAATATGGCGAAGTTTATTTCTAAAACCTGACAGTCCAGAGTTGGGACCAGGAAGCAGGGCTGCTGTCTTACACACTATTCTTCAAAAGCTGTTTTAGTGAATGAATTAATATCAGATTATGATATTGATTTACTTTGTCTTACTGAGACCTGGTTGTCCCACGAGGAGTATGTCAGCCTAAATGAATCCACACCCCCCGTCATATTAATACTCACATTCCTCGAGGCACCGGCTGAGGAGGTGGAGTGGCAGCCATATATGATTCGAGCGTTTTAATGGACTCTAAACCTAAACTAAATTATAATTTATCTGAAAGCCTTGTTCTTAGTCTTTTTCACCCAAACTGGAAAACACTGCAGTCAGGTCTATTTGTTATAGTGTACCGCGCTCCCTGACCGTACTCTGATTTTATATCTGAATTCTCAGAGTTTTTATCAAGTTTAGTCCTTAAATCAGATAAAGTAATTATTGTAGGTGATTTTAATATTCATGTGGATGTTAACAATGACAGCCTTAGTAACGCATTTATATCATTAATAGACTCAATTGGCTTCTGTCAGAGTGTAAATAAACCAACTCATTGTTTTAATTACACTCTTGACCTTGTTCTATCATATGGCATTGATATTGAACATTTAACAGTCTTCCCACATAATCCTTTCCTATCTGACCATTATTTAATAACTTTTGAATTCATACTATTAGATTATAACCCATTAGGCAAAACTTCCTACAGCAGATGTCTATCTGACAGTGCTGTAGCTAAATTTAAGGAGGAGACTCCTTCAGTGTTTAATTCAATGCCATGTCTGAATTTAACAGAGTCCTATAACAACTTTAGTCCCTTTGAAATTGATAATCTTGTCGATAGTGCTGCAGGCTCACTACGAAGAACATTAGACTCTATCGCTCCTATAAAAAGGAAATTATTAAAACATAGGAGACTAGCACCGTGGTACAACCACCAAACCCACCAAGTAAAGCAAATAGCTAGGAAATCTGAAAGGAAATGGCGCTCTTCCAAATTATCAGAATATCGCTCAATTTGGCAAGATAATCTTAAAACTTACAGAAAGGCCCTCCATAATGCCAGAGGAGCATATTACTCAGCACTAACAGAAGAAAATAAGAATAACCCTAGGTTCCTCTTCAGCACTGTAGCCAGGCTGACAGAGAGTCACAACTCTATTGAGCCACATATCCCCATAACCTTAAGTAGCAATGACTTCATGAGCTTCTTTTATAATAAAATTATTACTGTTAGTGAGAAAATTAATCACCAACTGCCATCAACAGTTATCAGTGGCTCTCCAAGTTCAGGGACTTTTACTAATGTAAACTTAGATATATATTTAGACTGTTTTTCTGCTATCGATCTTCATCAGTTAACTTCAATAATTTCTACATCGAAGCCATCAACCTGTCTGTTGGACCCGATCCCAACTAGGCTGCTTAAAGAAGTTGTTCCCTTAATTGGCACTTCTTTACTGGATATGATTAATCTTTCTTTATTATCAGAATATGTACTGCAGTCCTTTAAAGTAGCTGTAATTAAACCCCTTCTTAAAAAGCCCACTCTTGACCCAGGGGTTTTAGCCAACTATAGACCGATTTCTAACCTTCCTTCCTCTCTAAGATTCTGGAAAAACTAGTTGTTCTACATAACAATAGTTTGAGGATTTTCGGTCAGGATTTAGAGTTCATCATAGCACAGAGACAGCTCTGGTTAAAGTTAATGACCTTCTGATTGCTTCTGACAATGGACTTGTCTCTGTACTTGTATTATTAGATCTTAGTGCTACATTTGACACCATTGACCATGATATTCTTTTACAGAGACTTGAGCATCAAATTCGCATTAAAGGAACCGCACTAAGCTGGTTTAAGTCATATGTATCAGATTGTTCGCAGTTTGTACATGTTAACGATGAATCTTCAATAAATACTACAGTTAGTCATGGAGTTCCACAAGGTTCTGTACTTGGACCAATACTACTTACTTTATATATACTCCCTTTAGGCAACATTATTAGGAATCACTCCATTAACTTTCACTGTTATGCAGATGATACGCAGTTATATCTATCGATCAAGCCCGATGAAATTAATCAATTATCTAAATTACAAACATGTCTTAGGGACATAAAATCCTGGATGAGCTGCATTTTTTTGATGTTAAACTCAGAAAAAAAAATTCTTGTTCTTGGTCCCAAAAACCTTAGAGACTCACTGTCTAAAGACATAGTTACTCTAGATGGCATTACCTTGGCCTCTAGCACCACTGTCAGGAATCTGTTACTGTGCACCTGTCTGTCTGTCTGTCTGTGTGTCTCTCTCTCTCTCTCTCTCTCTCACCCCAACTGGTCGAGACAGACGACCACCCACCTAGAGCCGAAGGATCTGTCCTAGGTTTCTGCCTTTTAATAGGCAGTTTTTCCTTGCCCTTGTCGCCAAGTGCTTGCTCATGGTGGTACTGTTGGGTCTCTGTAAATAATCTTATAAAGAGTTCGGTCTAGACCTGCTCTGTTTGAAAAGTGTCCTGAGATAACTTCTGTTATGAATTGGCCCTATACAAATTGAATTGAATTGAATTGAATTGAATTGAATTGAATTGAATTGAATCATAGTTTGGTGCGCCTTTAAACCACTGTTGTACCAACAAATTATACTGATGTGTTTTTTATAGTACCTACACGATGCATTAAAAATTTCAAAAAAGCCTGGTGCACAGTATAAAAGTGAAGCGAGTGCTGCTTAACTAGAAAAAATAAATTGCATGGCATCAACAGTTTAAGGACTTTTAATAATCCCAGAAGGTCATGAAAACAAAAGACTGCAATTTATTTCATTTCATTTTCTTTGTATATGGCAAATGGACACTACTTGCACTGATCAGCCATAACATGAACACTTCTAGGCTGGATTACTGCAATTTCTTATTATCAGTTTGCCCCAAAAAGTTAATTAAGACGCTCCAATTAATTCAGAACGCTGCAGCACGAGTACTGACAGGAACTAGGAAAAGAGATCATATCTCTCCTGTACTGGCTTCTCTGCACTGGCTCCCTGTAAAATTTAGAATAGAATTTAAAATCCTCCTCCTCACCTACAAAGCTCTTCATGGCCAGGCCCCTTCATATCTTAAAGAGCTCATAGTACCCTATTACCCCACTAGAACACCGCGTTCTCTGAATGCAGGGCTACTTGTGGTTCCTATAGTCTCAAAAAGTTGAGACTATAGAGTATTAGGGCCAGACTAAGAGAAAAAAATTTCTTTTTTACTTTATTCCCGTAATATTATGACTTTATTCTCATAATATTGTGACTTTATTTTTGCAAAATTATGACTTTTTTCTCGTAGACCTAATATTATGACTTTATTCTTGTAATATTATGACTTTTTTTCTCGTAATGTTACAACTTTATTCTCGTAGACCTAATATTATGACTTTATTCTCCTAATTTTCCCCCAAAAAATAAAAATATAAAAGCTTATAGTTAGGGCTGGCTCAGGTGAGTCCTGAACCATCCCTTAGTTATGCTGCTCTAGGCCTAGACTAGCGGGGGATTTCCCATGATGCACTGAGCTCCTCTCTTCCTCTCTCTCTCTTTCTGCACACATTCATGTTCCATTAATGCATGTTACTGACTTCACTTCTTCCCCAGAGTTCTTGTGCTTTCTCGTCTCGCAGGTTCTCATGGATCCTGGTGGAGCCTCCTGCCATGGTCCTGCTTGACTCCCATTGCTAATATCACTGATATTATTAGGGACCTTGCAAGCGACCGCTGGAGGTTCCTATTGTTTTTGCTTTGTTTCTTCTTACCTATTATTAGGGACCTCGCAAGCGACCGCTGGAGGTCCCTATTGTTTTTGCTATGTTTCTTCTTACTTATTATTATTTTTAGCACTTTTGATTGCGTTTTTGCCCCCCTGAACATATACGAAAAGTCAATTTTATTTGGCAAAGTGGTCAGGCCTGGTGAAAAATTTTATATTCTATGCGTCGCTTTTGGGTTGGCCAGTAGGTGGCGCTACTATCATAAAAAATGCGTTTAGGCTAATAACTTCTGCATAGTTTGTCGCACATTCAAAAAACTGGTATCCACGCGTTCGGTGAATGGAGCTGAATCCCTCCATATAGGCCCCGCCCACTTCCGCCTAGAATTTTTTTTTGTTAGAGCACGAAATGTCCTTAAACTACTTTTTCGTGTTCCTCCGACACGCTTTGTCCGATTAACACACATTTTTTCACCTAGCACCTGGGGACCGCCCTGGCAAAAAAAGTAATTTTAACATTTTTGAAATTTCAAACAATAAGCACGCTATAAAATTAGCACTTCCTGTGGATTTTTCGTCAAAAAAGGAAGAGGACCATTTCTTAACATTGGTATGTTCGATTGACACCAAACTTGGGTGCATAGTTCCACATGTCCTCCTTAGGCACCGTGCACAATTTCAGACCATTACCACTAGGTGGCGCTCTTTAAAATGAAGAAGTTTATATCTCTGCAACGGCACGTGTGATTAAAATGAAACTTGGTAGGATGCTTGCCCATGGCTCCCTGAGGCTCACCAAAAAAGGAAAAAAAATCAGGCCACTGGGTGGCGCTCTGGTGGCAGGATAAATCACTGTGCGGAGACCGTAATAGTTATGAATATGAAATTCACAGGGCACATGTAGAGTAGTGCCGGAAATTCACATACCAAAAATCGTGTTTGTCGTGTGTGTAGCGCCCCCTACAGGATAAAAAAACAGCAGCCCCAGTGCCACATTTCACCGATATGTATGAAACTCGGTAGGCACGTGTAACATGCCAGGACGTACAAAAAAGCCTCTTGGACTCATACCCGAAACCCCACAGGAAGTCGGCCATTTTGATTTAAAGTTTCACTTTCGGTGAACTTTTCGCGTTTTATTTGAACGAACTCCTCCTAGGGAATTTATCGGATCAACTTCCAATTTAATCAGCGCAATCTAAAGACATTCATGATTAAAAGTTGTGCTATTTGCGACATTCCGTCAAACGGCGTACCCGTGGCGTTGCGTTGAATTTCGACCATTCACCATAAACAGATAGTACTCAACTTCAGTGTACAGTCCCACCCTGAACACGTCCTCATAACTTCAGCGTACATGATCCAATCTCAATGAAACTTCACGTGTTTGACAACAGTCCCACCCTGAACTTGTCTACATGACAATATTTAGACATAGTGATAGCGCCACCTTCTGGCAACAGGTGGTAAGCGCTGCATGGCGATTTTGTGCTGCGTTACGTGAAATGACCGTGCCAGTGACGACTTGTCAAATTCAGCGGATTCGCCATGAAATGCCACTCATAACTTCAGTGTGCAATGTCCAATCTCCAGTGAACTTCATATATTCTGTAACAGTCTCGCCCTGAACACGTCCTCATCACTTCAGCGTACGTGGTCCAATCTCAATGAAACTTCACGTGTGTTACAACAGTCCCGCCCTGAACTTGTCTACATGACAATATTAAGACATAGTGATAGCGCCACCTTCCGGCAACAGGTGGTAAGCGCTGTGTGGCGATTTTGAGCTGATTTACGTGACATTTTCATGTTGTGGTCCCCAAGTGTTACGACGGCACGCGATGCGGCCGCAGCATGCCCCAAGTTGGGTGGGGTGCGAGGTCCCGCTCAACGCTGCTTGCAGCTTTAATTATTATTATTATTATTATTATTAGGGACTGAGCCAGCAACCGCTGGAGGTCCCTATTGTTTTTGCTCGATTTCTTACCTATTATTATTATTATTATTTTTAGGAACTTTGATTGCGTTTTCCCCCCCCTGAACATATACGAAAACTCAATTTTATTTGGCAAAGTTGTTAGGCCTGGTGAAAAATTTGATATTCTATCTTCTAAAAAAATACGCCCCTAGGTGGCGCTCTTTTGGCATGATAAATCACTGTGCGGAGACCATAATAGTTATGAATATGAAATTCACAGGGCACGTGTAGAGTAGTGCCTGAAGCTCACATACCAAAAATCGTGTTTGTCGTGTGTGTAGCGCTCCCCTACAGGATATAAAAACAGCAGCCCCGGCGCCACGTTTCACCAATATGTACGAAACTCGGTAGGCACGTGTAACATGCCAGGACGTACAAAAAAGCCTCTTGGACCCATACCCGAAACCCCACAGGAAGTCGGCCATTTTGATTTAAAGTTTCACTTCTGGCGAACTTTTCGCGTTGTATTTGAACGAACTCCTCCTAGGGAATTTATCGGATCTGCTTCAAAATTTGTGAGTACAGTCAAAAAATGGTTCTGATTAAAAGTTGTGCTATTTGTGCATGTACATTAAAGGGCATGTCCGTGGCATGCTCTCAAAGTTGGCCAGGTTGAATCGAATGTCAAACTGTGATACCATTTCCGGCATTACTCAGTCTTCCAGCTTCTTTTTGCCTTGTATTTGAACAAACTCCTCCTAGAGAATTTATCGTATCTGCTTCAAAATTGGTCAGTACAGTCAAAAAACATTGCTGATTAAAAGTTGTGCTATTTGTGAATGTACATTAAAGGGCGTGTCCGTGGCGTGGCATCAAAGTCAGCCGTTTTGAATTCCGTGCTCAATTTTGTGATTTTTTGTGTTGTATTTGAACGAACTCCTCCTAGGGAATTTATCGGATCTACTTCAAAATTGGTCAGTACAGTCAAAAAATGGTGCCGATTAAAAGTTGTGCTATTTGAGACTGTACGTTGAACTGTCTGTGGCGTGAGGTCAAAGTTGGCCACTTTGAATTCTGTCGTCATACAAACTGATTGAAAAGTTGAGCTATTTGTGACTGTGCGTGCCAGTGACAACTTGCACGCAGCAGATTTGCCATAAAATAGTGCTCATAACTTCAGTGTGCAATGTACAATCTCCAATAAACTTAATATATTCTGAAACAGTTTTGCCCTGAACACGTCCTCATAACTTCAGCGTACGTGGTCCAATCTCAATGAAACTTCACGTGTTTGATAACAGTCTCACCTTGAACATGTCTACATGACAACATTCAGACATAGTGATAGCGCCACCTACTGGCAACAGGAAGTAAGCGCTGCGTGGTGATTTTGAGCTGATTTACGTGAGATTTTCATGTTGTGGTCCGTACGTGTTACGACGGCACGTGACGCTGCTTGCAGCTTTAATTATTACTATTATTATTTTTACTAAAGATACTATCATTTCTATGGTCACTGCTCATTGTCCCCCATCGTTGATGTCGTCGACGTCATCATCTTCTTCATGTTCATCATTATCAGTCACTCCCAATAGTATAGTTGTTGCTACATCTTCTCTCTCTCTCTCTCTCTCTCTCTCTCTCTCTCTCTCTCTCTCTCTCTCTCTCTCTCTGAATTGAATTCTGACACATTTCTATCAGAACCAGCATGAACTTTTTCAGCAATTTGAGCAACTTGTCTGTTGGATCGGACCACACTTCTGTGTCTTGATTTAATGATGTGTAATACACAATCCAGAAACTAGTTCAGTTAGTGCTCTCCATTAATTCTGATTGTGACTGTACCAACTTGCCTATGTTGTAGATGAGGCCAGGCCTGTTCCCGTGCTGAATGACCTTCACTGCCCTGACTCCACTCCCTCCATCCAGGGAGAAGCCCTGGCACCAGCCTGGAACTCCATCTGGGTGGATCCCTTTCCCAATCCGCATCGTGCACCTGGGATTGATTTGGATAAATGGAATGTAATACTGAGAACTACCTAGAGGTGTGCACTGCCTGGTTTTATGAATATTTTCTTGCATATGTAGATTCTGAGGTTTGTGAGTATGCAGTGTTTTAGGATGGAGTTTTATAAATGAGGTCCCAGCTTTTTGACACACACTTACATAGCAGGCTGCTCCTTGTCAGTGTAGCAGAACAGTAATGGACTTAGGCTTCGGGCCAACTCATGCTCCTCAAACTGTCCTGCTGCATCAGATTTGCCATTGTCCTGACGGAAAATTAATGGCAGACCTGAGGGAGGAATATGGCTTTAGGGAATAATAATTAAGAAGCTTGTTCTGATTGGATTGTTTTTGTAATTGTAGAATCTGCACAACTTTTGTTTAACAACAAAGAAAACATTACCGGTCTTGTTGATAAGCCAGTAGGGGGCCGAAATCAGGATCTTCAGTGCCCCTTGTGCTCGCAGGATGATGCGAATAGTGAGGCAAAGCAGATGTTTGTTGGTATCATATAGCCTCATGCGTACCACGTAGTTCTGAGTTCCTGGGGGAATCAGCAGCTCTTTGCACACAGGGAAGTTCTCAAGTAGGACTCCTGAAAGACACACATCATTACACCAGGAGTGAGAGGAAGGAAAAGGTTTAGGAAATGAACAGCAGCCAGTGACAGTCCTGACCTAGCTCCATGTTCTGCGAGGTGTCAGCAGCATGGAGCACGGCCTCTTTCCCTGGTCTCAGCGAGCCTTTAATGGACGTTCCTTTGATGTAGTAGTTGAGATCACAGGGTAGCAGGTTGGCCAGTACCATGGTGGGCAGCAGATAGATGGTGTGGCCTGGCTGTCGGTAGATCTGCTTGGCACTGCCAGAAACCCTCTTGGCAGGCTGCTGCTCGGGGTAATTCTCCTTCTTGATGACCACACAAAACCTGTAAGATGCAGACATATGAGGAGAACGGTACCAGATGTGAGGAAGACTAGAACCAAGAACAGGATTTCTGACCGACTGTATCTACCTGAAGTTCCGCTTGAGGTTGTCGTCAAAGTCTGCTGACTGACACTCCCTCTTACTGCTGCTGATCTCTCCGGGTCGCTCCACGCTGGTCCAGTGGATGGGAACCTTACAGAAGAACAAGCCTAGGCCTTTGGGCCGAGCCTGCAGCCGCCATGATGTCAGGTGAAGGGGGACTGCCAAGGCCTGGCCAGGCAGTATGGGAGGCAACATTACTGGTTCTGTTAACACAGGGACACAGTTGGCTTCATTAAAATAACACAGGACCTTAATTAAGGGTTGAAAAAATATAAATAAAATTAAAGCGGGACCTCGCCATCAACCTACGTCTGGGCCTGCACGGCGGTCAAACACCGCATCACAGCTTGAGATTTGATTCAAGCTGGCCAAATTTGATGGCACGCTACAGACACGCCCTTCAACGTACAGTCACAAATTGCACAACTTTTAATTAGCAACATCCTTTTTAAAAAACGGCTGCTAAATCCAAAATGGCCGACTTCCTGTTGGGTTTATGAAATGGCACCCAGTGGCTTTTTTGTGCGTCAGGATAAGATCTACGCGTATGCCAATTTTTATGCATATCGGTGAATGGGGCCCCTGGTGGTACAGTTTATGGGCCCCTGAGGTGCCATTTTGCCATGCTCATAGTGGACCCCTAGAAAATAATTTGTTTTTGCACCACGATTGACATGTGCCTGAGAGTTTTGAGCATGGGAAAGCCTCCAAAAATGCGATTAATTTGTTACTTAAATAAGAATCCTTACAGATACAATAGGGCCTTCGCACAGTCAGTTGCTAGAGCCCTAAAAATAACAATTCCAAACACTCAAAGCGCTTTTACACAACATGCCACATTCACCGTTTCACAGAGCGATGGTAAATTGGACAGAAACTCATTCATTCACATTCACTCAACGATGCACAGACAACATTCTATAGAGTTCTCTAAATCTTACACACTGGTCTTTTAAATGATCAGAATAAAATAAAATCAGAACGGTATATCAGACAATCTTGGTTGCACAGGTTTGTATGATTATTTAATTTAGTAAACAGTGAACAGAAAAAAAAAAGAGGAGCAGTGTCTTACTGTCAGGAGCAGAGGGGCTGTCGAGTCTGACCTCCATAGGGACATCTAGCCGGTTCTTCACCATGAGGGCTGAGCGGACAGTAATGACCTTCCTTGCACTGCCCTCCATTGTGATGGAGAAGACCACTCTGACCGGAGGCAGGGCCGAAAACTGAGGGGCCAAAGGGATTCACACACAAAACAAGTCACCATCGGGACATTTGACCACTCTGCAGCGGAGGAATAAGCTGTGGAGCCTTATAATAAACTAAATTTGACCATGTGTCTGTATGTATGTAGATTTCTGCTTGCGGCTGAAAAGATCTGCAGTTGAGTTTCAAACTAAATACGCAGCCATGACTTTTCTTTGTTTTGATATCGGCATTATATATCTGCCATCGATCACCCTGCTCTCTAAATATTGGCATTAGCCATTGAAACTTGCCAGACTTACATAAACATGAGGGTGGATGATGTTGGTCCTGCTGATAGGACTGCCAACCTGTGGGAGTAAAGAAATAGGAAAGATTTAACTCAAACTCTTGGCCAATTTGTCAGAAACATTGTAAACATGACTTTGGAGGTTTTGACTTATTCTCACAGTGTTGGAAGAGTTGTTTCTGTCTGCAGCTGCGTAACGGAAGAAAACGCCCACTTTGTCCACAGACACCGGCTTAACCTGCTCCCATCCACACACCCGAACCAGCAGCTGGTGCAGCTTCAGCTCATGAGTGTGTCTGCAGAGGAGGAGGGATCACAGGATCAGTGATACACAACTACAATGTACCAAAAAAACTCCATCATGCTGTAGCTCAGAGGCAGAGCAGGTCGTCCCCTAATCGGAAGGTTGTTGGATCGATCCCCAGGTCCTCCTGCCACATGTCGAAGTATCCTTGAGCAAGAACTGAACCCCAAATTGCTCCCGATGCATAGCATCACTGAGTGAATGTGTGTAAAAGGGTGAATGTGGCACGTAGTCTAAAAGCGCTTTGAGTGGTCGGAAGACTAGAAAGGCGCTATACAAGTACAGGTCCATTTACCATTTACCATCATTTATACACAGACAAAAGCACTGCATAGTACTTAACAACAATAACTGAATATGAATATGAATATAATATAGTTAAGTGAAATATACTGTATGGATATTTCATATTATATTCAACAATAACAATAACAGTAGAGAACAGATAAACTGTACAATGAACCCAAACAGTGAACATAGTAACTGTAGGAAGTTTGTGTAAAACCAGAGATTTGTATGATTTTTGAGCAGATTATAGATATAGAAATTTTAGGAACTTTTTATGCAATTCTCTATATCATGTATTCTTCTTATAATTTAATGCAGGACGAGGCTGTTTATCAGATAGTAAAAGCTCTGTGAATATAGATTGTGTTCAGGTCTTCACCGTCAATCAATTGTCAATCAATTGTTATCAAAGTTGGCAGGTCACCAAACCCCAGCAATCAAGCCGATTTATCACATTTTAAGACAAATCTGACAGGATGGAGAACCCGAGTATCATTAAGTTCCAGCGTGCAGTGAAATGTTTTCAGACAGAAAGAATGATGGCCAAACCAGTCACCAGTATCATAAACACTTTCATATTCACTGGACAAAATCCACATGTGCTGTGAATGTGAATCAGAGCTATACCGGTGGCGGAGCTTCTCGCGGGCTTCAAACTCAAAGGGAATCTCCTCCCCAGGCAGCACCTCTCTCCACTGGCTGACATTGTGAGTGTCATCAGCTCCTGGACCGTGGATGTCTGAGATGGAGTCTGCACTGCTGCTGTGAGACAGCGCCACCCTGTGGGGAGCATATGAATAGATTTACCTGGAGACAGTTTCTCACTGACGCTGAAACTATTGGTCAGCAGGAGAGAACCCCTCCACTCTAAAGTTAAATATGAATTTACATTTCTTTACACATCGTCACACAAGAAATAGTACTGTCTTTAACAGACAAACTAACTATCACCACTGTCACATGTACACTAACATATTAGTATGCAGTGCTGATCCAGTGATCTATGAGCCTGACATGTGTCTTGGGGGATCAGATCAGAAGAGGACAGCTCTGAATACAAGTGTAAATGGGCATTAAAATGCACTGCTAACCAATCACTCAAACCACTTGCAGAGGTAGTTTGCGACGCATTTGATCACATATCTTTTGTAGTGTAGACGATAAAGCGTCCTGGGCCACATTGTTCAAGTCTCACCAAATTTGGCATTTGCTCTGAGCTCACAAGAATATATTTCATATGTGACCAAATTTGGAATGCATTTGGTACTGTCATACCAAATGTGGAAAAAATGTTTTCTTCAAAAAAATGTTTTCTTCATTATACAATATATTACCATCTACTGTTTTTTTTGGGAGCACAGGGCACTACTTGCAAATATAGTTATTCCTTCAAATCTGCCAAACATGCTGTATCTCCAGTTTGTAGTACATGTATTTACGGTGCCATACACAGTTATGGTTATGTCTCCACGTACCTTGTGGGGGTTGTAGTCAGGGTGGCAAACCACATCGTGCATCCTGTGTGGTTGCGGAGAGCGTAGGCCACGAATGGCTGCCTCCTCTTGGACAGCTTAACATCAGCTGGAAACAGAAATGAAGACCGGATCAGAGACGAGTGTACTTACTTTAGTAGTGTTTGTTTAACTATAACAGTCATGCACTTGCTTTCTTCTTGGTCTCTGATACTTAAAAAGCAGCCGGCACAGATGCCTTGAAAGTCTTTCCTTTAAAGGGGCGCTCCACCAATTTTACACAAAAAGATTTCCCTTAGTACTCATAGGGACAACTAGTCAGCCTGTAAAAAACAGCTGAATAGTACTTCTGTGGCTCTGGAGACACTCCTGATGATATCATAGGGCGTGATTTATCTCAGTCTACATGAACTGGGGTTGAGAAAAGACGCTTTTAGGTGCATTTCTGTTGCTTTGATTTTTTTTTCAAATGTGCCCCAAACTTTATAGAAATCTCTGGAGAACCCCTTTAAAAAAGGCAACTTCTTTAGAAATGAAAAATCATACTTCTTTTTGTAAATCTGCAATTATAACTTTTTATATATAACAACAGTTATAATTGGCTTGGCTTATTGCCATTTTTTTCACATTCTACGTATGAACATACAGTGATGTGGAAACTAAAAGCACACAAACAAAAGCAATCTGTATATCAAACATGATTTCCATAGATTTCAGTGAAAGTAAACCATGTGGCTTTATACTTACCATCACACTGTATTATTATTATTGTATACAAGATTTCGAAATGTTACCAAACGCCAGAAAACTCTACAGTAAATGAGTATTTAAAAAAAAAAAAAAACCCCAAAACAAATGAACAATTACAAATTTACTCTTTGGCCAACTAACCATTTAGCATATGACTGCAACAAATTTAACCTCAGTGTCCAGCAGTCATTGAATTTTTTTAGATTTACCCTTTAGTTTATATTTATCAGATGTCAAAACAAAAATTATTTATTTATATACCCAAAGTAGTCAGGGTTCCCACTGTTTTAAACAAATCATTTTCCAGGATGCGTGGGAACCCTGGGCCTGGTAGTATTAAAAAGTACAGGAGACAAAGAAACTGCCCAAACTGGATAATGGAGGATAATCAAATGAACTACAGAACACTTCTCTATCCTACACAATGTACAACAGTCTACACAGAAGACTACTGTGCCAAAATGTAGTGAATTTTCACAATGGATTCTCAAATACTGGCCGTGCTGTGCAAACCATGTCATGCTGCTCAGGCAAAAAGAAATTTCATAAGAGGAGGAAAGACAGGACAGGCACCGATCATAATTATATCTAATAAGACAGATTTTAAAGCTTCAGTAGGGAACTTAAAAATAACTTTTTTTTTTATCATATTTACTATATATTTATCAAACTTTCACTATATCCTGACAGTAGTACATAAGACAGATAATCTGTGAAAAAATCAGGTTCTTCTGGCTCTCCTTGGTGCTCCTAATGGCATTTGCAAAAATCCACTGGCCCTGGACGAAAATGCAGCGGTGGCGGTGTCATATGGATCTTGCATGTGGGTGTGGCAAAATGGCTTGACAGCCCCCCCTAAGTAGCATCATATACAGTATGTATGAAAATCGGTATGCAGATGTATGTTAAAAGCCTGTTGGAGCTATATCCAAAACCCATCAGGAGGTTGGCCATTTTTAATTAAGTAGTAATTTTTATCAGTTTAAACACTTATGAATTGCTCAAATCCATTTCAAATTTCGTCATTATAAACTATTTGCGATGGAAAGCAATCAAAAACTTAAGTTTTCATTGAACGACGTGTGTGGACTTGTAACTTGAGTGTACATAGTCTAATCGGTCCCAAACAATGTGTGTGGTGGTCTACACTTAAAATGCTGACACAACTCACGACTGCATCTGTCCTTGTTGGCATATTGCACATGGTGCTGCTACCTGTGGATCAGTCGAATACTGTGACACCATTGGAGGGACAGTATATAAAAACATAAGGTGAGAGACACAATCTAATAACACATTATCTGTTTAAGATGTTTGCAAATTTCACAGATTTTTTGTGGTCTAGAGTGTTCCAGAAAATGTAAACTTAATTGGTCAATGACGTCATATCCCCTTTGTGCATGCATCAGGGTTGTGGTTGTCTGCCAGAAGCTGTCATACATTGACTTTTTATCCAGTTTGAAGGCACATTTTTACCATCCGAGCTGAGCCAACGTTAGCAGCAGCTCAGCTCACAGGCCCACCGGGAAGTCCTTTGTCTGCCCAACAGAGTGGGAGAAACAGTCATTTTTAAGGTGGAACTGCTTTATTCAGAGTTTTAGCGATTTGTTTTGGAGAGGAGGAGACCTCTGTGGATAATTAGGCTCCCAGTAGAAACCTTCTGAACCACGAACACCGAAGGAATCCTAACTGGGAGAAGCTGACAGCAATGACAGCAATGCAGGTGAATATAACAACTCACATGATCCCACACTACTTCATTGCGTCATCAAACTGTTTTGTTATTGTACCCCCTTATGGCAGAAATTACATGTTGTACATAGTGATGATTGATGTTTATTCTGTCTTACACAGAGGTTTATGCATTATTATTATTATCAAGAGCCACAATCAAAGGAGCCGCAAATATTACTGCAAATTCTATTTTTATTTTCTTGTTGCTTATTTGTGTTCACTCAGAGGCTGAAAATGTAATAAGAATATCTTTTACAGGATATTTGTTGCCCATTTTAAACCAACAGGAGCAACAGTAGAGAGAAACAAGGGGGTGAGAGAATGACACGCAACAAAGGGTTAGGGTTCATGGGACGTTTATGGTCAGTGCCGTAAGCCACAGGGCCGCCCCACACAACAGTTCTCATACGGATATTAGTTATAATTTGTACTGTGATCATTTTTGAACAATTGCTACTAGCTATTTTGCCTCACAACACTGCAGGATGTCTAAGCACCTATTGGAAACAATTGATAATGAGTGAATCAGAGCTTGGATACGGAGTGTGCTGCTGAGGGAGACTGTCTGGGTAACTAAACTCTGAACTGTACCTCTGGAGTGAATCTGCTGCTCGAGGCAGGTCAAGCTGGCTGTGCTCCTAGTTCTAAGGTGAGCAAGAGGAGCACCTGATAGTAGAGAGAGACAGTTACTGCACAACAGAAACACATGCAGAGGGAACACACAAGAGGGTTAGAGTTTCATCATCCTCATTCCGTACTCCATGTTGGCAATCAGCACTCTGCAAATCAATACGTTTATGACCAGTGCAATTCATGCTTCATTTCTATTCACGTGTTCAGAACAACAACCAACATATGACAAGTCATTTCCCATTCAACTGAGGGACCAGAAGAACTTGGCTGATGAGTGCTAGTTATGTCATTAGCACTTCTTAGCTAATGAACTAAGCATTATAAAAGGCAGAAAAACTTCCTGTTCTGCCAACAGCTCTTCAGAATAGAGCAACCTATCAACCAAGTTTCTCACAGGATGAAAGCAGACAACCAAAGTGACCAACCAAAGCCCCACCAACTCTAAACAAGCTGCTTTCAGGTTAACTGGTGTTATTCTATGTTTTTCTTATTATCAAAAAATCCCATGAAAATATCAGAACCAAATGTATGGGTCATTCTATGTCAAAACAGATAGCGGTTTTGTTCAAACTTTATGTATATCCTCTTTTACATTAAGAAATAAATTCTGTAAAATATTTTTATGCCGCGTAATTTTAAGTTTTATTACACCCCTTAAGATCTGTGAAGCTTTGGCGACCCAAAGCGATGAAATTTGTTAAAGGTTTGAAAGGCACAAGCAGATGTATAATAAGGCCTTATTTCCGAAATAAGGCTTGTTTTAACATGTTAGCCATGAAATAATTTGTGCAAGCTACCTTTACTAACCTTTTTAATTGTTTTGGACTGTGGTGATGTTTTTAGGTTCTGTGTATCACGGTGCTGTACGTTTTATAAATTGGTTCCTGTATTCATCATTGTAAACTTTATGATTTGGTTGGACTGGCCACCATCACTAAATCTAAGTAAACAATTTATTTTGTATATTTTTGTGTACAAGGCCATGCTGAATAAACTCCCTCTAAACTGAATGTAATCTCCTGACTTAAAAGTCCAGCATTCTTCAAGTTTTTCTACCAGGGGTAAAGGGTTTTCACTGAGTTAGGGAAAAAAGCTTTCTCTTCCTTTCCTCCTTGGACTTGAAATAATTAGCAAAACATACTGCATATTAATGATGAATGGATTTGGTCCTTTCCTTGTGTGTGAGTTTTCCCTGTAGACGGTGTTTTTATTTCTATTTAAATTGTAACTGGTGTGCTTTCTTGGCCAGGTCTCTCTAGGAGATTTCAATCTCAAGGGACTTCCTGGTTAAATAAATAAAATAAAAGATGTCATATTTTTAGAGTGATTGATTGTGTGTTGATTGTGCCAAATTTAAATGGCTCCAACATCATCAGAATCTGAGATATGGCGAGCATGACAAGCCAAGGTTGAAATTAGTCCCGATTTTCGCATCTCAAAACGTTGCGTTGCTCATTTCAGCAAACATTTTTTTTTCAAAATATATTATTTGGTGTCAAATAGTAAATATATAAGATCTGAACAAAATGTAAACAAAAACATTTATCTAATTTGACACAGAATGTAATACTTGACTTTAAGCCCATATAGATACATTCACTGTTGGTTTGGCTCACCATGTGAGATTTGTTGATGAATGTCTACAATAATCTAGACTTATAATTTACTTTGGCAACAATCTATTTTAGTGTCCTTTGACATGGTAGATACACAAATAACTGACCTAAGATCACATCATACTTTCTTCAGTATGTAGTTAATTGTGCAAATTCTAAGGGTGGAACTGTCGTGCAGATTGTGTAGCCATTTTAGCATGTTAATTCTGACAAGCTCTGGTAGGACAACAGCAAATATTTTTTATTTAATTAATATTTTTATTTTTGTGAAGATGTTTGTGGTACTGTGTGTAGCTGGCACTCACTCTGTCCACAGCTAGGTGGGTCGACTGATGAGCCCATCCAGGGCAGGGGGGAGACTGGGGGGTCTGTTCATTACAGTAGTCAGCTATCCAGGAGCTCTTGGTGGTGTTGTATTGTTCTGGAAGGACCAGATAAAAACATGTTCAATGTTTCTGGCTTTTGGGACAAGTCTAACACTGCGACTGGAAACTAGCACCAACTGGTGCTGAGTTATCTGTCTGAACACTGTGTGAACAATCTGTGCATGTTTGTTTCTGCACTCACCCAACAGGACAGAAGTGATGTTGATGTCTAGTCTCTGCTTGGCTCGAATCCCCATCTTGAGACGCGGAGGGTGGAGACGGCCAGCAGCCTGCTGCTGCCAGGACAAGAAGCAAGGCCAGGGCTCGATGAAGGGCTCCCAGCCTGGTACACACATGATAAAGATTACCACCCTGTGGCTTTAAACTGAGATATGTTTTGTCATTCATAAACAGCAACATCCCATCTGTTGATCCAGTTTGCTTAGAGGTCTAATCAATTTGTAGATAAAATCATCTCACTTGCTCTGCACTTTGGTGTAGAACACACCGATAACAGAGCTGCCTCCAAAACTCAATGATTCGACTCATCAGTGGAGAAGAGCCCGAGTCAATTCACATTATGTCAGTGGAAACTGCACTGTACATCCATTTTACACAGAGCGACAGCATGGTAGGCTGTAAACTTTACAAACTCAGTCTCAAAATGACCACAAACCACAAAACTAACTGTAATGGAAGTGGAGAAGAGATAGTTAGATAGAGATAGTTAGGTAGGGCAGCGTGACACTGGACAGCGGGGCAGCGGCATTTGAACCAGATGGGGGTTCAACCTCCTCTACTGCGGAGAAACGCTCCGTGGTGGGCTGAGATTTTATACTATGAGCAGGACACACACTTTCCCTGACTGTGTGGAAATCTGATGATTTCAAGTATAATTACCTGACAGCTCTCTGTTATAGTAGTCTCCAGACAGAGTGAAACTGGCGTTGCCTTCCTGGGTGGAACCAATGCGCTGCAGCACATAAAGCCCTGCAATAACAAACAGTGTGCAGATCTCAAGTTAAGATACAAGATGTTCATCCTCAACATCCTGGATGTGTAATTATTTACTCATTAAATAATAATTATTATTAAAGATGCAAGCAGCGTTGGGCGGGACCTCACACTCCACGCAGCTCGGGGTGTGCTGCGGCTGTGTCACGTGCCGTCGTAACATGTGCGGACCACAACAGGAAAATTTCACTTCAATCAGATCAAAATTGCCACGCAGCGCTTATTTCCTGTTGGCAGTAGGTGGTGCTATCATTGTATCTGAATATTGTCATGTAGATGTGTTCAGGGCAGGACTTTGAGTTATGGGCTTTCTGGGGGGCGTGGCTAAGACATTTTGCTTATTGTTAAGATTCACACGATGTCATCGTCGTCAGGAGTTCTGACAGGATTTTAGCTGGATCTGGTCAATCTGCTGGAAGATATACAGTAAAGTATAAAAATTATCTATCACTATTACTGAATATTGTCATGTAGATGTGTTCAGGTCGGGACTCTTATCAAACGTGAAGTTTCATTGAGATTGGACCATGTACACTGAAGTTATGGGGACATGTACACAGGGTGGGACTGTTACAGAATATGTGAATTTTAGTGGAGATTAGACATTGTACACTGAAGTTATGAGTACCATCTATTTCATGGCGAATCGTCGAAATTCAATGCAACACCATGGGCACGCTGTTCAAGGTACAGTCACAAATAGCACAACTTTTAATCAGCAACATTTTTTAACTGTACTGACCAATTTTGATGTTGGTCCGATAAATTGCCTGGGAGGAGTTTGTTCATATACAAGGCAAAAAATTGCAGAAAATGGCTGAAAAATTCAAAATGGCCAACTTTGACAGCACGCCACAGACACACCCTTCAACGTACAGTCACAAATAGCACAACTTTTAATCAGCAACATAGTTTGACTGTACTGACCAATTTTGAAGCATATCCGATGAATTCCCTAGGAGGAGGAGTTCAAATACAAGGCGAAAAATTCACCGAAAATGACCACAGAATTCAAAATGGCCAACTTTGACGGCACGCCATGGACACGCCCTTCAACGTACGTGCACAAATAGCACAACTGTACAGACCGATTTTGAAGCACATCCGATGAATTCCCTAGGACCGCGGTTCTCAAAGTGTGGGGCACGCCCCACTGGTGGGGAATAGAGACGTGACAGGTGGGGCGCGCCAAACGGGAGGAAATTTCCTTTTTATGGCTGCGTTTCATTAGTAGTTCCACTTCCCCTCGTTCACTTACCCTCAGTCCTTGGTATGACGTAACAGCATACGTCGCATGGAGGCCACTTGGAGCGCGGAGGGAAAGTGGGCGGGGGAGGAGCGGGGGATTTAAATGATATGCACTTGGCCTTGGAGTCTACTCATTGGCAGCTGTCGGCGTTATATGACGTAAACTGCAATGCATTGTGGGTGATATCCACCTCGGAGTGACCATCGTTGTTCACTCGCTCCCTCAGCCTCTGAGGGTCCATCTCACCAAGTTCACTAAAGTTTTCCAGACAATTGGAACGACACTTATGATGGTGGCGGGGATTCCCCCGAGGGCAAGTGAACAAGGACATGTTGAACGAGGGCATGTTAAACGACTAATGAAACGCCGTCTATGCCTTTATATCTTTATCCAGACACCCCAACTGTCCCGGAAGTTCCGGGAGTCTCCCGCATATTGATAGCGGCTCCTTGACGCCCGCAAATGAGATCCAATCTCCCGGAATCTGGACTAGAGAGTGAGTGTGTGTGTGTGTTGTGTGTTTGTGTGACTATAAATGCAGCGCGTGTGAGAGCAAACCGTCCTTATAGCTGTGTGTAGGGCTGGGTGATATGGCTTAAAAATAAAATCTCCGATTTTTTCACACCAAACCCGATTTACGATTTTAATCGATTTTAGTGTAGACTGTTTTTTAGCGGGTGTTTGTGGGCTGCAGTCCTGTATATCTCGCAGAGAGCAACATGTCTCCCACTCGCCGTACTGCTACCTTTGGTTGCAACAGCTTTCAAACAAACTTTGCAGTGGGTCGTGGTTTGTTCGCTGTCGGACGCCACAAAACCAAACCAGTTCCAAACAACCGACGACACTGTGCCTTTTTTGGGGACGAACTCATCATGGCTTGCTGCCATGTTGTGTTTACCTGTGGAGAGGCGGGGGGAGGGGTCAGCGCACTCTGACCTACGGGAGCCCAAAGGGAGTGCCGGTGTTGTGGAAGTTCAAGAGAAAAGCGATTTTAACTAAAAATAAATCGTGTTTAACTACGAATTCGAATTTATCGATGAAATCGATTTATCGCCCAGCCCTAGCTGTGTGTTGCCGCTTATTAGACCGATCACCCCCGGGGGCGACACCAAGTGTAACAGGAATGTTGGGGCGATGGGGGCAGGAGTGGCTTGAAAATTCCCCCCTTGTCCGGAGTGGGGAAATGACCAAAAAACTTTGAGAATCACTGCCCTAGGAGGAGTTCGTTCAAAAACAACGCGAAAAGTTCGCCGAAAGTGAAAATCAAAATCAAAATGGCCGACAGGGGGTTAAAAACACAGTCAAACGCGCTAAAAATAATAATAGGTAAGAATAATAAGAAACATAGCAAATACAATAGGGACCTCCAGCGGTCGCTTGCTCGGTCCCTAATAATAATAATAATTCCTTGAATTACAATAGGTCCTTGCACTGTTGGTCAGTGCTCGGTCCCTAATAATAAATAATTCCTAGTGAAACAAGAGGGTCCTTACACTTTTGTCAGTGCTCGGTCCCTAATAATAATAATATTTGAAGCTGCAAGCAGCGTTGGGCAGGACCTCGCACTCCACGCAACTCGGGGAGTGCTGCGGACCACAACAAATCTCACGTATATTAGCTCAAAATAGCCACGCAGCGCTTACTTCCTGTTGCCAGTAGGTGGCGCTATCACTATGTCTGAATGTTGTCATGTGTTCAAGGCGAGAGTGTTATCAAACACAAAACTTCATGTGTTATCAAACACATGAAGTTTCATTGAGATTGGACCACGTACGCTGAAGTTATGAGGACGTGTTCAGGGTAAAACTGTTTCAGAATATATAAAGTTTATTGGAGACTGGACATTGCATACTGAAGTTGTGAGTACTATTTTAAGTCGAATCTGCTGAAATCGACAATTTGTCACTGGCATCCGGTTTGATGTACAGTCACAAATAGCTCAACTTTTCAATCAGTTTGTATGACCACAGAATTCAAAGTGAGAATTCAGAGTTTGTTCAAATACAAGGCAAAAAATTCACCGAAAAATGCGCACGGAATTCAAAATGGCCAACTTTGACGGCACGCCACGGACACGCCCTTCAACGTACATGCACAAATAGCACAACTTTTAATTAGCACCATTTTTTGACTGTACTCACAAATTTTGAAGCATATCCGATAAATTCCCTAGGAGGAGTTTGTTCAAATACAATGCAAAAAGTTCGCCAAAAGTGAAAATCAAAATCAAAATGGCCGACTTCCTGTGGGGTTTCGGGTATGGGTCCAAGAGGCTTTTTTGTACGTCCCGGCATGTTACACGTGCCTACCGAGTTTTGTACATACCGGTGAAACGTGGCGCCGGGGCTGCTTTTTATTTATCCCGTAGGGGGCGCTACAAACACGACAAACACGATTTTTGGTATGTGAGCTTCAGGCACCACTCTACACGTGCCCTGTGAATTTCATATTCATAACTATTACGGTCTCCGCACAGTGATTTATCATGCCAAAAGAGCGCCACCTAGTGGCGTATTTTTTTTGTCCTTTTTAGTGAGCCTCAGAGAGCCATGGGCAATCATCGTACAAAGTTTCATTTTAATCACACGTGCCGTTGCAGAGATATAAACTTCTTCATTTTAAAGAGCACCACCTTGTGGTAATGACCTGAAATTGTGCACGATGCCTAAGAAACACATCAGTAACTATGGACCCAAGTTTGGTGACAGTTGGACAGAGCAATGTGGATAAATAGTCCACTTCCTTTTTTGACGAAAAATCCACAGGAAGTGTTAATTTTATAACGTGCTTATTTTTTATAATATTAAAATTCTTTGAATTACTTTTCTATGAGAACGGTCCCAACATGCTACGTGAAAAATGTTGTGCAAATCAGACAAAGTGCATGGGAGGAACACGGAAAAGTAGTTTATGGACATTTTGCGCTCTAGAAAAAAAAAATTCTAGGCGTAAGTTGGCGGGGCTTACATGGGGAGAATCAGCTCTATTCACCAACGTGTGGATACAAGGTTTTTGAATGTGCGACAAACTATGCAGAAGTTATTAGCCTAAACACATTTTTTATGATAGTAACGCCACCTAGTGGCCAGCCTGAAAGCGACGCATAGAATATCCCCATTTTCACCAGGCATGACAACTTTGCCAAATAAAATTGAGTGTTCGTATATGTTCAGGGGGGCAAAAATGCAGTCAAAGTGGGCTAAAAATAACAGGTAAGAAGGAGAAATCGAGCAAAAACAATAGGGACCTCCAGCGGTCGCTGGATTACAATAGGGCCTTGCACTTGTCAGTGCTCGGTCCCTAATAATAGGTAAGAAACATAGCAAATACAATAGGGACCTCCGCTCGCAAAACAAGAGAGTTGCTGGTCTGCGGCTGCCTCGATCCCAAATAGCTCTCTCTCTCTCTCTCTCTCTCTCTCTCTCTAATTATGGGAGTGGCTGCCGTCACAGGCAGCTGTTTTCAGCAACCAGACTTCATTCAGCTCACCTCAGCTCCACCTCTTTGCACATTTTTTCCCCCCTTAGCCGGGACTTACCTACCTATGGGTGACGTCACAGAATACGTACATTTTTAATTATACAGTCTATGGTCGATCCACAGGATTAACATGTTAAAACATGAAAGTGGCTTTGAAGAGAACATAGATACACTTAAACTGATATTAATTTTTGTAGGTGTCTAAAATAGGCTTAGCTTCTGTGCTGGTACTACTGTCTGCTTCTCCAAACTGGGGGCTACTGTAGGTACTACACTGACTGTGTAAAAGTACTTCATACAACCCCACTTCAATAAATCTGAACTAACAATTTGATGTCTAATACTTGAGTTTTTACTCCACTGAAATCCAATAAGTTTTGATGTTTGACGAAAAGCAGGGAGAGAAAGACAGAGAAGGATAAGACAATGGCAGGAAGAATTCAAACTGCGGTTATAGGCTATGTATCTTAACTACCTGAGGTTTATATAAGCTAACTTGCTGAAGGATAAGCACAACAGTAATAACAGTCTAATTCAGTGAGCTCTAATTTAACTCTGCCTAATCTTTCATCATAATCACAATAAGAAAAAGTAATCCCCAATCTTAATCATATCTTTGACAATGCAGATGGATCTTATGTAAATGAGACTTACTGGAGAAGGTGAGCTCAGCCAGTGGAATGTCACAGTCCAGACAGTCATCGATAAAACAGATGCAGACACTCTCAGCCTTCACCTCCACCCCAGACAGTGGAGCTGAGTGGCTGCTGGAGTTGGAGTCAGCTCTGGCTCTGGGATGACCTGCCATGTTCTCAGCATTCTCCAGAAGCCACGTGGCAGCCTGGTCCAGCTGGCCTGATGGACGTATTATTATTATACTATTAACAGGTATGGATAACAGTGTTAAAGGTCTCACTCACCTTTACAGTTGATCAGGGCTCTTTTGCAGTCCTCTTTCCTGAAGCCAAGGTCTTGTAAATGGGTCAGCTGGCTCGCTGGGGAGACCAAACACAACCTTGTTAATACCTTTCTGGGAGTAATAATACCCAGAAAAGTATATTTAGCTAAACAGTAGTAATAGTGGACACTGAAAAAAAATGTGCCAAAAACCCTGGACCTGTATTCCCTGTATTATTTTGGGGAATGGAAAAGCAGTTAAAGCTACTGTAGGTTATAATTAAAAAAAAATAATAAAATAACTTTTTGTCATATTTTAGTAGATTTTTCTTTATTACTGTTGCAGCTTTAAACCATAGAAGATTAAAGACAACTCTATTCGCTGGTGCCTACATACCTATAAGGGCCTCAGTCTTCTGCCTGAAGATGTCTTTGGGTGTAGCAGGGGGATCCGTGTGGGGTGCAGTGGTGGTGTCAGAGTCAGAGGGCAGTGGAGTGCTGGCAGTAGGGATGGACTTGGCGATGGCCAAGAAGAGCTGAATGTCATTGTAGGACAGACGGATGTCCAGAGCAGGAAACTGAATCTGCCAGAGAATCACAGGCACAATTAAAAGGCCAATCCAGTGTACATGTCAAAGTCACTTCATTAGTAAACACAGTTGTGTAATGTCTTCTTTTGTTCTATTTTGTCAAGTTTGAGTAAAATCACTTGGGTGTGTCAGTGTGGTTTTAGAAACTACGCACTTAGCCTGTGTTACAAAATAGAGGTGTAGAGATATGGGCAGAAAGAGTCTGATAAAATAGACTGAACAAAATTATAAACGCAACACTTTTGTTTTTGCCCCCATTCATCATGAGCTGAACTCAAGGATCTAAGACTTGCTTGTGTCTTGCTTGTGTATGGTGCCAGCAACTCATACAGTGGTTTGTACAGATAAATAAATAAATATTATCAGGTTCTCAATGGTATTTCAATTCAGGGGGGGTGTAAAAAAATTTCTGTCCCCTGGGGGGGTATGACAGAAAATAATTGAGTCAGTACAGTTAAAAAACATTGCTGATCAAAAGTTGTGGTATTTGTGACTATACGTCGAACCCATGACGATGTGTCGAATTCCGCCGATTGGCCATAAAACAGATAATACTCCAATAAACTTCACATATTGTGTAACAGTCCCACCCTGAACACGTCCTCACAACTTCAGTGTACATGGTCCAATCTCAATGAAACTTCACACGTTTGATAAGAGTCTCGCCCTTAACACGTCTACATGACAATATTCAGATATAGTGAGAGCGCCACCTACTGGCAACAGGAAGTCTCCTGAGGCAGCGGAGGCTCTGAGGGACTGCTTTGAATGTACTGACTGGAGCGTCCTGCAGGAAGCACATGGTGAGGACATCGAGGGGGTCACGCACTGCACTATTGACTACCTGAACTTCTGTATGGACATTGTGGTCCACATCAGAACTGTACGTTGCTTCCCCAACAACAAGCCCTGGATCACCAGTAATGTCAAGGACATCCTGAACAGGAAGAGGAGGGCATTCAAGGGGGAAGGTACAGGGGGAACTCGAGGTCCACCTGAGAGAGGCGAAGGAGGACTACAGAAGGAAGGTAGAACAGAAGCTACAGCATAATAACATGAGGGAGGTCTGGGATGGCATGAACACCATCACAGGCTGCAAGAAGAAGGGCAACATCACAGGAGAGGGGGATGCTGGAAGAGCAAACCAGCTAAACCTGTTTTTTTAACAGGTTTGATACTCCAGCTCCCACAACCAGCAACAGCCCACTTCACACCCCCACCATGTCCATCACCTCCCCCAATTCTACCACCTCAGACTGCAGACCACCCCCAAACTCCACACCTATGGACAGTTCAACCGCCCTCCCCACCACCATCACCAAGGATCACGTGAGCAGAGAGCTGAGGAGGCTTAGTCCAAGGAAAGCAGCGGGTCCGGACAGAGTAATTCCAAGGATGCTTAAAGGCTGTTCTGCTGAACTGGGGGAGCCACTCCAGCATGTCTTCAACCTGAGCCTACAGCTGGGGAGGGTCCCAGTGCTCTGGAAGACTTCATGTCTCATCACGGTTCCTAAGAAAAAACACCCCAGGGAGCCGGGTGACTTCAGACCAGTAGCATTGACGTCACACATTATGAAGACCTTTGAACGGCTGCTGCTCCATGTCCTTAGACCCCAGGTCCACCACGCACAAGATCCACAGCAGTTTGGATACCAGGAGAAGGTGGGCGTGGAGGATGCCATCCTCTGTCTGCTCCATAGCGCCCACTCTCATCTGGACAAGAAGAGCAGCGCTGTGAGAATCGCATTTTTTTATTTCTCCAGCGCCTTCAACACCATCCGGCCGCTCCTGCTGAGAGACAAGCTGGCAGAGATGAGGGTGGACCCACTCCTGGTGACATGGATTACAGACTACCTCACGGAGAGACCACAGAACGTCAGACTGAAGGGCTTCACGTCAGACACTGTGGTCAGAAGCACCGGAGCACATCAGGGGACTGTGCTTTCTCCCATCCTTTTCACTGTGTACACATACGACTTCCAGTATAACTCTGGGCTCTGCCACATGCAGAAATACTCGGAGGATACTGCGATAGTTGGCTGTATCAAGGATGGACGGGAGGGGGAGTACAGGAGCCTGGTCGAGGACTTCAAAAGGTGGTGTAGGTCCAACCATCTGCAGCTGAACACCTCAAAAACCAAGGAGATGGTGGTGGACTTCACACAACCACATCTCCAACCCGTGTCCATCGAGGGGGTCGATGTGGAGGTGGTCAGGACCTATAAGCAGCTGCAGCTGGATGACAGGCTGGACTGGACAGCAAATATGGACACTTTAGACAGGAAAGGGCAGAGCTATCTGTATTTCCTGAGAAGGCTGGGGTCCTTCAACATCTGCAAAAAACTACTGCAGATGTTTTACCAGTCTGTGGTGGCCAGCGTGCTCTTTTATGCTGTGGTTTGCTGGGGGGAAGCAGCAAGAGGAGAGACGCCGGTCGACTGGACAGACTGGTGAGTAGAGCTGGCTCAGTGGTGGGCACAGAGCTGGACTCTCTGATGACAGTGGCAGAAAGAAGGACCCTGGACAAACTGCTCTCCATACTGGACAACGCCCACCACCCTCTGCACAACGCCTTCACCAGGCAGAGGAGTGTGTTCTGTGGCAGACTGCTGTCTCAGTCGAGCTCCACCAACAGACTCAAAAACTCTTTCGTCCCCCTGGCCATCACACTGTACAACAGCTCTCAGTAAAGGCAGGGAGGACAATAGACAACCGACAATGGACAATTTCTACCATTATTTGCACATCCATTTGCACTGTTGACTGTTTGCACTGTTTACTGTAAACACTACTGTTAATTTTATATGCTACTGTTAATTTTTTTTAAATATTATATACATATAGACTTTCTATTTTATTTTATCTTTTATTTTATTTTTAATTCTATTATTAAGGTTAGGGTTTTTAATTTTAGTTTAATTTATGTTTTGTATTTTGTATGCTACACGATACTTGAATTTCCCTCGGGATAAATAAATGATCTATCTATCTATCTAATTTTGTAGGTGTTTCCATGACTGGAAATCTATTCTCAAAATGTTGAGTTTCAGTACCCAATCCTACACACAGGCAGAATGTTGGGCTTAAGAACAGGAGGAACACTTTGTACCTCCAGTAGCGGTGGGATGTCCTCCACATTGAAGGCATCCAGTAGTCCTGAGCTGCTCTGGTATGTGGGGCTCCCACACAGCTCCACCTGAACATTGACTGGGTCGATGATGGACAGTGCTGTCTCCTGCTCACTGCCTAACCGACAGGAGAACACCTGGGAATGACAACATACAGATGAATCAAAGTTAAGAAATTTACAATCTGGATATTGTGGTAGTAGCTAATAGTACTAGGACATCACAATATGGTCAAGTGCAAAATCCAAATTGCAGGAGCTTTTGATAAAAGTAAAATTGTACTGTAATGAAGTACTGCAGCTCTGAAGAGATGCCCTGGCCAATGAATCTTGTACTCCAGATGTAAGAAAACACATTTGTCAAACTGTTCAGTTCAACTTTGAACTTGAAACTTGCAGGTGTATTTAGAGTTGTTATGAGTGATGGCAGGTATGATAGTATTTGCAATGGCAGTACAAATTATAAGTAGCAGTAGAGCAATAATAGTAGCAGCAGCAGTATTTAGTTATTTCATAATATTATTAATATATTAGTCTCTTTGAGATTGGGATTCTTTGTTCAAAGAACGTTAGCAGTGGTTATACTGGTAGTCTCAGTTGTAATGTTTGAGCATCAAATGGCGCTCTGACAGTTGGAGATGTCACCTCTATTCCTGCCAGGCTGCCAGAGAAGGGTCTGTCCAGCAGACGGGGTTTGTAGGTGAGAACAGTGGTGCCTTTTAGAATGATAGCATTGGTATCCAGACACGACGAGTCCTCCACAACCACAAACTCTGTGCCTGAGGACCAAATAACAATAGGATATTTTAGAAGACAAATATGATAAAATACACAGGCCAGGTCATGTAGGAGCTTATATAAAAAAAAACAGTGAAAAGTTAGAGCTACATTTTTTATATTTAATAAAAAACGTTCAGGGGTTACTGTTATTGTCTCAATGATGGATCATTCTTCCCTGACCTGTGACGTTGATCTTGACTTCCAGGCTGCGGTCCTCGGTGACCGGCACCGTGGATCTCTTGGTGACAACACCGCTCTTGACTGTCTTTGGCATGACAGCCCCAGTGGTGCTGGTGGTAGCGTTGCCCGAGTCAGTGCTGGTGTTACTGGGCCAGCGTCGGCGAGGTTCAGAACCGGCTGCAGCCTTCTCCACTGGCACCCGCAGGAAGTCTTGCACCAGCTGAAGCCAGTCAAAGATGAGAAAAACTCTCAGGTTGTTGAGGACCACTGTGAAGCAGGAGGAGTCACGTGTGGATCTGCAAGAAAGTGCAATGTAACCAACTATCCAACACTACTAAAATCTCTATTTCTACTTATGTTTAGAAATGTGCAATGTCCTTATGATACCTGTAGTGCAGTTCCAGCTGCAGTGATGCCCGGTTAGTGCCTGTTTTGGAGGGCTGGAGGATGCAGTCAAAGACATTGGGCCTTGCGCCACCAGCTCCACCAGCGCTATCACTCGGCCAGGTGTATCGAGTGTCATATGCCAGCAGGGAGTGAGACACTAAATTGACAGACTTGGATCCATTGGAGAGACTCTCAAATAGCAGCTTGGATTTCATGAAGTCAAATCTTTGTAAAAGAAATAGAAACATAATATTAAAATGGCATTATTCTAGATAAATGTCTATTTTACAACTCTCAACTAGAACATAACATATTGAACAGATTTGACATCTGCATTAGATTTTCAATGTCAAGTTAGATCAGTTTATAGCTGTGGCTGTATGCCTTTCCACTGTGTGCCATGGTTCTGGCATTATGACCTCATGAATTTGTTGTTGGGTGAGGCTTCAATATAATTTGCATTATTTCTGTGTCCTTATTGATTATATCTGCATATACAAATGCCTATGCTATGCTGGCATCTGAACATTTGTGAGAAAGGTAAATTATGGTCGTTTCTATCAATTATTTGTGGGGCCTATGTATACCTATTTATAGATTTTTATTTTTAATAAAATTTGTATTACATTTCCTGATATAAACACAGACAACAAACAACAAAACAACATGGCCACAAAAAACAAACCTCCGACTACTCGTTATGTGATATACACAGTACAATACACTTAGAGAAAATCGTCTCCCTACCTTAATAAACTGTGAGAGTATAACTGGGAAGACATGGGATCTGAGTATATGTACATACACACACATTTACACACAGACATAAGGAAACGCTCAGACCCATTAAAATTGACAGCGATGCAGCAAATACATATCTGGAAAGAAAGAAGAGTAATAAAGAAAATAATCATATTAATTTGAGAGAAAATGCTATGTTTTTAATAGAAAAAAAATAATAATAATAATCAGAAGTAAATTAATGTCCAACCTTACGACCCAAAAACATCAGTTAGCCAGTTTTCCTCATTGCCATCTATCATCCCTTTTAATACAATAGTTGTCAGTCTTTTACCAGCATATTTAAAGAAAGGGGTCCAAACCTTAAAAAACTCATCCACCCTACATTTGAATTTGTATGTTAGATATTCCATTAGTAGTAAGTCAAATATCACTTTGTGCCAGCCCCCAATTGTAGGTGGTGCATTATCAACCCATCTGAGCAATATATTTTTCCGGGCAGCAAATGAGAGAATACTAAGCAGCCTTCTTTGATGAGACCCTTTAATATGAGGACAGGGCAAGCCAAAAAGCAGAACCTGAGGATCAGCATCCAGCTGGACATTAAAAATCAAATTAAGTTTACTAACAATTTTACCCCAGTACTCCTCAATATGGATACATGTCTACATACAGTGCCTATAGTTTCCCACCTCTACTTGACATTTGGAACACTTTTCAGACAAACTTGAGTTCATCCTGTGTCTGAGCTGTGGTGTGATCTGCAAGCGATGCAATATTCTAAACTGAGTCTCTGGTTCTGTTACATATGGAGATCTCTCTAGCTAACCACCATATTTCTAGCCATGTTGATTCATCTATTGTAAGATTGAAATCAGCATTCCATTTGCATCGAAGATACTCTAAGTTCATATTGCTAGCAGAGTTGAGCTCAGCATATCCCTGACCGAGAACTGCTTTCTTGCCTCTACCAAGAAGTAAATATTCCATCTGTGAAGTCTGACAGTCATACCTGCTTTGATTCTGAATGAAGCTGCGAATTTGCAGATATCTGAAGAAGTGGTTTCTCGGGAGACCATATTTCTGTCGGATTTGTTCAAATGTAAGCATCACTCCTTTATCAAATAAATGTCCCAGAGTTAAAATCCCCATCAGTTCGGTGGTGGGGACGGAGCTGGACAGTGTGGAGGCTGTGACTGAAAAGAGGATGAGAGGGAAGCTGAAAGCCATCATCGACAACCCCTCTCATCCTCTCTACACTGAGCTTAGGCAGCTCAGGAGCACTTTCAGCCACAGACTGACCCAGCCCCGAGCCTCAAAGTGGTTCTGGAGGCTCGTTTGTTCCGTTTGCCATCAGACTCCACAACGCCACAGCGCCCAGTACCTCCAACCCCAGCAGACAAAGACTGGTTTAAAAGTCCTTCCTACAACGCACAAACCTTTTGCACTATTTATATTTAATTTCCACTTGCTCAGTTTAGTTTTAGTTTTTTAGTTTTAGTCAAGTTTAATTTTCTGCTCATATTTTGCACTCCATGTCCTTTTTGAACAATGCATAGTGTATATAGTTTCATTTATAGCTTCATATCTTCTATTATATTTTGTATTTTGTAATATTTTTATTTGTGATATTCTTTGTTCTCTGTTTTGCATTACTTTGCCCTATTGCTGCTGTGTCAACCTGAATTTCTCCTAAGGGGGATAAATAAAGGAATATCTTATCTTATCTTATCTTATCTTATCTTCTCCCACATCTTAAATCCTGTGTCTGAGCAGGCTGGGGCAATATCCATGTTACCGTATATCGGAGCTAGCGAGGACAATGTTTTAGAACGATCCTCTAACTTCCTTATTGCTTGCAAAGCTTGCAGACCTGTTGTAATTAAGATGTTATTGTCCCCAACATTCCAAGGCACATAAAAGACTAAAAGACTACCTGTATTCACAGATAATGGCCTCTAGCCACACCGATTCTGGGTCATTATTAATCGACTCAGCTATGTATCTAAGCTGTGCAGCCAACTGATAGAGCCTAATATTTGGGACGGCTAAGCCTCCCTGCTCTACAGACATTTACAACTTAGCCATTTTTAGTCGTGGTTTCTTTCTGTTCCAAATAAATGAACTGATCCAGCCATTAACCATTCTAATTGTTTTATTATTAAATAAAATAGGGAACATTTGAAAGTGATAAAGAAGTCTCGGCAATTCTACCCATCATTGACAGTGGAAGAGATATCCAAGTCATCACATATATGCTTTAAAAGAGGTTCAAAGTTGGCCTTTCTACATTGCCTCTAATGATGGGGTGATGGAAATCCCAAGATAAGTAAAGCCTGTGGGTGACCATTTAAATGGACAAGAGATGGGCCGATAAGAGTTGCCTAGCAGAATGACTTCAGACTTTATTTTATACCCTGAAAATTTACTAAATTGATTTATTACTTTCAAAACAGATGGTATATATTTAGTTGGATAAGTTATAAAAAGCAATATATCATCAGCATATAAGGCTATTTTATGATCTTTCCCACCAACTGAAATTCCTGTGATATCTGGGCAATCGAGACCCTTGAAGCTATAAGGAATACCTTATAGCTTCTGCAAGAGGCTCGATCGCTATAGCAAACAACAATGGGGATAAAGGGCACCCCTGCATGGTTCCCCTGCCCAAAGGAAAGTAGGATGAAAGCTGACCATTGATCCGAACAGCAGCCAGTGGTCTGTTATATAACAACCTAACCCAGTTGTTGAAAGCATCTCCAAATCCAAACGTATTTAAGGTGGAAAAAAGAAAGTGCCATTCAACTCTGTCAAAGGCTTTTTCGGCATCTAGACTTATCACCATACTGGGCAACTTCTGCTCATGCGACAAGTGAATTACATTTAACAGCCTTCTCATGTTTTTACAGGAGTTCCGGCAAATAATGAACCCTGTCTGATCACTGTTGATAATGGAGGGTAAAACCTTCTCAAGGCACTGCGCTAGTATTTTAGATAATATTTTAAAATCAACATTTAGAAGACTAATAGGTCGATGAGAAGGACATTCATCAGCTGGTTTTCCTTTTTTAATTTCTCCCATCTAGCGGTGAAATTGTATTTTGCATTCAAACGAATAGTGCTCTCTAGTGCCTCACGTTTTCAAATGCGTATTGCAACTACGGTAGCCGTACCAAGAAGCCTACCTGTCGAGGAGAAAGCAGGCAACTTCAGCGTCCCTTTGAAAGTCTTTCTCCTTCATTAGCTCTTTCCACCTGGGAAAAGCTACCTCGATGTTTACCCTCGTTTTTTTAATTCGCCGGTCACGTTGCCTTTTTAATTCCCTTTTTTCGGCGACAAGGATTCCTTCTCCTGTGGCTCGGCATGAGTATGATCCTCCATTATTAACTAAAGTGCAGTGCAGACTTTCAAATGTGCCGGGGCAGTGATAAGCGCCTCTCACTGATCTCCTTCTCTGTTATAGCTGGTTTCAGTCACGTGTCGCTGGCTCTGAACAAAAACGTGTTGTGGAATAGCTAGACAGGTAGGCTAGTGCTTTATGTCCCTCTCGGCGATTATATTTTTTCAAAATGGTGGAACGACATGGAAGCCTCCATGGACTTGCCCGTCCAATGTATATACAGATAAGAAATTCTTTGCTTACGAGGATAAGTCAGATCATTGGCAGAGGTAATTTTACACCAATGAGGACACATTTATGAATGAAGACATTGATTTTAGCTAATACAATACTTAAAACACTACACAATGACCCTTTAAGTATAAGACTAATATTGGCCTCTGTAAGTGATCTAGGTAAAGAGCCTTTATCAAATGATTCGTTTATTATCTTACAATCTTTATACAATTCACTGCTAAGGCTGTCTGGGCCTGGAGATTTCCCTGATTGTAAGGTCTGCAATGCCTCTAAAACCTCCTGCTTTGTAATTGGTCCATTTAGCCCCCTAAAAACCTTACAAACTGTATCAGATTTACTATGTCCATTTGTGTCTTTAATGGAAGAAATTGTCTGAGAGTCAGTTGTCTTGTTCAGTCTAGTCTTGCAAGATACTATTTATAGATTTGAAAATTAGAAAAAAATCCAATTCCAAATAGTTTTTTTGTTGGGCTGTGAAAGTATATAAAAGTCCCACCTTGCTAATGAGCGTTTGTGCTCAGAGGGTTTGGGGCTGTCCAAGAGCTCCAGACTGACATCCATCATGTCCACCAGGAATGACAAGTTGGTGTAGACATCTCCACTTAGCACCGTCTGAAGAGAGATACATTACATCAGTACGTAAACAAGCACATATATAGGGGAATATCTGGAAATGAAAAAAGCCATTAGTCAATTAAATTTTAATTTCGTCATATATTTGCAGAAAAACAAAAACAACAAACTGTGTTCAGGAGCTGCGCCTTATCACCTTTTATCTTGTAACACAGGGAGTCTCTTACTGGTGCATTGTTGCATCTGCTAACTGTACTAGCTGCTGCCTCTAGCTAGTTAGCTGCCCTACTATTCGGACTGCAAGCTTGCAGTACCAGAGGAGGTTTGTTTATACTACTAGCACAGGAGCTTTGGACTGACAGGAAGAGGGGACTCAGCTGCTGGGGAGCATCATAGCCATAGTAAAACAAGCGGACAACGGAGTCAGGCTCACAGCCTCCCAGTGACCACAACATCATCCATCGGATTGTATAAGTCTGTGAGTATTTGTTTTTGGAAGTTGAAAGTTATTTATTCCATGTTTTGAACAATGAGTTTATTTCAACACAGTATAACATCACACAGGTGAATACGTGTTCAGTCTCCTTGCTGGTTGTTCCGACTCATTTAGATTCATTACCGCTTTTTCTGTTAGCATTTAACAGGAAGCTGTTAATATATATACACTGAACAAAATTATAAACGCAACACTTTTTTTTTGCCCCCATTCATCATGAGCTGTGTGATGGAACTGCTCACGAACAGATTTTGACAGATTTGTGAACAATATTTGAGAGAAATAGGCCTTTTGTATACATAGAGAAAGTCTTAGATATTTGAGTTCAGCTCATGATGAATGGGGGCAAAAACAAAAGTGTTGCGTTTATAACTTTGTTCAGTGTATATATATATATATATATATATATATATATATATATATATACTAAATTAAATATCATAAACATGCAACGACTAGTCAACTATTGGCTTAAAACAACAACTACTGGGGTACTTCCGGGTCACCGAAGGGATGGCAGCGTAGTTGGAGCGCTCTCGACCAAAGTGTAAAAAAAGTTGCCCCAAAGTCGAAGAATAAGAAGTTGTGAATTATCTTATGTAAACCCATAAAAGGGGTTAGGATGGCGTCTAAAACCAAAGGTAAAACGCCCTCTCGGAACCTCAATAAAAGTAACGAGATGCAGCAACAGGACGAAGCTAAGGCTAACGTTAGCCTTCCCATGAATAGCAACCAAGGGGATGTCGGAGAAAAATCAGCGGACCCTGATCCTCAAAGAGATACTAGAGTTCAGACAAGACAACAAAAAACAACTTGAAGATATCATAGGAGAAATAGCCAAGACTAATTTGAAGATGTATGAAGCTCAGGCGAGGATTGTGGTGAATGAGGAGAGGCTACAGAGTACGGAGGAGGCACTAGCAGAAATGCTAAAAATACAAGAGCAGCTCCAGTCGAAGTTAGCGGACCAAGAAGGGCGCTCAGGAGGGAAAACGTGAGGATATACGGAGTACCACAGGGAGCTGAAAGTGGTCCCACATCAGTGATTTCATTCGTGGAGAAGCTGCTTAGAGAGAACCTTGACATCCCAGACATGAAGAATCTACAAATAGAGAGAGCCCCCGGCTGGCGCCCAGCCCAGATCGATTCTCGTCAAATTCCTCAGTTTTAGAACTAAAGAAGAAGTGCTCTAACTTGCATGGCAAAATAAAGGCTTCACATGGAATAACTGCAAAATTAGCCTCGACCACGACTATGCACCGGTCATTCTGGCCAGACGAGGGAATACGAGGAGGCACGGAGGGTCCTGAAGGAAAACAACCTTTCAGACCCTGTTCCCAGCCTGGCTCAAAGTTTTCTACGAGGATGGCACTAAAACCTACGAGACGGTGGAGGAGGCAACGTCAGAACTAGCAGCCTGGGGATCGCCGGTGAAAGTAATTACGGAACCAAAATCGCTTCTGGAGAGGATCCAGCGGTGGTCATAGCAGCCGGCGAGAACTCGGTGCACACCTCGGAGCAGCGGAGCAAGTTCCAGGGAAAAGCTTTAAGTTTTCAGATATGAACAAACGGAGAACACAGACTGATTTAAGATTGATGAGGATCAGGTATAGGTTCATAATTATAAAGAAAATACATTAGACGAAATAATGTAAATCTTAGTGAAACGGTCGAGACATATACATATATATAAAAAGGGTTCCTTTCACGACTGCTATCAAGGCTGAGGGCCCTCTAGTCCAGTTAGGATACAGGGGTTTTCCCTCAGAGTCAGACAGGTCTATAAAGAGACTTCACTGTTGGAAGTATGGTGAAAAGTTGCCTTGTTTAATTGTAGTTCTGGTTACTGGTTTTGCTTTTTTGGTTGAGAAGGGATTACTTACTGTTTATTTTGAAGGGAAGAGTGATCATTTATTTCAGTTTAAACAAAATGCATAATGGACCTGTGAAAATAATTTCATTTAACGTTAATGGGGTTCTGAATCCAGTTAAAAGAACTAAGATTTTGTCAAAATTAAAAAGAGAGAAGGCCCAGGTAGCTGTCCTCCAAGAAACACATAGGAGTCAATCCGAACATGAAAAACTAAAAAGGTTAGGCTTCCAACATGTATTTTACTCCTCATATAAGCTGGGCCACAGGAGAGGAGTTGCCATCCTTATATCAAGTACACTTAACTATGAGCATCTTTCAGAAACCAAGGACAAAGAGGGTAGATTTATTAGCATCACAGGGAGAATAGAGGGGACTGAAATAACATATGTTTATGCCCCACCAGGAAGTGGTTATTCTATAAATTGATAATCTATACACACTAGAAACACAGAAAAGGCTTCTCTTCCTGAAGCAAAAGAATTACTAAGTAGGAGGCAAATCAGCAAAACTTTTAGCGTACAAATTACGCAAACAACAGGTTGAAAATACGATCTAAAAAATACAAAATCCCAAAACAAAACGGGTCGAAGATAAATTAGGGAAAATCCAAGAGAGCTTTAAGATATTTTACCGGGAGCTATATTCCCGACCCCAGGCATCCAATGAGAACCAAATTGACCCTTTCTTGAGCTCCCTAGAACTGCCCAGACTCACAAATTCAAATAACAACGAGTTAACTCGGCCAATCTCTATCAAAGAACTGGATTTGGCTATCTCTAAATTAAAGGTTGGTAAGTCTCCAGGTTCAGATGGTTTTACCACGGAGTGGTACAGATCTTTAAAACCACAGTTATCTCCATTACTACTTAGGACATTTAACTGGATTATGCAAAAAGGAGAAATTCCTCCCTCCTGGAGGGAGGCAGTTATCTCAGTTATTCCCAGGGAGGATAAAGACAAACAGGAATGTGGCAACTACAGGCCTATCAGTGTTCTAAATCTGGACTACAAATTATTCACTTCAATTTTAGCTCGTAGATTAGAAAACCCAACCTCATCCACCTAGACCAGACTGGATTCATCTGACACAGACAAACTTTAGACAACATAAGAAGGACCCTACACATTCTAGTACAGATAACTAAAGACAAGATTGAATCAATGATAGTGGGACTAGATGTGGAGAGGGCCTTTGATTCAGTTAGATGGTCATTTTTGTATAAAATTTTGGGAAAATTGGGATTTCAGGATAGATAGATTTATTAGAGTAATTAAGGCCCTATATGATAAGCCTACAGCGCAAATAAGGATTAATGGAGATCTTACTAATTCTTTTTACGCTGGAGGGTGGAACTAGACAGGGTTTCCCAATCTCCCCTCTCCTCTTTGCTATATTTATTGAACCCCTAGGCCAAGCAATAAGACAAAATGAAGGTATCAAAGGCATTAAGGTGGCAGGGATCGAACAGAAAGGTGCTCTATTTGCTGACGATGTCCTGGTCTATCTGGAGGTGCCTGGAAAATCATTTACATGTTTGATGACATTGCTGACTGACTTTTGGAAGGTATCAGGCTATAAACTTAACATATCTAAAACAAGTTATGATTCTAAACTTTATTGCTTCGAAACATCTTAAGGATGGATATAATGGGTGGCTGTGGCTCAGAGGCAGAGCAGGTCGTTCCTTAATCGGAAGGTTGTGGGTTCGATCCCCAGCGCCTGGTACCACATGTCGAAGTATCCTTGAGCAAGATACTGAACCCCAAATTGCTCCCGATGTTGTGCATCGGTGTGTGAGTGTGTATGAATGTTAGTTTCTGTTTGATGGAATTTGCCATCACTGAGTGAATGTGTGTGAAAGGGTGAATGTGGCACGGTCGGAAGACTAGAAAGACGCTATACAAGTACAGGTCCATTTACCACTTATAACATTAATTGGGAAGCTGAATCACTAAAATATCTAGGAATCAGTTTGACAAAAGATCCTTCAAAACTATCACAAGCAAATTATGGGCCGTTATCTTTGAAAATAAAATCAGATATGCATAGATGGAGCCTTATCCCTTTTTTGAGTTTGAGTTCAAGAATAGACGCAGTAAAAAAATCCTCCCTAGATTACTGTATATTTTCTGGACTCTCCCAGTGGAGGTGAGTGACAATCAATTCAAGGAATGGGATAAATGGATCTCCAGATTGATCTGGCAAGGAAAGAAACCAAGAATTCGGTTTAATATTTTACAACTAAGAAAAAACAGTGGAGGCATGGCTCTCCCTAGCCTAAGCAAGTACTTTTATGCCTCACAGCTAATTTCTTTGCTGTATTGGTGCAACAGGGAGTACAAGGTCAAATGGAAGGAGATGGAATTAGAAATGGCAACAAGTTATCCTCCTTATCTCGCAGCTCAATTTGTAGAGTTAAAAAACCCTTGGATAAATCTTACATTAAAAATATCGCATAAGGTGGTTAAGTCAAATGGAATTGATAATATGCTAAGACTTTTTAGATGGTATATGATTCAGATTTCACTCCACATAGGATGGATAAAAGATTTGAAACCTGGACAAGGAAAGGACTTACAGCCTCTCTCTCTTTTACACACAAGGGTACGCTACAGAGTTTCAAGTCTCTGCAGGACAAACATGGCCTAGAACACAGTGACTTTTTCAGATACCTCCAAGTATGACATTATTTTAATCAGAAGTGCAGTCTTACAGATTTATTAACATTAGAATTTGAGTTTCACAAGATCCTGAATTCAGCCTTTAAGGCAATACCAAATAAATCCATTTCGAAATTGTATATTGCTCTTTTTCTCGCTAAGAATGAAAACACCATATATATTAAAGATAAGTGGGAAAAAGAAGCAGGAATAAGTCTCCCTGAGGAAACTTGGGGGCAAGTTTGCAGCTTCCAGTGGTCCTCAACTGCCTCCACGGAGTGGAGAGAACACTGCTGGAAAAATGTTATAAGATATTTTAAGACGCCTCACCAGGAAAAATACAATAATAAGAGCTTGACAGTGGAGACAGTGTGGCTCAATGGAGGCAAATCATTTCCACATATTCTGGGACTGCCCTAAATTGAACCTATATTGGAATGCCATCCACAAAACATTAACCACGGTATTCAAATTCCCATGAACTTGGAGACTCTTTATCTGGGCCATGTTGTCTTCTTGACAGGAAGGAGTGATACAAAGCTGCTGCAGGCCCTTTTGGCGGCAAGTAAAAAATCAATCACTAGAAAATGGCTGAACCCAGTGCCTCCAACATTGAAGGATTGGTATGGAATAATTTTGGAAATGTTCTTAATGGAAAAGTTGACATATTCTTTGAGGACCCAAAAAGACCAATTTTATCAGATCTGGAATAAATTTGCTGAAATATTTAAAGAATGTATGTCATGATACTGCCTTTTCCAAATAAAATATAAATAAAAAAAAAAGTTAAGTTAAGTAGTTTACATCATAATCAAGCCTAAGTCATTATTATATCGCTAATCCTTAGTCGGCTTTTATATGTTTGCACAGTAAATTGTTCAGTTGTTGGACAGTGTACGTGTGGTTGTCTGCTTTCTCACATAGGTGCTGGGGTCCTGCAGGTTGTAGGGCCGCAGGAAATCTTCAACAGGCTCTCCCAGGTTGTTCTCCAGCAGCCCTCTGATCAGCTGGTAGTGCTCCAGGTCCAGAGAGCAGTGTACTGATGACAGGCTGCCGTGGATGGACATGTCAGGAACTGCATGGCTTAACTCCCTAACAGCATCAAAGAACAAAAGCACAAGTTTAAATAATGAGTATGCTATACTGCAGTGTTTCCTCTAGGATTTTTTTTAGCAGCGGCGGCAGGCCCGTCCGAACATGTGCTATTTAAAAAAAAAAAAAAAACACTAGCAAGCTGAAGAGACCACTGCTGGTAGACCACACCAGAAAACAAATAATAACAGTAAGGTAATACCAGTTTCTGTTGCATGTATAACTGTTGGATAAAGAGTAAGCCATATCAAACTGGTAAACCAATTGCATAATAAAGAAAGTCACATTGTCGTAATGTGTTTTCAATTCTTTCTGCTCCCTAGTGGTCAAAATGTCTTGATGCCACTTTATTCATGCTAATGAATCCAACAAATATATGTATGGTTTGTTTGAGTATTATTTCAAGTAGGGACGTCCTGATCCAAGTGTCTTTACCCTGATCCCTATCAAAGTCCTTTCATATTGTATATCTGCACATACAGAGTCTGACTTTTATTTACTTAAACATAAATATGTATCTGACACATTGAAATAACGTGCAAGCTACAAAATTTAGGATTTTATCAGAGGGCAGAGGTCAACAGTAAATAGTGTTAAATATATAATTAAAGAGGCTCACTTACAGTCATCTGAAAGTTTTCTTTATGGTTGAATGGAAGTACTACTGCTGTTGGAGGGCCAGGTTTGGCCCACACGCCACTACTTGTCGACTGTAGATTATTATGAGGTGTAGGTATAATGTTTCTATTATGCATACTCTTCAGACACAGAGAGCTGACCGTAAACAACTGACAATAGATGGACAAGTGACCGACTGACCCATAGTCCCAAGAGACATAGTCCTACATTGTAATTTTTGGCACCAATAAAACAAAAAGCAGGCCGTACTTGTCCAGGTTGCGTTCCACTTTAAGTTTGAGGCGGCAGCAGTCCTTAAGCAGGTTGTCTCCGGTGCGACGGACAAAGTATGAAGGAAAGATGAGGTCTGTGGATTCTGGAGGTTTACCACTACTGTCCCATGGCTGACAGGGCAGATGCTCTGCAGCAAATATATCCATCTCCTGCAGGTCGAGGGCAATGCAGTCCAACAGGCACACATGGTCTTCTAACGGGGAAAACACATCAGCTATTTTTAGTAGTGTTTTTAGTAGTGTACAGTGGAAAGAGAAAAGAATGGCATAAATGAGGGGACAACATGGTGTGTTTTTGTCTGTAAAATTCTGTCTTTAATTTGTTAAACATAATGGGTTTAAAGTAAACTTCTTAGCCTCATTATTGAGGTCCACCTTTTCAGGTTTCTCTCAGCTCTACCTACATACAGTAATTGCAGATGCTTACCGAAGCTTTGAGCATCATACTCCTCAGGGGTCCTCCCTGTGCCTGGGGCCTGTGGCCTGCCAAGGGTGAACCCTGTGGAGGAGGAGCTGGAGGGGGAGGCTCTAGGCCTCTCCTGCTCACTAGTCCGCCTTGCTGCACTCCGGACACGCTCCTTTTTCAAGAGAGAAGACAGAGAAGAGACATACAGTTGCACTTCAAGTCAATTTAGCAATATATTGCATACACACAAAAGCAGATTACTTTTTAAAGGGGCCAAATAAATACAACATAATTTACCGAGGGGATTAGATATGGTTTTAATAAATAATAATCTTTGTTTTACTATTGGAAATAAGACGTTACCAACATAAAAGCATTTTCAACTGTGGAGGATAGTGCTAAAACTTTGGAATCAAAGGGCTGAGGAGTGTACTTGTGCCAACGACAGTATGAGAAATGTTCCTAAGAAAACAATTCAACACATCAGTGAATTTATCTTTTCCACTGTTTGTAATAATAATCATTTTAACTACCATTTTAAGCAAAGGAATAGGATTTACTTGAACCATTATGTTGCATTTTTGAACATTTTCATCCAGTCGATCAGACACCGGGTGAAACACATTCTCAGTGACAGCAAAGTCAACAAACACTAGTATTTCAAAATCAAATTGTATCAAAACAGCACACCAACTTCTCCCAGTAAGCTCTCTGATCAGTGTATACAGTATATGACTTAAGGCAGGGATTGTTGGGCCAATTATAGCTTTGATTTGGGCGTCATGCCCAATCTAACCAAGATGCAAGTACAGGCCAGTTGGTGTTGACAGTCAAAAGATTTAATTTTATAGTGTTTTGCAGTCAGTCCCATTAAAATTATCTTAAATATGACTTGATAGAGTGGAGGTACCACATTGTGCTAGGTCCAGAAACTCATGAGAGTAGCTGAGGAGTGAGCCATCGCACGCTTTTTAATCTATGTTGAGAGTTGCACATGCGAAAAAACGGCAGTGTGTAAAGACAAAGTTTATAGCTGAAATGTGAGCACTTCAATTAGTTTAGTTGGGTGGCATTATAGGATGTGGTTCAAACTCCAAGTATGTATTGCACAGTTTGCTGCAAGTTTAAGAGCAAGGCAGATAAAATGTGGTTGTTTTTCAAAAGCACATCAAAGCTCCTGAAGAAGACAGCTGGAGTGCCAAATTGGCTTGAATGGCAGCTTTGAGTCCTTGTTTTTTGTTTACCGCTGATAAATAAGCCACTTGTGGTGACCCACAAGTAAGACTGAAGAGACATTCACCAAGAGACTGTACCTTTAAGGTAGAGGTGTTATGGGATACTAGTTCCTGGTTAACGTTGTGTGGCCGTTCTGAACTCACTCGCTGTACAGTGTGATGTACATATTGAAGTGAGTAAAGCTGATTCGACGCATCTCCGTCTCTTGTCTCCTCACTTATTGCACACCACACACTAATAAAGAAAAATTTACTTGGAGCAAGAAGTATCTGACCCACTCATCTGACAAGGCAAGTAAAAAAGAACATTTATGTTAAACTAGGGCTGCACAATCTATAGAAAAACATCATATTGCAATTATTTTGACTGATATTGTGATTGCTATATGATTCACAATTAGTGTGGGAATTATCATTTTATGATAGTAGACCATGGTATCTGCAGAACTACAGTACATCATTTTAATGCCGTTTTTCAAACATTTTACCTTTATCATCACAGAAAATTTTTGTTTCTGTAATGTACCTATTGCAGCTGTGGCAGAGAGGCAGAGCGGGTCGTTCCAATCAGAAGGTTGTTGGTTCGATCCCTGGCTCCTGGTGCCACATGTCGAAGTATCCTTGAGCAAGATACTGAACCCCGAATTGCTCCCGATGCTGTGCATCGGTGTGTGAATGTGTATGAATGAGTTAGTTTCTGTTTGATGGGCTTTGCCATCACTGAGTGAATGTGTGTGAAAGGGTGAATGTGCCATGTAGTGTAAAAGCGCTTTGAGTGGTCAGAAGACTAGAAAGGCGCTATACAAATACAGGTCCATCCATTTACCATTTACCAATTAATAATATTTCAATTCATTAGTGCAGTCACGTTGAACCCTGTGGAGGTTAACAATTGACAGATTACGATTTGCAAATTAAAAAATAATAATAAGGGGAAAGATTTTTTTTTCATTTTCGTAATTTATAAAATGTAATGACCTAATTGATATTTTTTTTTTTTTTTGCGTATGTTTTTTTTTCCCCCCCCCCCAGCATGCCTTGCCCATGGGTCAGTCACGTTGTTTTCATTGGAACAGGTAATCAGTGTTTCCTCTAGGATTGTTTTTTGCAGTGGGGGCAGGCCCATCTATTTAATTTAACTTTTTGTAGAGATTGCAAGAGTGCACTATGACTGTCAATGTAAAAAGGAGACTTACAAATGTTTATGGGGAAAGGAAAGTATAACTGAGGACTTCCTTGCAAACTGTTTTTGACAAATGTCCAATAAATGCAGCATGTTTCTGAAGTTTAAAAAAATAATAGTTTGAATAATCGTGATTTCAATTTTGACCCAAATAATCGTGATTATGATTTTTTCCATAATCGAGCAGCCCTAGTAGAGGTATCTCATCATCTCGCTCATTTACAATGCAGGTCCACTCCTTATTTCCCATTCATCCATTTCATCCTATCATTACTGAGTTGAAGGCAATACTAATAGGATAAGGCATCAGTATTATTGGTACTATTCCAGGGGCTATTCCAGTCATACACAAACATGATCAGGGAGCTTGAAAAGTTGGTGTAATCCACTCATGCAACAAATATTTAGGAAAACGCTCAGTCCATCACATAACCAGACAATCAAACCGACTGCAAAAACTGGGCAATATGTCATAACAACTAAAGTAATGTAACAGCAAATCATTTGAAACTGTATCACCAGGCGTTCCAAAATACAGGAGCATTGTGAATCTACAACTCAAACGAAATGCTCCAAAAAGTTCAAATCTGCTTTTAAGTGCAGTTAAGAGTGACATGTGATAACTGTGTCTATGTCAAAGAAATCATTGACATACACTATACTATCACCCATCTGTAGTATGTCATTCAGAGTACTGTGAATTTTGGTGTAGGATGAAAACTGAAAAGTAAAACGGATAATGTGACAACCCTTTTCCACACTAAAAAGCAAAAAGCATGCCGTTGTACCTTGTAATGGGATGGATCCTTGTATGAATTTGCATGCAGTATAAAATTCTTCACAAAAACATAAGATGCACATGAAATACCAATACAACATTTACCTCATGTTCTCCTTCCAAAACACACACATCTCTCATACAAATGACACCCTTCAGTTCTTCACACATGACTGAGCTGACCTCATTAGATTGTTGGTGAATGGACACAAACCCAAAGCCAAAGCTCAAAGCTGGCTTACTATGTATGTGAAAATGCGGTCAGGGTTGAACCAGGAAAAGTGACTCTTATTCAATAGTGGATAGTAACACATTACAGATTATAGGTAAATTACCAGTCCAGAGACTATTACAGACTTTGACTAGGTTTAGTTATGGAACCATGCTTTACATTCTTCAGTAAACCATCAGGCAGTGCTGTATTCATTGAGCATTTCAGATCAGATTCAAATGATAAGGTCAATTACTAAAAATAAGATGATGAGAAATCATCAGTAGAGGGTTTCCATTGCTTTTTCAGGGAGCCTGATGTTGGTTGTATCAAAAACCATGTAGCATTTTTAAAACATGGGTAATACCATTAAATGCATAAATGAATACAGTAAAATTAGACAAAAGAAGAAGAGGGAGCATTGCATGAACGGGAGGATGAACAGGAAGCGTGACTCACCAGAGAAGGAAAAAAGGCATGTGCCATGGTGAGTTTCTCTACCTTGTCTTTGAGGGAAAAAGTCCCATGAGTCCCAGCTGTTAGGAAGCAGTTCTGCACCTTCAGCTGGCCGAGGTTGGCCACGATGACCCTTGGTGACCGTGAGCTCTCCGGGATGAGAATAACTGGGGCACCGGCCTCAATATCCAACAGAACCCTGGACGCTCGCTGAGGATGATCCCGTACCTGCAGGAAGAGGCAGGAGAAAGACAGCAGAGAGGAGAAGGACAGGGTGTGGAGGAGGGGAGGGGAGGGGAATAAAATTTCAATTTACAAGCCACTACACCTTAATGTGACGTCACATCAGAATTAGTTTTTAAGACAGGAAAGTAAGTAAGTAAGTAGAGCTTTATTTATATAGCACCTTTTTGACACAGAGATCCAAAGTGCTTTACAAACAACAAATATACATATGGGTATAACCATACCCAATCAAACATACATAGGGAGCATGTAAATACAAACATAAGGAAGATAAAACAAGAGGGAAGGATAAATTAAAAGAGACGACAGATGAGAAAACAAACAAGGAGATCTATAAAAAGGTTTGCCTGTAGAGGTGGGTTTTGAGGAGCCGCTTAAAACAGTCCACAGATTCAGTGAATCTGAGTGATTGGGGAAGACTATTTCACAATGTTGGGGCTAAAACAGCAAAGGCATGGTCACCTTTAGTTTTGCAGTTAGAGCGGGGAATGGATAAAAGGCCTAGATTTGAGGAGCGAGTGGAATGAGGAACAAGGAGATCTGAAATGTAACTGGGGGCAAGGTCATAAAGTGTCTTATATGTCATCAGTAAGATCTTATGGTTCATTCTGAATTTTACAGGAAGCCAATGAAGGGATGCGAAAACAGGAGTAATGTGGGACCGACGGCTGGTTCTGGTTAAAAGTCTGGCGGCTGCATTTTGTACTAACTGTAAACGAGTTAACAAAGCTTGACTGAGGCACGTGTAGAGGGAGTTACAGTAATCTAGACGGGAGAAAATGAAGCTGTGAATTAATACATTAGTTCAAGATCACTGGAGGACAAAAAACGTTTGATTTTTGCTATGTTTCGTAGCTGCAGGAAACAGGACTGGACAAGTTTTGTAACATGAAGGTCAAATGTCATATACTGGTCAAAGATGTTACCCAGATTCTTAGCAGTGGGTTTGATATTTGTGCACAGTGGTCCAATAAACTGATCAATTGCATTGAGTTAGTCGACAAACTTTTCATTAGTCAGACAGATCCGATAAATTGAACATGTGCAAATTAGTTAGTTTTCGGGCATGTTTAGCCTCCCAAAAAGTGTTCAAATGTTGACACAAAAGCTGATTTTCACCGCATCACTATGGCAACATGGTTCTACGCAAATTCTTAAGATTCATAAAATGTCATCGTCATTGTCCTAAGGAACTTCTGACAGAACTTCAGCTGGATATGGTCAATCTGCTGGAAGATATACATAAAAGTATAAAAATGACATTTCATTTAACCACTAGGTGGCGCTCTCATTGGACGAGTTATAACTCAAGTTATAGCAACTTTGTGTGTTCTGGCGGTACATCCAAATTTGACGCCACGAACACGCCCTTTCTATCTGAAGTCAATCTGATAAATTCCCTAGGAGGAGTTCGTTCAAATACAACGTGTGCAAATCACCAGTCATGGCCACTAAATCCAAGATGGCCGACTTCCTGTTTCCTGTTTGGGATATGGCGCCCACTGGCTTTTTTGTGCGTCTGCATAAGATCTACGCGTGTGCCGATTGTAATGCATATCGGTGAAAGGGGTCCCGGGTGGTACAGATTATGGGCCCCTGAGGGGCCATTTTGCCATGCTCATAGTGGAAAATACAAAATCTTTCGCCACGACTGACATGTGCCCTGCGTTGCATGAGTTTTCAAGCACGGGAAAGCCTCCAAATATGCATTCGTTTGCGAGGAAAAATAAAAATAATTCCTTCAATTACAATAATAATTAAATTAATATCATCATCCTGTTGTACCCCTTACAAAGTAATTGGCAAAAATAAAAACGACAAAAACTGACAACAGCCCTAGACGCTATCATGGTTAAGGGCACCAGGAGGCAGTACTCACAGCCTGGCCCTCCATTGCAGCCCTCTGCCTTCCAAGTACATCTTGTAGCTGGGTGAAATGTTGGATGAAGGCCACCACCTCTGCCTGGAAGCGTTGGGTGTGGACATACTGCACTGAGGCCATCTGCAAGGAAACCTTGATGTCACATTCCCGCTTCAGGTAAGGATCGGGCTGGCCGTACCTGAATGGACCACAATACAAAGCTGATAAAAAAAATACCCATTCTTCCAAGTTCTTTAGCGTCAGTAAGAGTAACTGTGGTATATAAAGTGGTATATACTTAAGGATGTTGAAAATAAGGGCCTCCCCTCCCCGTGTGGTGAAGCGTTCTCGGTAAAGATCACCATGTGGGGTAAGGTCACTCAGGGACAAACTTCCTAAACTGCCTTGTAATGCCAGGTCGCCATCTGAAATATAAGACATAATGTGATAACATTAAACGCCAAATTATTTTCTTAAGTCAATCTAGTTGTGTAAAAGAGAGTTGTGTTATGTGGAGGCTTCGTTTTATCTTAACAGGGTGAATTTTATATTTTTCATACACACCCAACATTTCCAGATGAGCAGATAATTTGGACACACTAGCTCTGGCAAGCTCATTGAGTTTCTTGTTCAGTATAATGGACAAAGAGTGAACCTAAAGACAAAAACATGGACAGGTTGAGTCATGAAGCATTCAATTAAGAAAGCTTCACCAAGAATGACAGAGAGAATCAAAATTAGAAGGATACATTTTGCTTGTATTATCTGGATAGCCCAGCTAGTCCATCTAGATGCACCAGGTCTGGTGACCTACCTTTAGGTCCACTTTAGTGTTGACAGGCTCTGTTGTTTCCTCCTCACTGATGTCTGATTCATACAGAGGATGTCCTGGCACAGGTTGAGGTGACATAGGGTGCACCTTCACTGCGTGATTGTTGGCTGTGGAGCCAATGCCAAAGAAGTCCAGGATAACCACCCAGGTCTGTAGTGTTATCAAGACGTCCAAGCAGTTAAAGTCGACATCCACACTTCTTCCCACACTTCCATAGCGCGTTTTGAACTCTGGGTGGTTCTGGTCCACCAGCAGCACATTGATATGAACTAATGAGTCATCAAAGTCTGGGGGTGGCTGAGGAGACGGTGTATGGTGGGTAGGAGAGGGAGGTGGAGTGCTGGGACAGTCCGGGTCCTTCTTAGATTTACGACTGGCTGAAGGGGTGCTGGGATGCCTCTGGTAGAGTTGGAAGACGTTCTGGGCCTCCTCCATGTGGGCAGGCAGTGAACGGGGCATGTCTGGGTATAGGGCGTTGGATGCTGATGGACAGCTTTGAGAAAGATACTCCTTTGGACTGAACGTGGAGGGTTTGGGGGCTCCGCGAGACACCATCAAATGTTTGTACTTCGACTCAGGGTTCTGCTCTAGGAGGTCCTCCATTAGCAGCGAGCGCAGAGCCAGCTGGACTGCCAGTAGGTGAGGATGGTCTTTGGTAAAGTCTCCTTCCAGATCTTGGAAGCGCAGACTGACTAAGCCCTGGGAGCCTTGGGATAGGTCAGCACTGAGCTGGACTTGTAATTCAGCCACGTGTAAGGTGACTTTTAGCTGAGTGAAGGAGGGAGAGTCAAGAGCAGGTTTGTGAGATTGTAAAGGCAAAGGGGAAGAAAGCGATGAGTGGGAGAAGTTGATATGGGGGGGGTCTCTTGCAAACAGCCCTCCCTGGGGGTCAGGAAAACGGTGAGGTCTGGTGGAGGAAGGAGTTGGTGGTGGGGGTGTGGGCGGTTGGCTGGGCGTGACACGTTGCTCTTCAATCAGTGACAAATTGTCCAGTGTCTGGAGGACTTGTTCATACACAGGCTTGCACAGGAACACCTATCAACATGGTCAGATATTGATACAATTAATAACCAGACTGTAAACCCACATAATATTTTCATTTAAAGGCCCTGTACACCCACCAATCAGTTTTGACACTGATTGATTAGACCTCTGATCAAGCTGAAGGTGGGAGGAGCTATACACTCGACACTTCAAAGCGTTACTCAACAAACCAATGGGTGAATTCACGATAGGTTAACACTTGTTCCTGTTCTAACACTTGTAACAAACTAAACAGGAGAATGAGGGAGATGTACATGCCCATACAATGCTGATATGAGGTCTGGCGAGGCAAAATAATTCAAATGAAAGCTGCAAGCAGCATTGGGCGGGACCTCGCATTCCACGCAACTCGGGCGCCACGCCACGTCACCCCACGCCAAGCCTTCATCGTGGGAAGCTGAGGGAGACCGCTCACACGTTTCAGACACCGTGCAAGACTTACACTTTCACAGCGAGATTCTTCACTGCGAAATTTGGAAATTCAGCGCCATGCCACGGACACGCCGTTTGACGCACAGTAAGTATTTGATTAACTTTTGATCACCAATGTGTCTAGATTGCAGTGATCGGATTTGAAGTCAATCCGATGAAACCTGTAGGAGAAGTTAGTTCAAATTGAAGCCCTGAAATGCTGGAAACGGCATCACAGCTTGACATTTGACTCAAGCTGGCCAACTTTGACGGCACGCAACAGACACGCCCTTAAACATACAGACGCAAATTGCGCAAGTTTTACTCAGTAACATTTTTTGATTGTACTGTCCAATTTTGAAGTAGGTCCGATGAGGAGTTCATTCAAATAGAAGGCAAGAATTCACCAAAAATGACCACAGAATTCAAAATGGCCAACTTTGACGGCACGCCACGGACACACCCTTTAACGTACAGTCACAAATAGCACAACTTGTAATCAGCAACATTTTTTAAGTGTACTGTCAAGTTTTGAAGCAGATCTGATAAATTCTCTAGGAGTTTGTTTGTTCAAATACAAGACCACGGACTTCAAAATGGCCAACTTTGAGGGCACGCCACGGACACGCCCTTCAACGTACAGTCACAAAATGATATGTGTTCATTCAGCACCATGTTTTGACTGCACTGACCAATTTTGAAGTAGATCCAATAAAACCTGTATGAGGAGTTAGTTAAAATAGAAGCCCTGAAATGCCAAAAATTACATCACAGTGTGACATTTGTTCTAAATGGCCAACTTTGACAGCATGCCACGGACACGCCCTTCAACGTACAGTTACAAATTCAACAGCGTTCATTCAGCACCATGTTTTGACTGAACTGACCAATTTTGAAGCAGATCCGATAAATTCCCTAGGAGGAATTCGTTCACATACAAGCCCAAAGAGTCAAAATGACCACAAAATGGCTGCCAAGAGTGAAAATTTTAAATTGAAATAGCCAACTTCCTGTGGGATATGGGATATGGGTTTTGTACGCCTCGGCACATTATACATGCCTATTGAGTTTCGTACATATCGGTGAAACGTGGCGCCGGGGCTGATGTTTTTTTATCCTGTAGGGGGCGCTACAAGCAGGACAAACAGGATTTTTTGTATGTGAGCTTCAGGCACCACTCTACACGTGCCCTGTGAATTTCATATTCATAACTATTACGAGTGATTTACCATGCCTAAAGAGCACCACCTAGTGGCGTATTTTTTTTGTCCTTTTTAGGTGAGCCTCAGGGAGCCATGGCGAAGCAGCGTACCAAGTTCCATCTTAATCACACATACCGTTGTAGAGATATAAACTCCTTCATTTTAAAGAGCGCCTCCTAGTGGTGATGACCTGAAATTGTGCACGATACATAATGAAGACATTTGGAACTATTGACCCAAGGTTGGTGTAAATCGGACATACCAATGTGGAGAAATACCCCACTTCCTTTTTTGAGGAAAAATCAACAGGAAGTGCTAATTTTATAACTTCCTTATTTTTTAAAATATCAAAAATGTTCAAATTACTTTTGTTGTCAGGACGGTCCACAGATGAAACGTGCAAAGTTTCGTGCGCATCACACAAAGTGTGTAGGAGGAACACGAAAAAGTGATTTATGGACATTTTGCGCTCTAGAAAAAAAAAATCTAGGCGGAAGTGGGCGTGGCCTATATGGGGAGGTTCAGCTCCATTCACCGAATGCGTGGATATAAGGTTTTTGAATGTGAGACAAACTATGCGGGAGTTATTAGCCTATCGAAATTGGCCTAAAAGTAGCGCCACCTAGTGGCCTTCCTAGTGGCTGACCCGCATGTGACGCATAGAATCTCCAATTTAAATGACGCTTGACAAATGTGCCAAATAAAATGCCCATATCGTATATGTTTAGGGGGTGAAAAATGCGCTCAAAGTTTCTAAAAAGTCCAGTTCAGTAAACTGGCTTGGTCCCTAATTAAAGCTGCAAGCAGTGTTGGGCGGGACCTCACACTCCATGCAACTCGGGGCGTGCTGCGGCCGCGTCATGTGCCATCGTTACACTTACACGCGGACCAAAACAAGAAATTTCACGTAAATCAGCTCAAAATTGCCACGCAGCAATTACTTCCTGTTGCCAGTAGGTGGCGCTGTCACTATGTCTTAATATTGTCATGTAGACAAGTTCAGGGCGGGACTGTTATAACACACGTGAAGTTTCATTAAGATTGGACCACGTACGCTGAAGATATGAGGACGTGTTCAGGGCGAGACTGTTACAGAATATATGAAGTTTATTGGAGATGAACATTGCACACTGAAGTAATGAGTGCTGTTTTATGGCGAATCGGCTGAATTCGACAAGTCGTCACTGGCACGCGGTTTGATGTACAGTCACAAATATCTCAACTTTTCAGTTTGTATGACAACAGAATTCAAACTGGCCAACTTTGACCTCACGCCACAGACACGCCGTTCAACGTACAGTCTCAAATAGCACAACTTTTAATCAGGACCATTTTTTGACTGTGCTGACCAATTTTGAAGTAGATCCGATAAATTCCCTAGGAGGAGTTCGTTCAAATACATCACGAAAAATCACAGAAAATGCGCACGGAATTCAAAATGGCCAACTTTGACGGCATGCCACGGACACGCCCTTCAACGTACATGCACAAATGCCACAACTTTTAATCAGCACCATTTTTTGACTGTACTCACAAATTTTGAAGCATACCTGATAAATTCCCTAGGAGGAGTTTGTTCAAATACAACGCGAAAAGTTTGCCGAAAGTGAAAATGAAAATCAAAATGGCTGACTTCCTGTGGGGTTTCGGGTATAGGTCCAAGAGGCTTTTTTGTACGTCCCGGCATGTTACATGTGCCTACTGATTTTCGTACATATCGGTGAAACGTGGCACCTGGGTTGCTGTTTTTTATCCTGTAGGTGGCGCTACAAACACGACAAACATGATTTTTAGTATGTGAGCTTCAGGCACCACTCTACATGTGCCCTGTGAATTTCAGAATTTGATTTACCATGCTACCAGACCGCCACCTAGTGGCGGATTGTTGACACATTTTTTTGTGAGCCTCAGGGAGCCATGGGGAAGCATCGTACCAAGTTTCATTTTAATCACACATACCGTTGTAGAGCTATAAACTTCTTCATTTTAAAGAGCGAGACATTGTGGCGATGGCACTGGTCAGTGCTCGGTCCCTAATAATAATAATAATTCTAACTGGAACAATAGGGTCCTTGCACTTGTCAGTGCTCGGTCCCTAATAAACTTCATGTATTCTGTAACAGTCCCGCCGTGAACATGTCTACATGACAATATTCAGACATAGTGAAAGCGCCACCTACTGGCAACAGGAAACAAGCACTGCGTGGCGATTTTGAGCTGATTTTCATGTTGTTGTCCGCACGTGATGCGGCCGCAGCACGCCCGAGTTGCGTGGAGTGCAAGGTCCCGCCCAACGCTACTTGCAGCTTTAATTAGGGACCGAGCCAGCGACCGCTGAAGGTCCCTATTGTATTTGCTATGTTTCTTATTAGGGACCGAGCACTGACTAGTGCAAGGACCCTATTGTTCCTGTTAGAATTATTAGGGACCGAGCACTGACAAAAGTGCAAGGCCCTATTGTTTTACTAGGAATTATGACACTGACAAAAGTGCAAGGCCCTATTGTTTTACTAGGAATTATTATTATTAGGGACGGAGCACTGACAAAAGTGCAAGGCCCTATTGTTTCACTAGGAATTATTATTATTATTTAGCGGCCGCAACATGCTCAAAAAGTCATGGAAATTTGCAAAAAATTCAAACGTATCGACTGTCCCTGTGCACGGGCGCCGCCAAACGGCTAAGACACGACCCCCAGAATCAGCCCCCAAGACACGTAAGGCCGACATGTACGAAAATTGGTATGCATGTGTATCATGATAAAAGAAGCAGAAAAGTCTCATGGACCCATACCTCAAACCCAACAGGAAGTCGGCCATTTTGAATTTTGTGGCAATTTTGGGCGATTTGCACACGTTGTATTTGAACGAACTCCTCCTTCAGATTTTGACACAGCCATCTAAACACATTCACCATTAAAAGTTGTGCTATTTACGTTATTCCGTCGAACGGCGTGCCCGTCCCGTGGCGTGGAATTTTAACAATTCGCCATGAAAGAGAGATGGCGTCGCAAAATGGATAAGCCACACCCCCCCAGAATCAGCCCCCAAGACACGTAAGACCAACATGTATGAAAATTGTTAGGCATGTGTATCATGATGGGACAAGCAAAAAAGCCTCTTGGACCCATAACCCAATGAATTGAATTTCGTGGTCATTTTTGGCGTTTTTTTGCGTTGTATTTGAACAAACTTCTCCCAGGGAATTTATCAGATCAACTTCAAATTTAATCAGTGCAATTTGAAGATATTCCTGATTAAAAGTTGTGCTATTTACGACATTCCATCGAACGGTGTGCCCATGGCGTTGCGTTGAATTTCAACCATTCACCATAAAACAGATAGTACTCAGCTTCAGTATACAATGTCCAATCTCCACTAAACTTCACATATTCAGTCCTAGCCTGAACACATCCTCACAACTTCAGTGTACATTATATGATCTCAATGAAACTTCACAAGTCCCGCCCTGAACACGTCTACATGATAATATTCTGATATAGTGAGAGCGCCACCTACTGGCAACAGGAAGTAAGCGCTGCATGGCTGATTTATGTGAAATGTTCATGTTGTGGACCGCACGTGTTAAACCAGCACGAGACGCAGCCACAGCACACCCCGACACGCGCCGGCTGCGAGGCCCGGTTCAATGCTGCTTGCAGCTTCAATTAGGGACCGAGCACTAAAAAGTGCAAGGACCCTATTGTTCCTCTAGGAATTATTATTATTTTTCTGCCCCTTCTAACGCATATTTGACCCCCGCAACATGCTCAAAAAGTCATGAAAATGTGCACAAAATTCAAACATAGCGAAAATACTGATATGACACGTAAGGGCACATGTACGAAAATTGCTACGCATGTGTATCATGATAAAAATTTAAAAATTTCAAACCTTCACCATGAAAGAGGGATTAATCATAACTTCTGCGTACATGATCCGACTGCAACGAAACTTCACATGTTCGATAAGAGTCCCGCCCTGAACATGTCTATGTGATAATATTCGGTAATAGTCAGAGCGCCACCTAGTGGCAACAGGAAGTATAACGTTTTATACTTCCATGTTCAACTCCTAGCAGGATGATCAGACCCAGCTGAAATGTACTTATAAAATGCAAAACACATTGTTGATTATATGTGATGACTGCGGTGAAGAGGCATGTCTGTAGCGTGGCGGGAAATTTTGATGTACCGCTACAAAACAATTTTGCTATAACTTGAGTGTACATTGTTTTGTGGTCATTTTGACTTTTTGGGCTTGTATTTGAACAAACTTCTCCTAGGGAATTTCTGGGATCTGCTTCAAAATTTGTCAGTACAGTCACAAAATGGTGCTGAATGAACGCTGTTCATTTTTTGACTGTACGTTGAAGGGCGTGTCCGTGGCGTGCGGTCAAAGTTGGCCATTTTGAATGAATGTCACACTGTGATGTCATTTTTGGCATTTCAGGACTTCTATTTTAACTAACTCCTCCTACAGGTTTTATTGGATCTACTTCAAAATTGGTCAGTGCAGTCAGTTTTTTCGTGGAACATTGTGCCCGTGGCGTCCCATGGCATCCAATTGCAAACCTTCGCCATGAAAGAGGGATTCGTCATAACTTCTGAGTACCTGATCCAATCTCAATGAAACTGTTTGATAGTTGCTGTGTCTGTGGCGTGGCGGGAAATTTTGATGTATCGCCACAAAACACGAATTTGCTATAACTTGAGTGTACATTGTCCAATAGGCTCCAAATTTCACTTGTCTGATAAGAGTCCCACCCTGAACATGTCTATGTGATAATATTCAGTAAAAGTGAGAGCGCCACCTAGTGGTGAAAGGAAATGTCATTTTTTTATACTTTCATGTTCTACTCCTAGCAGGATGATCAGATCCAGCTGAAATGTAATTATGAAATGCAAAACACATTGTTGATGATATGTGATGAATGTGGTGAGTGGGCGTGTCTGTGGCGTGGCGGAACTTTTGATGTACCGCCACAAAACACGAATTCGCTATAACATGAGTGTACATTGTCCAATCGGCTCCAAACTTCACATGTCTGATAAGAGTCCCGCCCTGAACACATAGTGATAGCGCCACCTAGTGGCAACAGGAAGTAAGTGCTGCGTGGCGATTTTGAGCTGATTTACGTGAGATTTTCATGTCGTGGTCCGCACGTGTTACGACGGCACGTGACACGGCCACAGCACGCCCTGAGTTGCGTGAAGTGCGAGGTCCCGTCCATCGCTGCTTGCGGCTTTAATTCCAATTGTTCTTCAAGTTAATGTAAATGAAACTCAACACTTCCTGCACAGATCATGTTAAAAACCCTCCAGTTACTCAATCAAAATTATCTCTTTCCTGGTTGCCAGAAATGTAAAGGCTTACACATGAGATTTAGAACATTAATACAGCAGCAAACTAATATTATCTATGTAAAGACATAGTGGAGTGATATGTCACACTCCCTCTGCCTGTGTTGCTATCATACCCGTGTACGTGTAATGAGTGGAGTGACTGAAACTGATGTTTTATCATCTACGTTGTTGAATTAACATAATTATTTTAACCAATCCAGAATTTGTGATTGTTGGAACGGTGGAAAAACTAACAAAGACAGTTTTAGTTTTTTTATTTAGTTTCTGTCAATTTGGAATGAAGTTCCGACATTATGATGATAGACAATAACGAAAATTTGTGTTTTTGTCTATGGAGTCTGGTGAACAACAGTGATATTACGGCTTTTTGTCCTTGAGAATTAAGGTAAGCTTACATTGTGGCTATTGAGTGAGAGTGGTGACATTGACTATAATGGCCTATATTACCATATAGCCCTACATTACTTTTAAATTACACTACTATATAAATTCTTTTTTATCCTGTACAATTATATTTATTCATACATTGGCCATTGGTCCTGCAGTGACCTGTGCAATATTCCATCCATCACATCAGTATATAAAAAAGTGTTCTTTGTTCAAGTTTGCCACAATGTAAATACTGCTAGTATGTGAGACATGGCCATTTGAATACAGGCTTACATTTATTGTAGTATTGATATGGTTATACCTGAACAGGGTTGACAAATTTGCCCTCGATTCTCAGCAACCCTGTGCTCCTGCAAGGCTCCTCTGTGGTGAGGAAGGTAAACTCAGTATCTTCGTCAACGGGAACTTTCTCCAGGGTGAACTGTATAGTTGTGTCTTTCAATATGTGGAAGGCTGAAGACAAAAAAAAATATATGTGCATTTGTGCCTTAAGCTGCGTATAAAATGTATTTGCAAGTTCATAAAATCTAGCATTTGGAATATAACTATCCTTAGAATTTGTAACATTCTCACCTTTACCACGGCTGAGGGATTCAAAGAAGTCATGACGTGTGAACTGTGGTTCATCCTGGTTGGTGCTCCCATTGTGGGATGGTGACATGCTGCTGGCAGAATTCCCTCTAGGTACCCTCTTCAAAACCAAATGACTCATGTTGAGTGAATACAGTCGAATATCCTTCACTAATACCTGCAACCTTTCAGCTTCGGAGTCTTGCCCAGTAACAAAATTTTGGATTGTTATGCTTCCCAGATGACCAACCAAAAGCTCAGGGTGTCCAGGTTTACGGGGAATGGACACAACTGGTGAGTCAATGCTGATATTAAGGGTCAGCTTTACCAAGAATGTGTCTAGGGTGGATTCGGGTTCTTCCATGGGGAGATCATCCTCATCCTCAAATGGATAAGCCCAGCTCTGACTCTGAGTTCGAGTTCTTCGTGAGGGTGTTTCAAAGAGTGAAACCATACCACTGTACTCTGCTGTCTTGGTTGCTAGAACTGTTGACACTTTGGTAGCAGCACTTTTCAGCATGGAGCGGAAATTGTCTTCTACCTCATTAGCAGACAGGCTTAGCTCCTTCAGGAACTTGGCTGAGTGGTTGTAGTGCAAGGATGCCATTTGAAGTAGTAAGGAACACTCCCCTTGGGATTTCTCCATAAGGCGAAAATTTAAAGCCTCAGAGGGAGAACCTCCTGTGTCAGCAAGGAATGTTAATCCAAGAGTTGAGGAGCTATCTTCAACACTGCCAATACTGACCACAAACTGGCTTCGGCCTCCTTCCTGGGTCAGGTCAGCCAACTGCATGGCGCCAAGTGAACCATTGATGTCCAACCGACTGCCCATAGACACATTGACCTTCGTTCCAGTGATGCTAGCAGTTGCAATCTTCAACCCTTTCTTCTCAGCACCCAGCACAGTCCCAGTGGACACAGTCCGAAGGAGAAGCAGGTTAAGGCGATGGATCTCCACAGTCAGCTCTTTGTTCTGGTCATAGGTGGCCTGATATGTCCCCCCCCCCTCCTCACTGTAAGGCTGTTTTGTATGTTGTTGCGTTGATGATGTCCAGGTGCTTTCCTCTTTGGGGAAAGACTTCTGGAGAAACTTGAGCAACTCTACCATGGTCTCAGGGTTGAGAATGATGTCCAAGTTATTGACCTGCATGCTTGTAACCTGAAGGGAGCTGTCCAGATTCATGGAGGGGCAGTCTGAGCTCACAAACTGGTACTCAAGCTTAATCAGGGCCTCCTGGTCTTTCAGAAAGGAACTGAAGGGGGAAAGTCGATCCATGGGCATACCAGAGGACGACTCAGTATGATGGCCCTGATGCTGGGGAGACTTGCCATCAGACGACACAGGGGACGATGGCTGGCTCTCTCTGAGGCTTCCCGTGGGTATGTCAAAACTGAGATGCTTATGAGAAGCCACAAGGAGGTCAAAGTCTGAGCCATAGGTTTGTAGGGTGTCCACCAGCAGAAGACCATGGACAGTCAGAGAGACTTCAGCATCATAAGGCCGCTTGACAAAATGAGCATTTGTGCCAAATACCTTGAGGACAGATATGTAACGGCCATCACTCTCTACACCAAGCTGCATGTAGTTAATGTTAAATTCAGCTAATAGTAGACGGGATTCCACCAGGACTTCCCTTGTGTGCTGTTCTAAAGTCATCACGCTCTGGGTCAGGTTCTTGGCTGAACCTTGCAGCTTCCAGGAGCTGTCCTCCTTCAGAAAGATCTTGTCATGGCGGAGAGTAAGAGGGTCAGGAGACCTTATAAATGGGCCTCTCTCTTGGCTTTTGTCCCCTTTACTTACAGATGGACTACTTAGCCTAGCCAAGCAACTCCTAAGGGCGGTCATCTTCTCAAGGTTGATATGGACTTTGAGGTCTGGCAGGGTTCCTGACAGCACAGCCCCAGGGAGCTGGGGGTCCGACGTGTAGCGCAATCTCTGCTCAAGCTGCAACAGTACATTAAACTTCTCCACCACATGAGTAGGCCCTACCTCACTCTCTTGAAGGTGTTTCCAGTTGTCCTTACAGCGACCAACCATTATCTGCAGGTCCTTAAAAGACAAGGAGTATTTTTCATAAAGCTTTCTGCTGTAGGCCTGCGTACTTTCTGGGGATCTGAGGCTGGGAAGTTCAGGGCTTTTGAACTGGTCTTTCAAAGGCATGTCTAGTTCAGGTGGAGGAGACTCTGGGGGCGTGGCCAGGGGTGTCTGGTACTCATCATCACTCATGTCTTCCCTTTCAGGTTGAGTAGCTTTTGAGCTGGCCTTAGTGTCATCTTCAAAGACAATTAATAACAAAAGGTGTCAGCTAGCAGGTTAGAAACCTCATTAGGCAAAATAATATTTGTGTGTATCTTTTTATTTTTTAGGTAAATGTTTGATTGATTACCTTGCGAGTTTGTAAGGAGAATTCTGCCTAAATCAACAACAACTAACATTGGGTCCCCTGACTGGAAGTCATCAGGGAAAATCACCTGGGGGGCACAGATGTCCAATTTCATGGTCCACCGCTTGCTGTTTTCCTACAGAGCAAACACACTGGAATTTAGAAATTATTCAACTACCAATTATTTCATGTCACCATCCGGAGAATTTTTCTTACAATAAACTCTCCCACGAGTAGCTGATCAATGGTTTGTCGGATCTCTGCCTTGGTCTGCATCTTCAGCTTGTTGTACTGCCTTCTGGCTGCCTCTGCTACTCTTAGCTCCAGCTCTGACTGATAGCCAAAACCTGCATATAAGATATATGAGAAATATGTTTAAAATACAATCATACAATGTGCTGGTACGCATCAGAAAGTGAACTTTCTTAAACTCCAGCCACCATTTGAAAATCTCACTGGGAATTGTCAACTGTAATTTTGTGGTTTGCTTGATCAGTTACCCTTATCTCCCCCTATCTGTTGCTCACTGATCGCTTACTTTTCTTATTTAATTGAATTAGGTTTTTTTTTTACTTCTTTAAATGTGTTGTTTAATTTTACTTTTAACAGCACTGATAAGTTTAAGACAGCAAGGGAAAAAATCCTCACTTCGGTTACTTACCTGAGGTATGAACTCTTCCTTTATAAAAGAACTCAGTCACTTTTTTGATTGCTTGTGGGTTGTAGATGATGTTCAATGGACTGGTGTTCACTTCCAGTCTTCTCTCAAACTTACATCTCACAGGGTTACGTTCATAAATCATTTCAAACACTGGTGATGAAGAGCACTCAGCATTGCATCCTGAGAACACAAAACAAAACAAACACGGTATTTTTCAAGAGACAAACATTTATTTTAATATAGCCACCCAAATCTGATAATTCCCACATCCATACTGTACAGATATGACAAACTGGTATTCTGTAAAACAAAAAAAATTCAAAAGCTCTGTGAGTGGTTCCTGGAGGCTAGCATTGTCATTACATCACACAGCATGAACAGGAACATCTGAACTATTTGTTTGATGATTCAATCAATTCCTAATACAAACCACATGTCAGTGAAATCATCATCCTTTTCTGAAATGCACACAGAGCAACAAAGGAAAACAGCATGGGCAGCTCTAAACTTTTACAGACCTCATATAAAGCTTAAAGCTGCAGTAGGTAACATTTACAAAAATAATTGTTTGTCATATTTGTAGTTTTATTTCTGGGGCGTCAAATACAGACACTTTGAGGCCTGGAAATGAGACTCAACAATCAACTATCTCCATGCCTCCGACCCAAAGTATCTTTATATCTTTCTCGTCTCTGATTGGCTGTTTTCATTCAGGCCCAGTGGAATTTTTTCAAATGCCATTAGGCCCACTAAAATGAGACAGGGGAATCAGATAGTTTTTTTTTTGTTTTGTTTTGTTTTACAGATTATATCTCATGTACTACTTGTACTGTATGTTTTTATACAAGACAGGCACTAAAACAAGTCAAACAGGTAACACTGGAGGGTAATATAAGGGATTTGGACTGTAGTGTAACTATCTATAGATAAGAAAAATAAAAAAATATAAATAAATACTGATACTGATAAATTACATAATGGCCTATATAAAACCAGATTAGTAAACTGCTGACAGCTTCAGAAATTAAAACTGAAAGTATCACAAGGTCATAAGCGCATAAAAAAAATTATTAAACATTGTTTAAATTGAGAAAATATTACATCAGCTCTAAAGAAGAACAGAAAACTCTCACCAGAGATACTGCCAGACAGACTGGAGGGCTGGTTGATGGCAACAACAACTTTGTCCTACAACAAGTGACAAATGAGAAGCATAATACAACAAACAGTAGAAGATAATAAAAAAGAAAATATATTGTACTTAGGGCGCTGCAATTCACTTTTTCAGACTTTACATTACAAACTGCCCTTCTCTTTCCATCAACGCTTACCGTTTTGGGAGACACCAGAACAGGAAAGATGGTTCCCTGAGTAGTCAAGTCTCTCAGGAACAAACCACCCAGCTTAACAGACAGCAAAGAGGACTCAGAGCGAGGGAGGGACTCCAAAATCACTTTCACCCCTGTGGAAAAGTGGACACAGTAAATGAAATCAAGTAATTTAGGTATATCTGTTTAAAGGACTCAAGCTCTACTGCTCATCTTCAAAAGGAAACAGTAGAGGGCAGTTGACAAACTATATACAACTCTCAAGTGTTTTTTTAATAAACAGATAAACCCAATATTTTTGGCTGACATATTGATATCGTATTGGTATTGTATTGGGATCTGCGTTTAAATGTCACATGATGCGCGCTGATATAAAAATCACTGATCTTCTTTTATTTATTTAGAAAGCAGCTTTTGAAGTACCTTTGCAGAATCATATTGGTGCAAATTGGTCTATTTTCCTTCCGACAAAAACAATCAGTATACCAGCCACCGTATCAGTGATCTAAGATTCCCTCTAAAATAGGCGTTGGTTTAAAAAATCCCATATAGGTCGATCTGGATTTTGACCTTTAAAATCTTGCAAAAGTTGCAACTGATGATTATTTTCTGTTCATTAGTGTGCCTGAAAAGCACACTACTATTATTCCACATACTTAATTAGTGTGCCTGAGAAAGCACACTACTACTATTGCCCGTGCTTAATTAGTGTGCCTGACAAGCGCACAAGCATTATTCCTCATACTTATTAGTGTGCCTGAAAAGCACACTACTATTATTCCTCATACTTAATATTCTTATTATTCTTCCATGTCGGTTTTCGGTCGACTACGCCATCTGCAGTTTTGGTCGCACATACACAAAAAAGGTATCAAAACGTGCGGCTCGGCGGGGACATTAGTGCTATGACTTTTCTAAGCGTTTCGTCAAACAGTTTGCCGATATATCGACAAAAACCAGGCCAAAAAATGAATGGGTGTGTATTGGTAGGCAAGAATCACGATACTTTGGTCGCGATATGATACGTATCACAATATCACAATACCCCAATATAAATAGAGATGAAAACACAAGTACCTGTATATGCACATCAGATGATTTTGATCAGAGGACAAATTGAGTCAAAGCTATTTCATTCAAAACAGTCTCTCCATTTTATTAATTTATTATTAATTTCCTTTTATTAATTTAACAGAACATGGACGCCACCAGTGCAGCAGCTGTGTTATCATTGCTTGTGGCTCATCTAAACAAGCTCAATGTGAAATAATAACGTTTTTCTACAGAAACACTAACATTTCAAGTAATTCCGTTATTGCAAGTCTTACATTTCAATAATATTTTGCCATTTTCGCCTATTTCAATTAAATTCAATTCAATTTTATTTGTATAGCGCCAATTCATAACAGAAGTTATCTCAGGACACTTTTCAAATAGAGCAGGTCTAGACCGAACTCTTTATAACATTATTTACAGAGACCCAACAGTACCACCATGAGCAAGCACTTGGCGACAAGGGCAAGGAAAAACTGCCTGTTAAAAGGCAGAGTGGTCGTCTGTCTCGACCAGTTGGGGTGAGAGAGAGAGAGAGACAGAGAGAGAGAAACAGAGAGACAGACAGACAGACAGACAGACAGACAGACAGACGCACAGCAACAACAGTATTGGCAATGGCAATCTAGCAGGACCATGGCAGGAGGCTCCACCAGGATCGATAAGAACATGCGAGACGAGAAAGCACAAGAACTCCGGGGAAGAAGTGAAGTTAGTAACATGCATTAATGGGAAAAGAATGAGTGCAGAAAGAGAGAGGAAGAGAGGAGCTCAGTGCACCATGGGAAATCCCCCGATAGTCTAGGCCTATAGCAGCATAACTAAGGGATGGTTCAGGACTCACCTGATCTAGCCCTAACTATAGGCTTTATCAAAGAGGAACGTCTTAAGCCTACTCTTGAATGTGGAGAGGGTGTCTGCCTCCCGAACCACAACTGGAAGCTGGTTCCATAGGAGAGGAGCTTGGTAACTGAAGGCTCTGGCTCCTGTTCTACTTTTAGAGACTATAGGAACCACAAGTAGCCCAGCATTCAGAGAACGTAGTGTTCTAGAGGGGTAATAGGGTACTATGAGCTCTTTAAGATATGAAGAATTTCAACAAGTGCTGTCGCGTTTGTCTCGAGCCACCAGGGGCAGTGGCAGGCTAGTGCTACTGTTAGCTACATTAGCCTATTTAGCAAACCAGCTCGAAAACAAAACTTTACATTGTATTGCACACACAGCAACACCGTGCAATGCCTAAATTGGTGACCGGACTAAAGCAGCAATGTAAACAAGTGTGTAAGAGCATTTAAAATCGACATTAAAACAACCAACGTAGTACAAATACAAAGAAAATACATCTCAATATGGGCGCAGCCATCTTCGTATGTGCCCCCCCGTTTAGCTCTCTCTCACGGTCTTTTTGGTTTTCATTTTGGTTGTTCCTGGCCAATGGTTCGAGGGGGTTAGTTTAGAGACAGAGAGAAAGCACGCAGCTGCACTTAACTTATCTTAACTGCTGTGGCCTGGCCCTGGTTGCCAAGACAACCAAAGCCTGCCTCTCACAAGCCTGACTGTGAACATACACATACACACACATAGCTGGCTAGAGGATGACAAGGCATAAAAATGCTAGCGCTAGCTAGCTAAAGAGGATGACAAGGGATTAATATGCTAGCGCTACCTAGCTAGCGTGCTAGAGAGGATGGCATGGTATTATTTTTTTGCTAGCACTAGCTAGCTAGAGAAGTTGACAAGGTATTAATATGTTAGCGCTAGCTAGCTATCTAGCTAGAGAAGATGACAAAATATTAATATGTTAGCGATAGCTAGCTAGGTAGCTACAGTAGATGACAAGGTATTAATATGTTAGCGATAGCTAGCTAGGTAGCTACAGAAGATGACAAGGTATTAACATGTTAGCGCTAGCTAGCTAGCGTGCTAGAGAGGATGACATGGTATTAATATACGGCCAAGTCAGGCACACTCAAAATTTCTTTAGGAATTTTCTAGTTATTTTTACAATTCATTAATCAATGTATTGTTCTAAATACTTTATTTACAACAATAGATCAGAAAATAGTGAAACATGGCCATTAAGGGTCCAAGATGTCTTGATTTGTCAAAAATCCAAACCCCCAAAGATATTCAGTTTACTGAAAACAGAAAAAGCTGCAAATCCTCACATTTGAACAGCTGGGACCAGACAATGATTTACAGTTTTCAATGACACAAGATTAATTGATTATCCAAGTAGATGAAAATTAAGTTTGACAAGTATGGTGACATAAAGTAACATGACAAAAACCTGTCAATGGTCAGACATTTTCCTAGACAGATGTACCAACGTTGTTATCCTTTTGGTATCTCTGGTTGTATTGGAACAGCTGTGGTCAGTGGTGCAAAATTTAATTAGCAGGACAGTTACATGGCAATATTGTATTAACAAGATTTTTTCTTAAATTTGATTTGTATTAAGGTATTAAATTTACTTAATTAGGCAAAAACAGACATTTCTGTATAAATAGTTTACCGCAATAAAATGGTTTTATCCAAATCACCCACCCCTAACTTATTGTCTTTGCACTAAACCAACTGCTGATCACATATTGATAAAACTAGCATAATGATGCACAGAACTATACTCTTGGCCCAAAACAAACCCTAAAACATGTATCTGTCCAAACACAGCTCCTGTGTACCTGAGAATTCCAACTGGATGACCCCGCTCTCATGCAGGGTGTCCCCCCTCCTGTCCTGGTGGAAGAGCGTGACTCCACCCTTCTCCAGTAAGAACTCCAGCCGGGCAAACAGGTGATCTCGCCTGGTAAACGTGTTGAGAGTGTGAGAGTCCTCTAACGGGTCGAACAAGTCTTCTGTCTCTGCTGGAGAAGCATTACACCAGGGTCAGCAGTCAGAATTTCTCTGCCTTTAGGAGTAAGATTTTAATCAGATCATAGTAAACACAAAAATCTTTTTATACAGGAGACTATTCTTTCACCAATAAATAATCCAATGTAATTCAAATTTAAAAAAAAATGTTTTAACAATGACAGAAAAATATGAAGGCTGTCTTTGACAGATTCAGTCCAGAGCACTCTCTTTCTCCCCCATCCTGAAGATCTAGGCTAAGTAAACAAAATAATTATTCTTTATTGTTGAATAGAAGCAAAACAAGTAACCCTTTACTGAAGACACAAACTCTGTCTCTCTTTTAACAAATCGGTACAGTCTTTTTAGTCAATGAATCAGGCCAATTACGTGGCATTTTGAGATAATCAGCATCTGCCAATGTATGTGCTCACAAGGCCAATAAACAAAAAATGTCTTCACACACATCTGCAGGCAGCCTTGTCAGTGTGGCTGCCATGTAATAATGTTAGTGCTCCCCTTTGTTAGTTTTGGGAAGGTGGTGGTAAAGTTGGTTTTGAGCCCTTTCTTATAACTCTTATGCATCCTGCTGTAAACATGTGCCTAAATTTCCTGAAAAAGAGAATACAACTATGACTTCTCTTTGTTTTGATATTGTATAATCTATAGGCCATAAGCAGCTCTGCTGTCTAAATATCAGCATCTTCAATTGAAAAACCCATATTGGTCGACCACTATTATTGTCCCACATACCCAAACCTGTTTAATTTCTAGTCCAACCCACAAACCTAGTCCACATTACTGCCACGTTGGTGTTTCTGTTCATCTTTTCTCCTCATGCTCTTATAAATGTATAAACTGTAACTAAATGCTATTAAATGGACTACATGTGTCATTATCATCCAAAAAATTTCAATGAAAGCAGGTAATCGTGACAGAATTTTTACCAGCCTGTCAAAATGACGGATAACAATAAAGTCTAATGCAACTCTGCTAGAGCTTATAAACAGACTAAAGACAGCTGCTAAATGCTGTCAGCGCTCCACTGGCAGCAGACAGGAGTTAGTCCCTAACCCAGGATATCCCAGGAAGATGGACTTGGTAGGAGCTCTTCAGGCCGGTCTTGGGCATCTCCATACCAGCCTCCCCAGCCTGGGAACCAGGACTGCAGGTACTGGATCATCCCTGAGCTGCCGCTCTTGGATATGGATGTAGTCGGTGAACAGGGCTGGGGGTCACTGCTAGGCTCTTGCACATTCTGGGAGAGGAGACAGTGGAAGAACACAGGCTGAAACTAACCTATAACAAAAAACCAACAGCAAAGACACCTTTAGCAAATCAGTGAAAGTTTGATGATTGATTGTGAGAGGACATCTTTATGTCACAAACTGTTTAAACCAAAGTGCAGTTAACAGGAGTTTGACACAAGGCAGAGGGGCTTTCTCTTCCCAACAAGGCCACAACGACCCCTGACATGTTGGAATGTTTATTTAAAACACCACTGAACACCAGTATGAATCATATAAGTTTACCTCTGCAATCTCTTCATGCTTTCGAAACCAGTCGTGGACAATTTCTTGGAGACTCTGCAGCTCCTCTATCGTCTGCTCCTCTTCCACTCGCTCCAGCTCACTCTAGGTGAGACCAAGGTGAGACAGTTCAGTAATGCTAAAATAAGTTTTCATTATTCTTTTAGTAATTGTTTGAGGTACTGTTTCTTGTTTATTTCTAACCGTTTGATAAATGCATCACTGTAAATTAGTGCAAATGCAAACCTGCTTATGATTGATAGACGGAAACATACATACACACAGTTTGAACATCCTTATTTAGCCAAATAATCACGAACTGATCATATATTTGAAGTGAAAATGTTTTTTTGTATCTACAAAGAGAGGAAAAAGATCAACCAAACTATTCAAATATTTACAAGTTATAGGAGGAACACAGATCTGGAGAGAAAGAGCATAAACGTGCCCCATATGCCACACCAACTGACTGCATGTGCTTGGCCCAAGACTAGAAGGAGAGACCCCCTTACTCTGAGCAGCATGCATGGGAAGGAATTACAATGTAATATATTTGAATATATTTCAACCATTTTCCCTGATCTTTCTTCTTCTTCGCAACACTTCGACACTTTTTAAAAATAAAGTTGCTAAGAGGGTCTGAAAAAGTCACCAAGTCACCTCAACATCTTCTCATTTGTAAACCTAACAATTAAAATGATATGAATGAATGATATTCTGTATATTCCATGACTCATATGACCATAATAATTTAATTTGTTATGATTACAAATGTCCCGATCAACTATTTTTAGCTCGATCTGATGCAAGTCTTTTTTTATATTAAGTATTTGCACAATCCGATAACTATTTTTTTAGATAATACAATGCCCAATATACACTTCAAGTACATTAAAGTTAGGCAAGGCTGCATCTGCTCCCTCACACAGACCTCAGAGTGGAGAGGCAGAAAGAGAGAGTTTAAACTATATCTTTTTGTCCCAGGTGCTATTTGTATTGTCCCCAGGACAATGGAACATCCTTGATTTTGAGTGCTAAAAGTGAGGTTTTCAATAAACGGGATTGTGATTCTGTGTAGTACCTCTTCCTGAGGACTCAGTGTGACTCCTTTGAGCCTTCTGAAGTAGAGGCTGGTGTATGTCTGGGCGTCTCGTGCCCGCTGCAGGGCAAAGTCCCAGCTGCCTCGCCGCCGTTGCTCCCTGATTTCACTCAGGTTGGCCACGATAGCAAACATCCACCACTGCCGGCAGCTACAGGGAAAAACTCTGTAACAGCCTCATGTCTGATTCAAGTATTCAAAGATTTATTACACAAACAACAGGTGTAGTGAATGCAATGTGGTATTCTCTTAGGAGTGTGCTAAAAGACTGGTGTCAAAAATAAAATTGTTGGATAATTCAGTTTTTTGTGTCCAAAGAACTTTGCAAATGTCAGACAGTCAACTGACTGTTTGCTCAGACTACAACAAACTTTTAAGTGTGAACTAACTTCTTAGAAATTGCGACTTTGGGCCTCCACTTTCGGTAAAGCATCTCTCTTTCCCGGCGGTCCAGCTCTTTAAGGAACGCCATGATCTGCTGGTACTGGACCTAAGTGACAATAAACACACAGTCACCACTCTGCACGCTCTGGTTAGGTCTCATCAGTCCCACATTGTCCTATCTATTCTGGCTTGGTTGGTTTTATGTTTCCTTATATTCTCTGTTATGTGTTTTTTCATGTCCAGCACACACAGAAATAAAGGCTGGTAAAACATATTGTGGAGCAAAAGACTAGCTAACTAGATAGCTAATCTACATAAATCCTTAGCTAGGTAGTTAGATATGAAAGCTAATGTTAGCAAAGCACTAGCTTACACCAATCTTTAGTTAACCCTATCCCTACCCCTGCCCCAAACCCTTAGTTAGTTTGCTAACATTTTCTAGCTTAAGATGCAATGTATGTCACTTTTATCTTTTCACCATCTCAGATGTGGTTGTCTTTTCAACATAGATTAGCCTAGCCCATAGCATTTCTTCCATTTTCCCAACAGTGTTGGGAATGAATGTAACAAAGAGAAAGCCATTAATATGGGTTTTCATATTATGACATCCTCACCCTAGAAAAATAAAAAAAATCCTTGAACAAAATTTGAATAATAATAATATCGGATTGAATGGGTTAGTCTTTTTTGTTAAGTAAAGACAAAATGAGTAAGATTTGTCAGTTGCTGTTTGTAAATTCGATTTAAAGGTCTAGTTCGAGGGACACAGATGCTGGTTGAGCCAGGTAGAGAGTAACTGAAGTGAGGGAGCACTGTTAGTGAGAATCAAAGAAATAAAAAGTTATTTTCTGATTGTTTCACAGTGGTTACGTTCTAAAGCACAAATAAACTTGATTACACCTCAGCACAACCCTGCAGGAAGGAGTGACATTGCCAGATTTTGCGTGAATTGCCAAAGCCACACGCGAGAATTTCAGTGGTGTCTTGAAACCCTCAAAGATATTTCCTGTTCATTCAACTACCACTGTCATGCAGACCTGTGACAGACGTAAGGACATGGGCTCCAGCTGAACTTGGCCTTCAATCCGTGGGGTGTTTCGGGACCTCAGAGGCTCCTTGGAGGCATTTCTTCTGAGCAACACAGAGGCACACACTGGCTCAAAGATGTACTGATGCTCCCGACTCTGCATACACTGGGTCATCGCTTCCTGTACGAAACAATCAGACTACTCATATGTGGTCTGGTGGAAAGTGATAGTCATATTACAGTTGTTTCTGGTTAAACAAAAGGTCTATCTCGGCAGACTACTTTTGTCCCCAAGGATTAACGTTAGCTTTCGTTGCGGCCATTGCAGCCCTTTTCACAAATATTTTGTCATTTAACTTGGTGACCAAACCAGTGTCGGTGATTGTTGGAAAGACTAACAAAGACAGCTTTGGTGAGTTTTATTTCTGTCCTATTGTTTTGGTCTGAGATGCTGGTGCTCTAGTGTGACATGCAGCGGACATTTAGGATAAATAACCTTTAAATTAAACTTTGTCTAGCAGAAAAGTGAAATGCAAAACTGTGGGGTGCAATTCACTACTAAGCCCCAATACTCCGGGAAACTGGCTCATAACTGTTAAAAGTCACAGTGTGTCTGACCTGGATCTGATTTGCAGGCAGTTTTCCCAGAATTTCACACTCTGTATCCCAGTAGACGCTGAAGTCTTGTATCTCCAGATGTTTTTGTCGAAGAAGCTTCTGGACCTGCAACACAAAAAAAAAAATCTCCAGAATCAACTGAGGCAGCCAATTACAATATGAAAATCTCATAATCAAGACATACAGATGGAAGCTAAATACATATTATACTGCAGTAAATATACATGTTTGAACCGACCAATGAAAGATTGTCAGAGATATATTGGCTAAACAGGGTACACATGTACTTGATTACTGTTGGATTGTTATAGACAGTGACGGCTGGTGGTGATTTTGATCAATACGTTACACAGAAGCAAGAGCAGCAACAGTAGCATCACACCAAGTTACAGCGACAACATTGTATACTTTGTTATACCAAGTGCTTTAAGGCAACACTGGGGAGACATACCCAAGAAAATGGCCTGATGCCAAAAAAATCTCTCTGTATACGTTTACTCTCTCTCTCTTTCTCTCTCTCTCCTCTGTACACCTCAGCACACGCCAATTGCGCTATATTATAGCAAGAATCTGCAACACCATGTACCAAAAATAAATCTATAAAACCAAAGCAAAAATAACAGTATTTGTAGAAGAGAGAGTTGTTTCAGAGCTTGGGCATACCTTATTTAAAAGCAGCTCATATCGATAGCGGTCTGTGACACAAACAGGTTTTTGGAGTCACGCTCAATGGACAGCATAGCCAGTGTGTTTAGCCTGTCCTGTCCCATTGTACTGCGAAAGGAAAGGATTTGATCCTCTTCAGTGTACTGAAACACCTCTCTGACTCTGCAGATGTCATGGGGGTTGTGATGGCTATTTGTGATGTTAGAAGTGAGGACAGGCCATGCGATTGTTGGATTGACACGCTGTCCCAAGACTGATCATACCGCATTTTTTCAAAACACTGTTTCAAAGTGTCCTGATGGTCAAACACGGTGTGGACGGTGCTGCTTTTACAGTTACAACTTGTCTGTCCTAATGCTGGGATCCTCCTGCCACACACTTCATCCAGGACTGCAGTTCTCTTGGGGGACTTGGAGAAAAATGCTGCAAAAGCTGAGATGTTGGCAAAAAATATTCTGACGGGTGTGTGAGATGAGCAGGCCTGTTGCATGATGAGGTTTAACTGGTGGACATAGCAGCGTATGAGGGAGCGTTTCCTTTAACCTGTCCTATAGGCCGGATGATCCGCCGCTCATTACAGCTGCCCCATCATATGTCTATGCGATCAGTTCGTTCTCAAACTTATATGGCTGCAGCTTCTCCAGTAGCAGTGTTTCGAGTCCCGCCACAGTTCTGTCCACTTACAGGGAGAAAGTGAGGAATCTATCCACCACCATGGAGGCTTCAGTGATGTACCTGAGCACAATCACACACTGGCTTACACAGGACACATATGTTGTCTCGTCAGCTTACACAGCCACAAAAGATGCCTGCGATATATCATCCACCAGTTTTTGTCCGTAAATAGCTAACATATAGTCAAGCAACTCATTTTGGCTGGTCTTAGATGTGTACTTTACAACCTGTGTGTTTTGACAAGTGATCGGTTAATTGACTGTCTAAAAAAGAGAACTGGTTGACGAGGTCCAGAAACACGCCCCACTGGAGTGAAGTGGGGGGTCAGTCGTCTTTTTTTTTTTTTTTTACCAGCTCGTTGTGTGAGGTGACCCTCATTAAGCTGACAGGCGATGTTTACTTTACCCAGCAATGACAGCTTTACAGTATTTCCAATGTGGCTCGTGCTGCATTCATGTGTCCTAATTTTGTCAGATAAATGTTTCAAATCCCATGTTTTATCCCATTTACAGGATAAAACCCAAGATATATCATATATCCTGGTTGTGGCGCAGAGGCAGAGCGGGTCATCCCCTAATCGGAAGGTTGTTGGTTCGATCACCGGCTCCTGGTGCCACATGTCGAAGTATCCTTGAGCAAGATACTGAACCCCATCTTTACTGTAAAAGATAGGGAGGGCTTAGCCCTGTTAGCCAATATATACCAGCCGTCCCTGGTTATAGAGTATAGCTATATTAAATGTGGTGCTTTTGTTTTCTCCTAGCATTTTTAGATGCAAAGCCTCTATGAACTAACTCACAGGCAGGAAGTGAAAGGATGAAAAGATGAAAGCCTGTACTAGGGTTGTATATTGACAAGAATCAGGCAATATGATACATATCACACTACAGGGGTTACGATTCAATATATTGTGATACACTGCCCGTCCAAAAAGAAGTCACCACCTGGATTTAACTTAACAAATCAGTAAGAGCCTTCCATTAGATAAATACTGCAGTGATAAATATGTTTCAGCTGGCAACAAGTTATTTAACCCTAGCTGATGAGGTGAGTAGCTTCTCATTTCTTAAACAACCATGTCGGAAGACATTTCCATGGTCGTGGAAAGGATGTTAATCAGTTTCAGAAAGGTCAAATTAGGCCTGCATCAAGCAAAGAAAACAACTACGGAGATTGCTCAAACTACTAAAATCGGGTAAAGAACTTTCCAACGCATTATTAAAACCTGGAAAGATAGTGGTGAACCATCATCTTCAAGGAAGAAATGTGGTCTGAATGATCGTGATCGGCGATCACTTAAACGTTTGGTGAAATTATATAGTAAGAAATCAACAGTAGAACTCACAGCTATGTTTAATAGTGAAAGTGAGAGCATTTCCACAAACACTGTGTGACGGGAACTCAAGGGATTGGGACTAAACAGCTGTGTAGCCATAAGAAAACCACTGATCAGTGAGACTAATCATAAAAAAAAGGCTTCAATTTGCTAGGTAGCATAAAGACAGGACTCTGGAGCAATGGAAGAAGGTTGTGCGGTCTAATGAATCCAGATTTACCCTGTTCCAGAGTGATGGGCACATCAGGGAAAGAAGAGAGTGGGATGAAGTGATGTACCCATCATGCCTAGTGCCTGCCAATAAAAGCGACTCCGATTCTGATACTGATTAGTTTAAAATTACTTTTGAGTGAACACTTACCGACTCTTTGAAAGGGTTCTGAGCCGAAACATTGTTGATGCAAACACCAAAAGAAAAGGGTTTCTCTGGGTTGGAGAAGTCATCCTCAAATCGGAGATGCACATCTTGGATCTTCAGCTACACATAAGCAAATCAAAGTTCAATCTGTTACGCAGATTCAAAAAATAACAACTACCTGATCACTTTCGGCACAGCAACCACAGTGTCAGGACAGACGCCTGGAAATTGACTGTTCTGATATTAATTCTGTCCTGGTATTTATTTATGTTTTAGGTAGGCTTCATTAGTGTTTGTGTGGATTAAACCTTGTTTAGGATGTAATTTGTGGGGCTGTTGAACTGCATTATACAAAGAGGTGTTTCTGTTACCTTCATTGAGATAAATGGGATGGGCAATTTACTAACTCACTATATAAAATGCAGGCAGGTACTGTTTAAACTGATACATAGAACCCATTGTTGTGCATAATATAGTCCTGGCTCTAGTGTCTAATGTTGGATGGCTTACCTCGATGTTTTCCACAATCCTGGTGACCACTGAGGCAGTGACAGAGTACCAGTAAGACTCTCCTCTCTGTTCACACTCACTCTGGAAGAGCCAAACACATTCTATCATATATTACGTTACAGTAATCACATTAAATTTGTCTGTAATGCAGTAATGTAATGCATGTTCCTAATTTAGTAATCATTACAGTTACTAATCAAATAATTGTGTCATTATCTGTGTTACGTAAGTAATTAAATAATTGGAATAATGGGCAGATGGAAAAAACATGTATTTTCATGCACATTTGGGAAACAATGCTGGTGGATACAGCTTCCTTCAACTCTGACACTGAAGTTGTTTCCCTTCAACATCCAGGAAATTCAACACAGTGATGTGTCTAGTGCACCTGTGGAGAGTCTCTTCAGCCTGGGCAGTCTTGTCTCTGAGGAAGAACAGGTTGTTCAAGAGACTCCTCATGAGATAGAACTCTGCTTTAGTAAAACAAGATTGTACTTTTGTACAGTAAATGTACCTAGTTCCACTCAACCACTAGTAATTCAAAATTTTGACACAAAGATTTACATTTTTACTACAAACATTTGTCACTCACTTACCAAACTACAGCTTTCTAATAGACTAGTGCAGCTTATTTATCACTTGTATTTTACTTAAGCATTTCCACTTTAGGCTACTTTATACTTCCACTCCATTTTGGAAGCAAATATTGTACTTCTTACTGCACTACATTTATTTGATATCTTTAGTTACTTTGCAGACTCACATTATTAATACAAAATATAAATGAACTAATTAGTGATGAACAATTAAAATAATCCAGTCCAACAGATATGTCCTGGCCTACAAATCTCGTTCTTGAAGAAAACACGTTTGTTTGGTACGGACCCCAACAAATGTCAAATCACCATGATTTAGTTTTTTCAGTGAAAATCAAAACTGTAATGCAAAAGTCATCATTCCCTATTATTGTGCATCAAATCTTAATTGTAAATCCTGTCAAAACAATCGCAATATTAATGTTTGCAGCCCCAAAAATAATATTTTGATGGCAATACTTTTGCTACTTTTAAAACTAAAATTTTTTTAAGTAATTAGGGACCGAGCCAGCGACAGGTAAGGTCCCTATTGTTTTTGCTTGATTTCTTCTTCTTCTTACTATTATTATTTTTAGCCCCCTTTGACTGCATTTTTGCCCCCCTGAACATATATGAAAACTCAATTTTATTTGGCAAAGTTGTCAGGCCTGGTGAAAATGGGGATATTCTATGGGTCACTTTCGAGTTGGCCACTAGGTGGCGCTAGTATCATGAAAAATGCGTTTATGCTAATAACCTCTGCATAGTTTGTCACACATTAAAAAACCTTGTATCCACGCGTTCGGTGAATGGAGCTCAATCTCCCCATATAGGCCACGCCCACTTCCGCCTATAATTTTTCTCCGCTAGAGCGCGAAACGTCCATAAACTACTTTTCCGTGTTCCCCCCATGCGCTTTGTCCGATTTGCACAAAATTTCACGTAGCATGTGAGGACCCCTAATTCAAAGAATTTTGATATTTCAAAAAAACAGCACGTTATAAAATTAGCACTTCCTGTGGATTTTTCGTCAAAAAAGGAAGTGGACCATTTCTCCACATTGGTATGTCGAATTGACACCAAACTTGGGTGCATAGTTCCAGATGTCTTCCTTAAGCATCGTGCACAATTTCAGGCCACAATTTCAGCCTCTTGGACCCATACCCGAAACCCCACAGGAAGTCGGCCATTTTGATTTAAAGTTTCACTTTCTGCAAACTTTTCGCCTTGTATTTGAACAAACTCCTCCTAGGGAATTTATCGGATCTACTTCAAAATTGGTCAGTACAGTCAAAAAATGGTGCTGATTAAAAGTTGTGCTATTTGTGCATGTACGTTGAACGGCGTGTCCGTGGCGTGCCCTCAAGGTTGGCCATGGTGAATTCCGTGTGCATTTTCGGTGATTTTTCGCGTTGTATTTGAACGAACTCCTCCTAGGGAATTTATCGGATCTGCTTCAAAATTGGTCAGTACAGTCAAAAATTGTGCTGATTAAAAGTTGGGCTATTTGTGACAGCACAAAGGGCGTGTCCGTGGCATACCCTCAAAGTTGGCCAGGTTTAATCAAATGTCAAACTGTGATTCCATTTCCGACATTTAAGGGCTTCTGTTTTAACTAACTCCTCCTACAGATTTTATCAGATTGACTTCAAATTCGATCACTGCAATCTACACACATTGGTTATCAAAAGTTGTGCTATTTGTGACTGTACGTTCAACCACGTGCCCGTGACGACATGTCGAATTCCACCGATTGGCCATCAAACAGATATTACTCATATCTTCAGTGTACAGTCCCACCCTGAACATGTCCTCATAACTTCAGCGTATATGATCCAATCTCAATGAAACTCCACGTGTTTGATAACAGTCCCACCCTGAACACGTCTACATGACAATATTCAGACATAGTGATCGCGCCACCTACTGGCAACAGGAAGTAAGTGCTGCGTGTCGATTTTGAGCTGATTTACATGAAATTTTCATGTTGTGTTCATGTCACGGCCGCAGCACGCCCCGAGTCACGTGGAGTGCGAGGTCCCGCCCAACGCTGCTTGCAGCTTTAAGTATCTTTAATGCTGCACTTCATCTTAAAAAATGTATTACTCAGGTCTTACTTGTGACGTGTAACTAATCAGACAGGGCTGTGGGAGGGACATTGAGACTACAGTGGTGACTACAGACCAAGAGGTGGCTGCATAGAGCCTGTATATTAAAACACATTTATTTCATCTGCAATTGGATTGAAAAAAAATAAAAATACCATACCAATAATTGGAAAAATGCGGAACATCAGACCTGACAAACCAGACCAATAATCGATCCCTAGTAACAGGCAGTGTAATTAAAGAAGTAATTGAGTAATGCATTACTTGTTTCAGTAACAACCCCAACACTGATGCACACACATGCACACACTGTCAACAACAACAAAGAACTGTAATGATAAAAGTGCAAGTTAATAGAGAAGAATATTTTAGACACAATAAAATACATGAAAAGGGCAACAAACACAGAGTAGGTTAAGTAAGATAAAGCAGTCCGTTTTGGATTTTTTTTGGGATCTGATCATTTCTGACACTAAAAGAATCAATCTGATACAATGCTCCCATTGCCTCAAATTTTAAATCATTGTGAGAACACCAGAAAATAATTCAGATACATAACCTCAATTGTGTTGGTAATATAAAGTAATATGCATCAGAAAAAATGTTACACATCATTACAACAAATGTTGTGCTATGTTTTGATCCTTAACATCAGTGGGACAAACAAAAAGGACGTACTAATTTGTAGTGTTGATGCACCTACTTTGAATTTGTCTTCGAGGGCCTTGAGGAGGCGCCGTTTGCGCTCTCTCTCCTCTTCTCTCTCCTTCTCTGCATCATATTCCTGCAGCTGGGCAGGGCCGATGATTAGATTGAGCTGGGACATAGAGATGACCCATGGGTCACTGTGAGGCCTGTAGAAAGGGATCTGGAGGGTAATCTTTCCAATGAAGCCTGGTGAGAGACAACATTACTCATATTTAGATATAATATAACAGAACTCACTCAAGTGGGCGATCCGATAGGGCTTTAAATGGTAAATGGACTGTATTTATATAGCGCCTTTCTCCCGACCACTCAAAGTGCTTTTCTCCTACATGCCACATGCACCAATCACAGTTAGATATGTTATAAAAGGATTGGTAAAGTTCTGGTAAGTGAGTCACTGTGATCCACCTTCTTCCAGAAAATTAAACAACAACTAATCACATTAAAGCACACAGCTCCTGCACAGAAACTTGGTACGATGATTGCCCTTGGCTCCCTGAGGCTCGCTAAAACGTGTCAACGATCCGCAACTAGCTGGCGCTCTGGTGGCAGAGTAAATCACTGTGCGGAGACTGTAATAGTTATGAATATGAAATTGACAGAGCATGTGTAGACTGGTGCCTGTCGCTCACATACCCAAAATCGTGTTTGTCGTGTTTGTAGCGCCCCCTACAGTATTTCAAAAAAGCAGCCCCAGCGCCACGTTTCAGCGATATTTATGAAACTCGATAGGCACGTGTAACATGCCGAGACGTACAGAAAAGCCCCTTGGACCCATGCCCCAATACCCACAGGAAGTCGGCCATTTTGATTTCCGGCGAATTTTTCACCTTGTATTTGAACCAAAAATCTACTTCAAAATTGGTCGGTACAGTTAAAAAATAGTGCTGATTAAATATTGTGCTATTTGTGACTGTACGTTGAAGGGTGTGTCTGTGGCGTGCCGTCAAAGTTGGCCATTTTGAATTCTGTGGTCATTTTCAGTGAATTTCTCGCACGTGTGATTAAAACGAAACTTGGTACGATGATTTACCATCAACAATCTGCCACTAGGTGGCGCTCTGGTGGCAGGTTAAATAACTGTGCAAAGCTGAAACGGAATGTCAAAACTGTGATGCCCTTTCCGGCATTTCAAGGCTTCTATTTTAACTAAATCCTCCTACAGATTTTATCGGATTGACTTCAAATGCGATCACTGCAATCTAGAGACGTTGGTGATCAAAAGTTAATCAAATATTTACTGTGAGTCAAACAGCGTGTCCGTGGCATGGCGGCGAATTACCATGGTACGCAGTGAATAGTCGCACTATGAACGCATAAGTCTTTTGCGCGGTGTCTGAAACGTGTGACAACGTAGAGCGGTCTCCCTTAGCTTTTGGCGAGGGCTTGGGAGGGGGGTGATGTGGCACGACGTAGGTCGATGGCGAGGTCCCACCCAATGCTGCTTGCAGCTTTAATTAGTACTATAACTGTTAAATTTATTGTAGTTGAGTTAGGTTTTTTTTATGTGAATGAATACATATTGAAATATGTAAGTATACTTTAAACTGTTAACATTTAATATATATTGTTCAATTTGCATTTCAGATTAGCCTTAGCAATAAAGGAAGTTATTCTTTAATGCCGTTGGCCATCATTTTGTGCTTCTTTTTTTTAAAAAGTATGGGTTCAGGCTCTGTTTATGCATCGCTACCATTTTTTAAATCTTAGAAATGGTATCAGAAAACACAAACAATATCCAACCCTGTTCAGAATACAAACACAACAGTTACTCATGTAGACCTAGTCACAATAAACATACATACATGGACTAAATTGTTGGTACCCTTCGTAGCTTTGTGGCTTGTCAATATGCATTTTGGCAAATTCCAGTCTTGCTTTTTTATGATTTTTTATGATAACAGCGGTGTCCTCCTCGGTCGTCTTTCATTCAATCCACTTTGGCTCAAAAAGCGACAGATGGTGCGATCTGAAACTGATCTACCTTGACCTTGGAGTTCATCTTCTGCATATTTTTATTTTATCTGTGTATGTTTTATAAGCACAAAATATAATTTTTATTCAGTTAGCTAAAATGTTTTTTGTCACACATAGTTTTAGTTTTTAGCTTAGTTTTAATTAACTATAACAACCTTGGTTCACACTTACCCATACATTAAAGGTCTATTCCACTGTTGTAATAATAGCTGTGTGAGCTCATCAGTCAGTGTGTCTCACCTGCTTTGACTTCAAATGGCAGGCTGAACTCTCGGAGGGCATCTTTCCTCAGAGGGAGGTTTTCCAACTCCACTGCACCTGAGGAAGAACAGGAAACAGACACATTGTCTGTACCAAACTTGGGCTGCCTCCCTTTCACCTCACAGTGTTGATGATTTCAGTTCAAGCTATTGAAAGAGGTTATAGCCGTTTGATCAGGCAGTGTCTGAATGACTGTTCAATGTAAAGGCCCACTGGTATAAATGTCTAACACAGTTCCTACAATATCATACACAAGACAGAAAGTGGTTTGACTCAACAATCAACTATCTTCAAGACAGCTTTTATAAAAGTTACCTACAGCCACTTTAATTTGATTAGTTTGATTAGTAGTGAACTATTAAATTAATCATAAACTACCTTGACTATCGATTAATCATAATTTTTTTTAAATGTCCAAATTCTCTGATTTCAGCTTCTCAGATGTGAATATGTTCTGCTTTATTTAGTCCTCTACGACATTAAACTGAATATCTTTGGGTCAGCTTGGGCGTTGGGAAACACCAATGAACATTTTTTTCTAACATGTCATGGACCAATAGAGAAAATTATCAACAGATTAATCAATTGTGAATATAATCGTTAGTTTCAGCCCTATCATTAGGTTCAACTAGATAAAGCTAACGCAGTCTTATACAACATTTAATAAAGTACAATAAATTCTATCTTCATGAAGGTTTTAATGTTCAGTTTTTGTTAAATTTGACTATATCATGAAAATTAACGGGTTCTATGTATCGGTTCAAAGAATACCCACCTGCACTTTATGTAGTGAGTTCTTAAATTGTCCATCCCATTTATATCAATAAGGGGTAGGCTAAATAACATAAATGCCTCTTTCCATGATGAAGGTAGGATTTATTGCAGAGCCGTTGTATTAGACTGCATAAGTTTGATTTAGGTGGACATATTTAAGTGGAAAGTTAAGAAAAAATAGATGCAGGTGTAATTACCTTTAAGAAGGGCGATGGAGAGTTGATCTGTGTTCAGGTTGCTGACATATTTTCCCAGGTATGTGTTTAGCACCCAGGCAACAAGGCCCTCCAACATCCTGGTGGGTCAGGGACGATGAGAGCTACTCTGAGGTGTGGGAGGAAACTGTGACAGTGAAATCACGACCCTCTCAGCAGGAGCCTTCACAGGGGAGGCGTTCAATGTCTAATAAACACAGGACGCACATTTTATTCATCTAGTGAGAGAGTAGTTGCATAAGGAAGTACATTTCCAAGTAGATCAAAACTTCATATGGCAAAAACATCCTGTTCCCCTGTTTGGGACAGATATTATCATTAGTTCATCGAATAAGTTTGAAGAACCGCTAGTCTGTTGATAAATTCAGCAAACAATAAAACCTCAGGTTTACACATCTCATTGTTGCCTTTACATGATATTGGCACTGGGAATATTTCCATTCCCAATACTGACTGAAGACTCCTAAAACGACTCCAACCTAGTTCTAAGAAAGATGTCTCAGGTTTACCGGTCTGATAAGATATTTTATAACTGTCTATCTCAGGGGTCTGATTTTGGCGACCATTTCTAGTCCCTCCAGCCCATTCCCCTACCTCCAACTTGTGATATGATGTCAAATATATAATATGTATAATAATAGATAATCCAGCCCATAATCTTATTCTTCCCTAGTTGTTTGATATCAATTTAAATGACCCCTTCATATACAATTAAAATAAAAATACAATTCTGTTTTTAAAAATGTGTTTCGTTTAGCAAAAAAAATAATGACAAAGGTCAAAGGTGCCCACAAAGCAGTGCAAACAGTTGTTAAGTAGAGAGAAGGTTTTTGGCTGCGACCCCAAACAACAACCTAGAGGTCAAGGGGCGCTGGCGAAGCAATCTCCAATGCTGTTATTTTTATAAAAGTTCCCTACTGCAGGTATTAGCAACAGACAGCAGACTGAAGCTGTCTCAGCTCTTTGTCCAGTGACAGCTAACATTATAGTTAGTTACAGAATTAAAGAGTGAGTGACAGCCGATGGCTTACCCAAGGCCTGCTTCACTTATCTGACGCTGGCAGAGTGACAGTAACTATAAGATACTTACGTTAACTAAACTTAGCAGTTAGCAAAGCGGCGTCATAACATGACCGGACTACAGCTACCATGAACTCATCAGTCACGTTATAACCTTATACCAACAGCAGTGTTACTAACTCACAGCCAAAGACGACAGTTGAACCTCCTCATCGATTTATCGATCCAGCTTCCATGTCGATGCCAGCTTAATGCCACTGTCAGTAGGCGGTCATGTCTTGTCAAAAACCACTAAGCCACAGCAGAGGCAGTTAGCGTAACGTTACGTACATAAAGCGCACACCGTGGACTGTCAGCCGATGGACCCACATGAACTAACAGACATTAGCTAAACTAGGACAAAGAGAAAATGACAACAGACTTGTTGGAAAGCGTCCACCATCAGCAGACAGCACAAAACTCAGCGTGTTTATAGTGACGGACAGTGCAAGGTTGTAGTCCAACTTAGCTAGCCACTTAGCCTAAACTAGCATGCGAAGGTTGAGTGCCCACAGCCAAAAACAGACAGCTGGCGGTAAATCGGACTCAAACGTAACACACGTTTTAATAGAAAACACAGCTAATCCTCCCACAATAATGGGCCGATTGTCGTATTTCAATACTTCAGCGCTGTGTATCCCCGCATCGTAAATAAACACTTCCTAATAGCGCTGAACTTTCAACACATACTTCCGGTCACGTGACGAAAACACGCCGTCCCTCTTGTGTTGCGTTCACGTCAAAACAGGCATTTTCTTCGACTTCTTCGGGTTTTAATGGCGGTTGACAAACCAGCTTGTAGGTGCATTACTACCACCTGCTTGACTGGAGTGTGGAGCAGGAGATTGGCAGGGAAAAAACAAAACAATAAAAACAACAACTAAGGGGAAAAAAGCAAATGTTTCTACTATTCCTGTTATTTTTATAATTCAATTCAATTCAATTCAATTTTATTTGTATAGCGCCAATTCATAACAGAAGTTATCTCAGGACACTTTTCAAATAGAGCAGGTCTAGACCGAACTCTTTAACATTAATTACAGAGACCCAACAGTACCACCATGAGCAAGCACTTGGCGACAAGGGCAAGGAAAAACTGCCTGTTAAAAGGCAGAAACCTAGGACAGATCCTCCGGCTCTAGGTGGGTGGTCGTCTGTCTCGACCAGTTGGGGTGAGAGAGAGAGAGAGAGAGAGAGAGAGAGAGAGAGCGACAGACAGACAGACAGGTGCACAGCAACAACAGTATTGGCAATGGCAGTCAAGCAGGACCATGGCAGGAGGCTCCACCAGGATCCATGAGAACCTGCGAGACGAGAAAGCACAAGAACTCCGGGGAAGAAGTGGAGTTAGTAACATGCATTAAAGGGACATGAATGAGTGCAGAAAGAGAGAGGAAGAGAGTAGCTCAGTGCACCATGGGAAATCCCCCGATAGTCTAGGCCTATAGCAGCATAACTAAGGGATGGTTCAGGACTCACCTGATCCAGCCCTAACTATAAGCTTTATCAAAGAGGAATGTCTTAAGCCTACTCTTGAATGTGGTGAGGGTGTCTGCCTCCCGAACCACAACTGGAAGCCGGTTCCACAGGAGAGGAGCTTGGTAACTGAAGGCTCTGGCTCCTGTTCTACTTTTAGAAGTTAAGTAGCATAAAATTAACCATTTATGTACTTTCCATGATTTCTGTCTAAGTATATTTTCTTATGTAATATTGTGTCCCTCATCAAATGCTGATATTAATTCCCTCCTTTCTTGGTTATATTTGCTGCAGTCTATTAATACATGTTTGACAGTTTCCAGTTTGTTAGAATGAGTGCAGTCCACTTGGGTGTTTGCCTATGATATGGAGTGTTTCATTTAATCCTGTGTGTCCTATTCTCAGATGGGTGATGACTATCTCTTCCTTTGGGCTCCTGCTCTGTAATCCACCAATGTCTACATGGGTTTGTATATTGTAGTTTTGCGTACATGATTCTTTATGATTGTTTTAACTTCTGTTTTACTTAGTGGTACTTGTATGTCAATTTGCAGTTGTTTTATTGATTGTTTTGCCAACATAGCCACCTTCTCATTTCCTACATGAGCACGAACCTAAAAGAGGAGACACCTAATCCCCTATTATGTTCATATAGTTTGTGATGTATCTCATAAAGTATATCCTGCTTGCATGATGATTGTCCTGATTTAGTGCTTGAAAGTGCTGATAAGCTATCCAAAGAAATAACTATATTAGATTGATTTTCTTCCACCCATTTTAATGCCCTATTCCTAGCATTCCAATTAATTCGGCTGTCTATACTGGCAAATGCTCTTCTACTCTATCCTATGTTACAATGTGACTACAGAACAGACTAACTTTTTTCATTCAAACACCCCATTATATATTGTATAGGAGCTCCTCCTTTACCAAATCACCACCTTCTGGTTTGACAACATAGACACTTTTGACAAATCACAACCAATATTTAATATTTTTGAGTAGCAATGACGTCTATGCCCCAAACTGGATCAAATCTTATTTATGTTTTCATATGGCTGAACACTACTTTCCACAAACCTGGTATTGCTAGGTGTCCTTCCCAGCTGAAAAGTAAATGTGCTAAGTGTACTAAAATGTAGCATACTTTTGTGTACTTGAAGCCACACTAATCATCATTATACTTCAAGTGTGTTCATGATTAGTTAACTTGAAGCATGCTATTTTGGAACAAACCAATTTTGTACTAAATATATTTTAATTGTAATTAAAAAAGCTCAACTTGAAGTGTATTTAGTGTACTTTTATGTGCTAAAGTGGAACAACTTAAAGTATATTTTGTATACTTTAAGCACATGGCTTTATATGTACTAATATATGCTTAATTAGTCAAATTAAAGTGTACTTTGTATTATAAGTACATTAAAAATTATTTGTTAGTGTCTTAAAAATATATAAGCTTTATACTTTTAATATATTCTTACTGTGCTAATAATATACTTAATTATACTTTTGGCTTATTCCAATTACTAAAAAAGCATACTTTGCAGTTAATAGTCAATATACTTTATCATTACTTTGCTATATTACTTTCTACCTTGCACATACTTGCAAATGTATTACTAGGATACTAAAGGCTGAAAGACTTGTGGGACTACTTCCAGGTGAAAAAATATACTTTAATGTATTTGTACCATATCCCAATTAGAATAGTACATTGTAAATACAAAAAACTTGTACTATCTCTTAACATTTATACAACAAATGTATGAACATTTACATTATGGCTTTTAAACATTTTCAAATATTGGTACTTTAATACACCTTGTAGAAATAGGTCCATTTCAGGCAGCAGACCAAACATTACAATAAATTTTACAGAACACTGAGAAATAGTGAACAATGAAAAACAACATTCCTTATTATTGCACGCCTAACCCCTCCCACCATACAGAAACACACACCACACATTATGTTCCCTTGTTTTGGCTGAACTGCTCATTGTTACACTTTCGTCTGATGGCCGCGCGCACATCAGAGACACTTGTCTGTGGAAACTCCAGAAGAACAGCGTCTGTTGACCGAATAGACAAGAGATAATGTAAGTCACGCAGCATATTCATAGTATTTTGAATACTATGAATACTCCAGAAAGGAGGTTCAACAAACTCGAAGCCTAACCCTGAACTCTGAGTTGACTTAACCTGTGAAGTGAAACTATTACTTCTACTATGAATATAGGCTATAAAAACAGTCTCATGATTGCTCCTCACTCTGGTTTTATTCATATTCTGCATATTAAACAAGGTAAAAGTTTATTCAGTGGATATTTCAGCTTGTAGCAGCTTTTACCACCAATAGATACCTACTGATTAACACACATCCTGTCTCCTAACATCCTGCTGAGTAAATGAACTTGTGGAAGAAGGCAGAGGTGGTGGTCACCTCCACTTCCACCACGTCTGACAGAGGCAGGGGAGCTGGTCCTGAGTCAGGTTGCTGGGTGACCAGAGGCTGAGGGCGTCACTCATCCCCAGGACCCAGGAGGCAGACACACACTTTTATCTACAGATAGTACTAGAAGAAAATATTATCCTAAATGCGGCAGCAAATTAGAAACATGTACTTTGAAATTGCGTTGTTGGAGGCAATGCAGGCTGATGGTTAGCCTACTTTTGTAGCTCTCTGTGGGGGAAAAAAAAGAAAGCCCAATAAAATGTGAATGATTCCTCTTTTTCTGACTGCTGGAAGGTGACTGATTAACCTGCAAAGTGATAAAAATGAAGAGGTCCAGATCTGAGAGCATGTCAGCGGTGACGTGTAGCCTGATATTCGATGAGCAGCCGGACTGAGAATATTGTTCAGATAAATGACGGACTGATGAGAAGTGGTACCGTTCGGCTCAGGGAATGAGAGCTCATCTAAACAAATCTAAATAATCCCCCTGTTGTAAAACTATGTGAATTATTTCTGCTTCAACATGATGCTACTGAGAAGGAAAGGACAGGCCCTGTCAGACAGCTCTGTTAGACTCAGGGTTTCTTCAAGTAAATCTGCCAGCGAGTAGGTTAGGTTCCCAGAGTCAGTTACCATGGTGACTGACACAGAGTTAGAGATACCTCTCATTCAGGAAAAAAAAACCCAGGTCATGCAAGATCTATTCAGCCGCAGGAAGGCCCTCTTTGAAACTGTGACTGTGCTGCCTGCCAAGGGGTGCTGCATGGGAGAGAAAGAGAGGATAAATTGGACAGATTATCTCTCCCTACTTATGAGGAATGAACAGACATTATCCAAACATTAAAAAATGTTAATTCAATCTTTACTTGGAAACACTGCTAGTATATATAGACCACTAGGGAGTGCTATGACCAGTGGTCAGAACGCTGCAGCACGAGTACTGACGGAACTAGAAAAAGAGATCACATCTCTCCTGTACTAGCTACTCTGCATTGGCTCCCTATAAAATGTAGAATTGAATTTAAAATACTCCTCCTCACCTATAAAGCTCTTCATGGTCAGGCCCCTTCATATCTTAAAGAGCTCATAGTACCCTATTACCCCACTAGAACACTACGTTCTCTGAATGCTGGGCTACTTGTGGTTCCTATAGTCTCTAAAAGTAGAACAGGAGCCAGAGCCTTCAGTTACCAAGCTCCTCTCCTGTGGAACCAGCTTCCAGTTGTGGTTCGGGAGGCAGACACCCTCACCACTTTCAAGAGTAGGCTTAAGACATTCCTCTTTGATAAAGCTTATAGTTAGGCCTGGATCAGGTGAGTCCTGAACCATCCCTTAGTTATGCTGCTATAGGCCTAGACTATCGGGGGATTTCCCATGGTGCACTGAGCTACTCTCTTCCTCTCTCTTTCTGCACTCATTCATGTCCCTTTAATGCATGTTACTAACTCCACTTCTTCCCCGGAGTTCTTGTGCTTTCTCGTCTCGCAGGTTCTCATGGATCCTGGTGGAGCCTCCTGCCATGGTCCTGCTTGACTGCCATTGCCAATACTGTTGTTGCTGTGCACCTGTCTGTCTGTCGCTCTCTCTCTCTCTCTCTCTCTCTCTCTCTCTCTCTCTCTCTCTCTCTCTCTCTCTCACCCCAACTGGTCGAGACAGACGACCACCCACCTAGAGCCGGAGGATCTGTCCTAGGTTTCTGCCTTTTAACAGGCAGTTTTTCCTTGCCCTTGTCGCCAAGTGCTTGCTCATGGTGGTACTGTTGGGTCTCTGTAATTAATGTTAAAGAGTTCGGTCTAGACCTGCTCTATTTGAAAAGTGTCCTGAGATAACTTCTGTTATGAATTGGCGCTATACAAATAAAATTGAATTGAATTGAATTGAATTGGTGTTGAAGTTCCCACTGACAGCAAGATAATTCATATGACTGATTTGTGAAACATATAACCTATTAAATCCCATCACTTTATTGCTGACCCAATTACCAACAAGATGATGCTGCCAAAGACAAAAGGTCCATAGTGCAAATATAGAATTCTTTATGAATGAACTGTCAAGTAATGAATACATACGTTCATCCCTCAATTATAACATACCATTTCAATTTCACTGTCCACAGAATATGATGACGCTGCAGATGAAGGGGTCCCCCTAAACGAGGACATCAATGCCCGGACACACTCCACACACTCCCTCATTAATTTAATCATTTTTGGCAGGTCTAGATGAAAGTAATAATAAGTGGGAAAACATTTGGTTTGTTAGTTAGCAAAAGTAATGGTACTTAAGCTCAATACAGGACAATAAATAATGTGGAAACACCCTGAATCATTGTTTAATAAACATAATGTGTTCTGACATGTCAACCCCTCTAATTCTAATCCTAACACCCATCGTGAAGGGATGACATGATTTCATTCATTCCAAGTGCCATGCCATGACCAGTATTATTATCCGTCAGCTTCTTCAAGAGAGAATGAGAGGATTAGAATCACATTAAACTTCATTAAGGTACAATAGACATTTACAGAACCTGATGTGAGGAATCGTGGGATGAAATAGCGGCAGATATAATGTTGTGTTCATTTTGTATGTTAGAGATTGTGAATATTTTATGCTTGTTTTTCTGGATCCCAATAAACACAACAGACAAACACTACAGTTTGTCCAGCTGTCATGCTGACTGACTGATCTGTGTATGACAATCTGACTGCTGTGATCCAATCCTGTGCACACTTTGTAGGGCAATAAAGATTTATGATTGTAATTATAATAAATGCTGTTCTAAAAGGTACTATATAAATAGTTTTTTATTATTATCAGCCCTTATTTGTTATTAGTGAGAATATTTTTAGACACACACGTGTGCATGCGCATGCTTTTGACTTCTATACTTTATTTCTCAAAGGAAATACAGTATGTTTAAAGGACACTCTTCTAATCCACACTAACGTGTGGGACAAAACATTAATGAAAGGTGTTTGAAAATGATTATATTGTTGAATATATTAAATAAAAGTAAATGAAATACATTATGCTTAGTTGGCATGCACATGACCAAAAGGAGTTTATATGTGAAAACAAGATATGTGAGATTAAGTTTTCCATGCAGTTGGGTGTAAGATCTCTGACCTTTGCCTGACCTTTTCATTCAATATAATATAATTTTACCATAATAATATAATATTCAATATAAATGTACTTGCCCTTCTCTGGGCTGAGGAGAAACCCAACTCTTCATCTGAAGCATGGTCTTGAAACTTTATAAAGTGAAAAGAGAAAATAGCTGTGAAAAGCAATACAACAGAGAAAGAATTTTTGTCTGAGAGTACACAATAGCTGGGAAAGAAGTATGACTTACAATGACATGCCGTTGTGGACTTCTTATGTAGGTGGCGTCATCAGAACTTGGACTGGATGCCAGGAGTAAAAGCACACGTCTTGCTGCCTTGTTAATCCTTGCTCGCTTTCCCTGAAGAAAAACGTTTATATGGTAAAAGTAGGAAAATTATTAGTTATATCCTGAAATTTGAGTTGTACTTCAAATTACAATATTTAATTAGAAAAAAATATATAACACAGTAGTTGATGTTGGCATTAACTAAATTTGTAGTTTTTAAAAACTAAAATGGACAAACTACCTTAATAATTAACACAAAGAAACATGCAAAATAGGTGATTCACAGGACTAAAAGCTTTTGTCCAATATTCCTCAAATCAAGACCTTTTAGTGAAGTGTCTGAGGGACACCACAGTTTTTGCTGTTGTAAACTTTGTAGCCCCCTGCTCAAGAAAGAAGAGACAGGGAAGTCTTCAGGTTTTGTAACACATGGTCCCTGGCTGCCTCTTTAATCCTGGTTTGCTTTGCCTGTGTAATGGTAGATTCAGTTTCTATGTTTCAGCCACTGCAGATGCCCAACCTCCCCCTTCCTAACACAAGATGCCAGGTCCTTTTGTGTTTTGTAGATTGTGATGTCTGATCTTGGCTTTGCACCTGAATGCAAGATCCTGCAGGACACCTCATATGTAAAACACACCAGCAGGGGGTCGGCCCCGATGCCTGCAGTGGGCAGAGGGGTGGGAAAGCACTTCCTGGAGGGCCAGACCCCTACAGCAGACAAAGGGGTGTGAAAGAGGTGGTCCTCAGGTATAAATGTTTAGATCTCCCCATGTTCGGGGTCTTTCTTCATCTTTGACTGCTCGTGTGTTGATTGACCTTTTCTTTGCAAAGAAAATAAAACTGTGTCGGCCGACAGAAGTTCTCTATTTTATTCTTCACCAGCAGCAGAGAAATTTCCACAACACCTGTCAAAAATCTGTATGACGTAAAAATGTTGGCGTCCTACAGAAAGCTTTGTGTAATCAAGTTCACATTTTAGATGTTTTCTTATTTAAAGTTCCCTTAATTATCTCACCACCCCTCAGATATAGCATATTTGATGTCTCTGTGCATAAAAATGCATGCAGTAGTTGAACAAAATACTGCTACATCGAGATGTTTCAGTATTATTCATCTAATGTTGTCATATATAAAAATCAATCAGAGGGAGCAAATCAATACATTAACTTTGATAGATTAGCTACATTTTACTGCACATAATTATGCACTTTAACTTGAGTGGGTTTTTCCATGCATTATTTGTAATGGAGAATTTTAGCATTGCTTAACTGTTTTTTTGTTTTTTTTACTTAGGTAAATGATTTGAATTTTGTCAAGACCTTTTCAGAATACCTATTACCCATTACCGTGCTCCATACTTGCCTCCAAATAACAGCACCTTAGCAGGCACCGTCCTGTTTGGTTCTTTTCTTGTGGGCCATTTTATTTCAATCCAGTTCGCGTCGTCATCAAGGTCCGGCTGGGATGCCACTTGGATGAACTGGTCGCTACCAAGAATGAGCCATGTACTTTCCACTTTAAGTGTTTTATCAAATAAGTAGTAGACGGCGAATTTGAACATTGTATCCTCCTAACCTACAAACCTGCTTTCACGCGACTGACGTGACCTCGCTCAGATGCAACTGATGTCGGATGAGAACGTCCGCAGCTCTGATTGGCTGAAAGTGAAAAACAAAACTGATGCTCTTGATTGGTCAGACACTGTCATAATACAGTTACTATACAAAATCATCATGCCAGCAAAACGAAACTTGAAGAGACATTTGAATTCTGACGAGACTCAACCTAGGGTGGCCATCCATCCGGCTTTAGGTCGGACAGTGCCCTGTCCGGCTGCAGGGGACATTCATTTGTCCTCCTTTTGAGAAAATAACTAAAAAGGTCCGCCTTTTGACACATTACCTCGTTAGTTTAATATTTATTGGCTATAAAGCTGTGTCAAAATAAGTAATTTCATTGGTTACATTTTTGTGTCCTGACCTATCAACACATGGCTCATTCTAATATTCAAATGAGCCATGTGTTGATTCGCCACTCCATCACCGCATTGGCTACCACCAGGCTGTCAATCAAGCCCTCATGACAGAGAACTAACGTGAGCTAACGTTGGTTGTTGGACTGAAATTCTGAAAATGTTCATCAGAAGGTGCTGCATTTTTTTTTACCCTTTATCTATCCAGATAAAACATTAAGAACAGTTTCTGTATGATGTTTATTAGACCTATGTAATCTGAATTGGAAGGCCACGTTGTCATGAGCTGTATTTTGTATATTTATTATTAGCTATGTGGTATGTGTATGCCCCTTTATGTAATCTGGTGGAAAAACATTAAAATTTAAAACCGGATCATACCAAACAAATATCTGCTTGCTGTCCCCGTGTATGCAAAGTGTCCTCTTTTTGATGTGAAGGAAATAGCCAGCCTAACCCAGAGACGCCAAGAACAACAAAATACAGAAAACTTCAACCGAACCAGGTAAAGAGAAAAAACAGTTGGTGAAATGCTGTGGGCTACAACGAAAATTTTAATTTTACTCTCCCGCCTGACTAATGCTGTATTCTGTATAACATTATGAAGTGAAACATTTCAAGATAGGGTGGCCATTTCCTTCACATCAAAAAGGAGGACACTCTGCATACACAGGGGACTTAAGGCTGCACCTGCAGCCGGACAGGGCATTTAAAAACCGGACGAATGGCCCCCCTATTTCAAGATAAATTAAAGCTGCAAGCAGCGTTGAGCGGGACCTCGCACTCCACGCAACTTGGGGCGTGCTGCGGCCGCGTCACGTGCCGTCGTTACACGTACGGACCACAACATGAAAATGAATGAAACAAATTAACTATGGCCAACTTTGAGGGCACGCCACGGACACACCCTTCAACGTACATGCACAAATAGCACAACTTTTAATCAGTGGACAAATAGGGGCTGATGACATATCAGTTATGTGGAATTGTGATGGAATTCCGGTTTTCAACAGCAATAATTTTCAGTGTCAAATCATAGAGCTGTCACCAAAAGATCGCTAAGCCAACATATGTATACCATGCTTATGGTTTGGTAAAAGCAAGCCAACTATGATCACATTTTTAACTGCTTTTGTGGCAGAGCTCAAGGAACTGGAACAGACTGGAATTCAGTTGCCCGCCCCCTCCTGAGAAACACAACACAGTTCAATGGCAAATATGGATGTGACTTCTGCCTTCACACTGGTGGTGGTCCATATGTCTGGGAAACCCCAGAACCACCTTTACGAACACCTGCTAATCCAGTAATGGGTGTGAAAGGCCCATCCCCTTTGATGGAACTTGAGAGCTTCAAGATGATCACTGGATTCATTCCTGAGTACCAACACAGTGTCTGCCTGGGTGTCACTAAACAGATTACATCTCTGTGGCTAGACAGTAAGCACCATAATGAAGACTGGTACTTGGGCGGCAAGGTCAGTGATATAGACCAGGAATTGCTGGCCATTAACCCACCTGTGGAGGTCACAAGGGCACCAAGATCAGTGAAGGACAGAAAATTCTGGAAAGCATCTGAGTGGAGGTCATTTTTGTTTTTGAAACTGTATGGTGCTGCTAATGCTTCTTTTAATGTGCATTTATTAATGCAATTGGCAGCAGGCGTGCGTAACTGGGGACCACTGTGGGCAACATCCACATTTCCATTTGACTTTGCTTAGGTTTTTCAGTGGAACAACATGTGCCAACACAAATAGTGAATAGATTCCTTCGGTGGAGGGGTCTCTCAAAAAAAGCAGGGACTACAATGGCAAATGCTAATGACAGCATAAAGACATTTTTTGACAAACTTCAAAGTACCTCTGGCTTAAGAAAGAAATCAAAGGAGTTTAAACATAACGTCAGAGGTTTTGGCTGCCCAAAGAAAGTTAGCACATCTGTGTTGCAGAGGATGGCTACTGAAAGTTTAATAGGAGTGACAGTTCATTCAGGTTTATTTTATGACCGTTTCATTTGTAGCAGTGTGGTTTATTATTCATATAATAACACAACTCTTAAAAAGAGAAATAATTCAGTTGTACAGTTAAATGATGGAACATTCTGTGAAGTTATGACGCTGGTGGCTTTTACATCTGATGATGGGGCCTCATCCACATCCACCAACTTCTGTATTTTAGCAAAAGAGCTTGCCAAGAGTGGAGGAAAGGTGTGTAGAGATGCTCAGTTAAATATATCTTCCACATTTATAAATGAGGTGTCTCACACTCATAATGTATTTGCCGTGCATCCCCAGTCACTTGAGTGTAAATGTGTAATGGTTAAGTCCAAGGACAAAATGTATGTCATTCCACTTCCCAACAATGTTGAGAGAGACTGAAATTCTTGGGGAGCTACTACTTTACGGACATCAACACCAAACCGACCTCTACATATCAGTCCTATACGCATGAATACTGTCAGCGACTTTTTGATCTGTACACTTTCCAATTGGTCTTGTTTGCAGTAACCCTGCTTTTTCTCCATTAAACAATACCAATGAAATGTTCTTTTTTGAACACTTGTGACAATGTTAATACAGTGTGAGTGAATTTAATTTTTTTGCTTATAATTTAGCCAGTATTAACTTGTCTGTTGCAATATGGGTGATGCTATCTGTTAAATCATAATGTAGCACTGCACAAACTTTAAACCACTTGCTTTTCAGCAGAACACACATTTTTTGTGCACCTGTACTTTTGAAGTGTGCATTTAATGTTTTGTTTAATGTCATTTTGTGTATAATGTATTTTTGCCAAACTGATTAAACATTACAGAACAGCTGCAATAATTGCTATCTGTGCGCAGCATAACATTTCATAAATGGGTTTAAGTGCATTTTCA